AACATAATAAATTAGACGTACTCGTTATAGTAGAAATTAGAAAGGCCATAATTTATACGAATGTACGTACGAGTATAAAGTGAACATGTTCAGGTTGTAATTATAATTCCAGGGAGCTACCGGGTAAATTTTCTATTCCACTATTTTAAGAGGAAAATAATAATTAATTTAAAAAATAGGCATCTATGAAGTCTATCTATCCTGCAGCAAAACGAGTCCAAAGTGTAGGCGTGATAACACAAGTTCGATTTAATTTAAGCAATTTCCTTCAAAACTCAATTATCAACAAATAATTTAATTATTTTTTGAATACTTAAATGTCAAAAAATAATTACAATGTTCGTTTAAAAATTTAACATTTATTCATGAAATAAAAATAATTGTTGTTGTTAGGGGTCTTGTACGTATCTTATTCAAAAACATGCTTTACAGAAAAAAAACTCCCATGACCCGTAGAAAGATTCAATTTCGATCATATTATTTTTTTTTGTTGTAAAAAGGAAAACTTCTTACAGGAGCATTGGAATTATATTTTTAAAATTATGTTTCTGAACTGTATAATAAGAGTTTGTTTAAAAACAATTTTTTTTATTCGTTATACTTAATTTTTTATTGGATTTTAGTAAGATACCTAATCAAAACTCAAAATTCTACGACACCCAGTAGGAAGTTTTCCTCTTTTTAACGGAAAACAAATTATTGTAATTAGATCATTTGAAACATTATACGAGGTATGAGATATATGTTGGGTAATAACAAATAATTTATAAAAAAAGACCTCTTGAGATAATGGAGATTGGTGCAACCACTGTTATAGGTAATTTAATGTATACCTGTAAATAACGATAAACCACTGATTACGAAAAAACAATTCTGAGCGGAGTTTAGTTGATAGTGATACTTTGTCAACAATATATATGCCATATTATAGTAAAATAATTAAATAGGTTCTATGTATTTTCTTTAATAATATTTGTTTAATGCTATACCTATTTTCTTGAGTTTCCTCCGTTTTTTTCGGTTTTTCTCATTTGCTAAGTAAACTCCGGGGAAAATCGAAACACGACCTTTTTAAAGTACCTCCTCAGTGAAATTTCCTTTCAGAAACATTGCTATCATTATAAGTTAGAGCAAGTTTTCTGATAGAAAAGTTGTCCACAGAATAAAAAAAAAAACATCTTTGTAAAACCATAAGCTTCTTCGATCCATTCAGAATCTAAAATGATCAAATATATACGTAAAATAACAAATCTATTAGTAAGTACAAATAAGTTGTAAATATACAACCTAGCCTTGAGTAGGTACTATTGTTGTAATACTTTACAATGACCGGTTTGACAAAAATACATCATCAATAGTATTAGAAAAAAATAAAACAGATATATACCTATTATAAAACAAAAGAGCAAAAAAAAAAAAAAAAAAAAAAAAAAAAACAAAATACAATAATTCAAAATATATACATTAATGATGAAGAATAAAGATATTAAATATTATGTATAATATTATGCGTATTCATTATTATTTTTGTATATTCAAAATTTGAAAAAAAAAAGTACCTATTACTGTTTTGCAAATATAGACATATTATCTATTTGAATACTTATCAGTTTACTTTTACAGAATCAATGGAATAAATCAATTGTTATAGACGTAGGTATTGGTTTTACTATTTGTACGCTTTTTTTTCTTATCTGTAAATAACTTTTCTATCTATTTGATTCAATCAAAAACTTTATAAGAAGTTTTTTTGTAATTTTTTTTTTAGGAATACCATTTTTTAATTTCCCTTGGAGTTTTCAATAAATGGGAAAAATTAGTGATTTATTTTATAGTTTTATGTAATTCTGGGTTGCCTTGGCAATAATGGAAAAATATGACAATAATTGCTGGGGCCTCAAAATCGTTTTTCGATTTTCGAGAGCAAAAATTAATCATTGCGTATAGATATGCATTCAATTTTCATCTATATTCTACCTTACCAAGAGTTGAAGACTTACTGAAGAGTAATATCACATCTGGATTGGATGGCATTTAAAATGAAGCTGTTAAAATAATAGCCAATCTGCAGTCTCAAGTATGATTCAAACTATACAATCGTTATATGGAACAGGACATATTTCCTAAGGTCTGGAAAGAAGCGTGATAAGTCCTTCTTAAGAAAGGGGACAAACCAATCGACAAAACGTCCCTTATACCTGCTAGACTTTGCGAGCAAGCGTTTCGATAAAATAGTTGACAATCGACTAAGAAGTATACTAGAGAATAGAGATTAAAGATGAACACGGTCTGACCAGTCACTAATATGTTTTTAGAAAAAGCCGTTCAACTGCGGATACCTTAGAATTGGTGTGCTATACAGTGGATAAAAGCGACAGTAGGTATGGTTGGTACAAGGTCGACCTCCTCACGTTTGACCTAAAAAATGCTTTCAATTCGTTCCCTTAGACGATTATCCTACAGGCACTAACAGAAAAATACATTCCTGCATACCTATACAAAATAATTTAAAAATTTAAGTCATTTATAAGTTATAAGATAAGATAATCAATTTAATCAATTAAAGTTATTAAACTCTTTCCTGCTCCTCTGGTTTAAACTTTAAACGGTTATTATAACACATCAACAGTAAATCTGATATCAGTGTTAAAAATTTTTAAAAAATTACAAATAATGTATAATTTTTGTAGCACAAAATATGTTTTGTTAAATTTACCTTATAAATTATAATACTGAACAAATATATAAACAAAATCAAGTTTACGAGACTTTTTAGCCAGTTCACTATGTATTTCTTCAACCGTTATTCCTATAACTTTGCGTATAGCTAACGTTGTCAATCCGTCAATTTGAGTCTAAAAAACATTTAAATAGGTACTAATTACTAGATAACGGATTTATATACATTTAAGTCCACGAAAAATATTTCTAATTGAAAAGTTGCTCACAGAAAAAATAAACGCATATCACAATAAAACCAATAGATTCCTCACTAAGCTCTAAATCTAAAATGATAAAAACATATACAACAGGGATGGAAGTGGCCAATGGTTTGAAAATAAGTGAGAAAAGTGATTAAAATTTACAATTAAGTAACTATACAGCGACTTCCATACAAAAATAAGTGGCTTACATTAACAAAAAATACACTTATTTAACATCAATAGTAGTAGTTAATAATAATAGGTAATAATTATAATATTATGGTAGGTTAGGAATGTTATAATGGTTAACAGCCGCTTTATTAAAGATAAAAAAATAATAAAGTAAAAACAAAATTATTAAAACGATTAATACTCGTAAATAAATATAGAAATAAAAAATTAATAAATTAATAAATGTGTCACCTGGAGTATTATGATATGTGTTTTATACGACCGGTTTTGAATTAAAAATTCATCATCAGGTATATCACAAAATAAAAATTTAATTCGCGATTCACATTTTAGTCGCGTTTTACTTTGTGATATACCTAATGATGAATTTTTAATTCGAAACCGGTGGTATAAAACACATATTATAATACTCCAGGCGACGCATTCATTCATTCATTTAATTTTATTTCTATATATAAATTGTTTATTTGTAAATTTTCTAAAAGAATTTAATGATAATTTAAAAATAAATAAAAACTTTAATTATAACTTAAACAATTGTTTAAAAATATGCCAGTCTTTGGTAGTATTAGGTTGAACTTATACATATACAAGACTTTAAATTTCTTTTTCATCACAGAGCAAATTATAACAATATAAGAAATCAAGATCTCATAATAAATATCAATATAATAATTACTTTTAAAAAATTATACGAGAATACTTAAAAAGTGACTTTAAGTAACTTAAAGTGACTTTTTAATGACAAATTGGCTTTAAGTGAGAAAAGTGACCAACTTCCGTCCCTGTACACAGTAAAATGGATTCACCACGCTCAGAATCTCAAAGTACTAACACACAAAAATAAACGAAACGCGAGTGAGAACCGCGATTACCGTGATTCCCGTACGGGAAGTCGCGAACCGGCCGGCTCCGTGGCGGACGCGAACGTAATGAGACAGCCAGGCATCGTTCGGTCGTTCCGCAGTTTTATTTTATTTTAGCTAGATAGATATATATTTATTAAACAAAAACGAATTAATATATATATATAACAGCCCCAAATGGTAAGAGTACAGTAAGCGAAAAAACAAAAATTATATATTAAATATTTAAATTATAAATACAAGTTTTTAGCTTGGAACAAGAAACGAAAAAAAAAAATCAAAATTATGAATTTGATTACACAATATTGGTAGGCGACACACCGGACTATATGAAAAGTAATTATTTTTAGAATGAGGAGTAGCAAAATGTGGGTTAATTCTGGTGTTAAAAGGCCAATTTTTTGTAACAATTCAGGGCAGTCGATAACACCGTTCAAGATTTCTATACATAAAAGATACATCATACGCTAACCTTCTAATTTTTAGAGACTTTAAACCTACAAAGTTAACAATCTCATCAGTGCTATGATAAGGATAATTAGTTTTATAAGCATAAAAACGTAAAAAATGTTTTTTTTAATTTTATTTTGTTTATATTAAAAACAGGACTAGCCCAATTACAAAGACTTACCATAAATAACAAAATTAAAGTACATAATATTACAAAAACAATAATATAGAATACAGACACGATAGTCAAGTTGATGATACGAAATTGCGATAACTAAAGATATAAATATAGGTAAAGAACATAAAGTCTAGAATAAAAAAAAATGGGTCCTCGTTGGACCAAAGTTTACGAAAAAAGGTTAAGTTCGCTCGCTTCCTTCAATCAACTATCGTCAGCGTATAGTCATGCGGCGGATGAGCAGTCCCCCGGACAAAAACCGAATACTTTGAAAACTTACGCTGCACACGCTCAACTTTTCATTGGTCAATAATTGTATAAGGGCTCACATACTTCTGCACCATACTTCAAGGGAGAACGAACAAATGCACAATAAAAGGCCATAACGGAGCAAGAATGTTTAAAGTCGACAGATATTCTCTTAATAAACCCAAACATTTTCAGAGCCTTACAAGTTACTCTTTCGATATGCAAATGGAAGCATAGACAACGATCAAACGTGATACCCAAGTCGATCACAGAATCGCCAGTTTTTTAGCTTCGCAGTTGTAGATCCGGTAACATTTACAAACAGATGGTATTCATTACGTTCGATGTTATGTACCTATACGCAGTGTTTAATCCAGTTATATTCCAGGGGGGTAGGGCAAATGCCTCTCTGGAATTTCATTCGCCTCCTTGAAAAACACAACTATCAACAAAATGTATATACAAAACGTACAATATCGGTTACCAACGAAAAACAAATGAGCCTTCCCCATAGAAATTATCTAGATTCAACACTGCCCAAAGGTTCAGAGCCGATTGGGAAACGAACCTATCGGCCCAACCAAGTTTTAGAATTTTACCAGACCAGAATAAAACAAAATAGATTGACATAAACGGTGGCGTGCCTAGAAATGTCCAATGTAGCAAATAAGAATGGTAAAATCGTCTTCTCTACCCAACTCGACTATGAGCACTGGTAGGCAATTTAAAAACCGAGTCCTTAAAAAAGCCAATTACTAATCTATACGTCAACGTTTTCCTCGTAACTTGGCTGAAATATTTCGATTTTAAATTACTTATATTTTTTTGTGGTTTTAAGCCAATGGGAGGGAGAAATATTACCCCTAACCTCCACCCTGCGTACGCCACAGGACATAAATGTGATATTAATAGCAAGTAAGTTTAATGCGGCTCATCGAATTTATCTCGACAACTCGGCAACACTCAAACGACACAGAGCTATTACAATTTTACAGAAAGTTTGAACATAATAGTGAATCGTTAATATTATAATAACATTATTTATACAGACTGGTTTTGGTATGCTATGATATCACGCATCTATACTAAATGAAATAATTATTATAACCGGGGTGTATACTGTATATTATTTCCGAGTGTACAAGTGAAAAATATTAGGAATATAATATTATCGTGTTCGCCGGACTTACGTGGCCGTGAATGTAACCACCGCGATCCGGCGGCCATTTTTCTTAGAAACGTTAATTATTTTCAAATTACTTACTCGACAGAAATTCGTCAATGCCTTCGGCCGACCGCCGCCGTTTTTTTCTTCTGACAAACTAGTGTGACGCCACCGCGTTCACCGTAATCGAAAAATTGGCAGAAAAAATTAAAAAAAAATCCCATTACGCGCACACGGACAAACACTCGCGACGGGTTTCCAAAAACTAAACGACAAGAACCAAGAATTTCTTTGGCAAATAGAGGTCATTGGGTAGATATTAACAGTACGACCAACGCAATATTATAATTTAAAATAATTTTATATTTACAATTTACAGAACCTAAAGTTAGTGCAAAAGCTATCTTCCCTGGAAAAACGGTAACAGCTACGACCGCGGTAATGCGTCCGGTGAGACACGTATACTGGGGGAGGTTGTGGTTCAATTCCCCTCACCCGAAATAATTTCTTTGAAAATTAACTCAAATTATACACTTATTATTATAAAATATTTTTAGCCTATATTCATTTTTACTTGATATTTCTACTTAATTATTACCAATTTTAAATTCTGAGTGGAACGAGGAATGTAATGGTTTTACAGTGATGTTTTTTTTTTATATGAACACTTTTTCTACCAGAAAGCATACTTCGATTATCAAGTATAACATCTTTTCTGAAATGAAATTTTCTCTAGGTGGTACTTTAGAGAGGTCATTTTTTGAAATTCTCATTAATAGTCGAGATAATGAGGAAAACCTCGGTCTGTAGGTTAAAAAAGATTAAAAGATTAAAAATAATATTGTCATTGACAACCGTTTTTATTTATTTTTTGTTATCATTAAGATTTTATTATTTTAATCTTTTTTAAACAATCATTTTTGTCACGGAAACGCACTTTGTTTTAATCATTTTATCATAATATGACATAATACCGTGTATTGTATTGTTGACGAAACAACATTGTCAACTGAACTCGGTTCAGAATCATATTTTCGTTAGCAATGGTTTATCGTTGCTTACAGATATACATTGAATTCCCGTCTGTAGCTTATCTTCCCAACTTCCCACCTACAACAGTGGCTACACCCACGTGCGAAGTATGTCCGTCCTTTTTTAATAATACATTAATTAGTTATATACAAAAAACAGCAAACCAATATTTTTAACCATACCATTAGGTATACAATTATAATATTGCCTGACTATAAGTCTAAAAAACGGGAAGGGAAATATTGATTTTGCAAAAAAAATCTAAGAAGTAATTTACATATGAATAAATAATATTTAGTCATATATACAAAGTATAGGCTGTAATTTACAAGAAAAATTAAAAATGAGACGCAGTTTACAGCAGCCCATATTTATACGATTATTGTCTGAAAGATGTTATTATGAAAATATTTGAGATTTCGAGAGCAAACAAAAGGTAGGTAACTTAAGCTAAGCAAGTAGGAGTCTGCTCTTACCTGCTTATTTGCTAACCATTCAAATGTTGGTTCTTATTTATTATTAGATAAGTCTACTTAGGTAGGTACCTACCTACATTTTCGTACTATGATACCTAGGTTTTATAAATATTTATTTCGTCAGGAATTTCTTGATATTTAATTGTAACTATTGTATACGACCGTTAATTTAAATTTAAATTATCATATCCATCAAATGTCTGTTTAACGACGACGGTCATTTCTTTTTAGTTAAATATCATCTCTGGTGGAATTTCTTTGTCCGGCATAGGTATATAAATTAGTATAGAAACATTTAGACACCCATTAGGTATAAGAGTAGACAGAATGGACTACAGATTGGTATGTATTGTATAATATTATAATTTAAAATACATATAACAGGTATTTATATATACCTTTCTTTTGATTAAACACCTACACTAGGTTCTTGAATTAAATAGTTTTTTTTTTTATTTTTTATAATAATACAATTTTGTAAGACTATAATTTATTAATAGCTAAGATTTTCTCATAGAAAACCTATTATATCTACCTGGTACCTAAACATTAAATGTCCATCAACACTCAACAGTTATAATTAGGTTTTAGATAAATTCAAATAGTTAGTTAAAATAACAGTTTAGAAATAAATTAAATTATTAGGAATATCATAAATATTTAAATATTTCAATTTAATAACGATTAGTGTGTTTTCAAAATCTAAAAATATATGATAGGTACCTATATAGTTCTTTCAGGAAATTTCAATAATGACATCACAATCTTCAGGTATATATGTTTAATAAACGTACAGTGGAACCACAATAAGTCGAAAATTAATTTTTTTCGACTTCCTAAGGTATGCTTTTGGCTTTAAAACTATTTAAAAGTATCCTTACTCAACCATGGTCTCAATTCCTGGAGATCAGTCTAAGCACAGATCCAAAGCAAAGATCTGGAGGAGGCAACAATTTTTTACAACACAAATACAATTAAAATATAATACAATACATTATGTATTATTATATGTATATTATTTTCTCACATAATAATCAAAGAAAAAATATGTCTAGGAAAGCCTGGACCTCTAGGCCCTCTCTAGATTAGTCACACTATCATATTCAAATACATCAGATTACGCACCGGCCACAGCCTACTACCACACTATTTGTTTAAAATGGGACTTAACAATAGTTTATATTGCCCTCTACCCAACAGTGGTGGGGATTACTGTGACTTACAACGGTTGAGTTCTTAATTTATGTATGTATTAAAGTTTTTAATTATTATATAGTGTATAATATGCACATAATAATAATGTTTATTATTATTTTAAAATTATTAGGTTAAATTATGAGACGCACAAGCCGATTAGAAAAATGATCAGTCATTATCCATCTATATTCAGAACAAAACTGTTTGAGTTATCTATACATTTTCTTTGAGTTATCGAGGTTTTTGTAAGGTAACAGCATTGATTTCGACTTATCGAGGTTCCAATGTGTATATATTCCTTGAAACAACATTTTCATGACTAACTTAACCAAGTAATTTTATTAACTGAATCTTTCGGATTCTTATAACCTAGAGTTGTGCCGTGTGTAAAATTTTAGAATAACATCAAAACATTAAGTGATATTTTTGAATGAAATGTTATTATTGATAACAGTAATCAATTGGAAACTATGACACCGGTGCCACTTTCTAATTTTAGGCTCTTAAGGTGGGAGTATGGCACTTTATAATTTGAAATATAAATATAAAGTACAGGAATATTTCTTAGTCTTAGTTACAAATTTCAATGATTTTGGGCTTAAGTTAAATGAGGTTTCTTGCAATTTTACTGAAACTGCTTCATAAAAAAAAAACTACGTCACTATTGACTTTGGCTGTCACTATTGCTTGCTTAAATTATAATTATGTATTCATTATACATAGAAACTTTTCAAAGTATATAATTAATATGTTTTTAACAATTCCACAAAATAAATTAAATCTGAAAATAAGATAATTTAGTCTTGTTTTGTTAATGTAGAATTAACTTTATAAATGAATGCATGCATTTAAATAATACAAAAACTATAATAAACTTCAAATTTTCAATAATTGACTTTTATCAATATTTAGCTAGTCATAATAAATAATAATATTAATTTCAACCAGATTTTATTTGTACAACTGACTTTAAAACTATTTGTTTTTTAACTAATGATGACAATGAATTTTTTTTTCATATACATATAACATTAAATTTACATTAGCTATGTCTGTATAATATATTTTTTGAATATTAATTTTTGAACAATAAATAATCATTAAATTAACTGAATAAAAGGAAAATAAAAATTATATATATTTTGTTTATTAAGTCATAATAAAATTATATTTTTGGAGTAACAAAAAAAAATTAATTAGATATATGTATAAATTACTTAAAAGGAAATTGAATTGTAACTGGTATAATCTATCGTATTTTATATTCTTTTTTCTAAGGAATACATATATAATTAATATATGAATTTAAAAAAAATTTGTAGAAAAACAAAATATTATCAAAAAACATACACACATATAAAGCATTATATAAGTATATTTATTTCAACTTTAATTTAATTTCACCGTAACACTTAATAATTTGGCTCTTAAATCTGAAAATATAAAATTTTAAATTAATTAAAAATAGTGAATAATGCTTAGTTATATTATCTTACATTATCAACATTATCGGCTTCTTCATCATCGCTGATATCATCTCCGAATTCGATATCCTCGTCCAATCCATCATCAACAAAAGTGACAGTATCATTGATACGAACTAAAAGTAAACAGACATTTAGTTAGATGTCAAAAATAAATTTTAAATGAAGCATATAATTTAAATCAAGATGAAAATAACATAAAATTATGCATCTTACCCGTTTCTGGAAATTCTCCATATGTTTTCAAGTTACGAGCTTCATCTGGAGTATATTTCAAAATTACATCAGCCTTTGTATCTTGATATTCACGTAAACCTATTAATACTATATCACCTTGATTAATCCAAACCTAAAATTGAAAATATATGTTCATATACGTTATTCAAATTAATATAAAATATTACAACCTTGTACAACAAATAATCTTAATTGAAAAAGTTTTATTTATCTTTATCCAATTCACGATGAAATGTATTACATTAAAATGTTTACTACAAAATATATTGTAAATTAAGGGCCCAGAGCTAGTTTTTCAAATTTAAAAATTATTTTTAATATTTTAATTACCATCTTAAAGATAGGATTTTCCAATTTACTACCTGATACTTATTTATTTAGGGGGAAAGGGTTTGGCTGTTTTTATTGACAAAAATTTCACAGACAGTGATAACTCATTATTAATTCAATGTTTTCATAAACATTTTTCTTTTTAACAATAAACAATATAATACAGAGCGCACTGAACTTTAATTTCAAATAATGAAAAAAAAGTTTAAAATTTGCTTTTCTTAAAGACTCGTTATAAATCTTGGGAATATAATATTAACAAAGTTCAATGCGGTCTGTAGAATGTTTACCTCTAGCTATTAAAACAATTATAATTAAATTTGGTTTGATTCTATCCACTAATACCGTATCACTATTTCCATAGTGTATTTTTATGGGCAAAAGACATTGGCATCGAAAGCTTTAAGTAAATAATTTAAAGTTTATTTTGTATTATAATTATCATCTATTCTTTTAAGATGTACCATAAACTTAATGTAGATATCACATAACTCGTGTTGTTGAACCTGGGCTGTAATATATCATACACATAAAATAATTTAATACAATTTAAAAAAAAGTTAAAATGGTATGTAAAAAAAAAAAGGTGTAAAATAGTTATACAATCAGTTAACATTTCACCAGGGAAAATTTTAATCCGGTTTTAATTCAACAGTTTAAAAAATATGCTCCATTTGAATAGTTTAGATGTGGAAACCCAGCAAATAAAGCTAGATAATACCACATATTGTTTTAAGTTTAACATTTATATATTTTAAAACAATAATCAAAATGTTTAATTAAAAAATCAAATTTAAAATTTTTGTGATCAAAAAATTTATGGTATATTGAAGTTAAATGTGTCAATATAATTAAGAATATAAAGATGCTGTACCACTGTCACCATATTCATGCATTTTGTTTCGACTGTAAATACAGAGTTCCTTGATTGACCAATTTATATTTTAACTCATAATTCATCTGTAGAGTAGCACTTAAAGAATAATTTGTTTAATCTACTATAATTTAAATGATTAACTATAAATTGTGAATTTTAAAAACCTTTTTTCTCAGTTTTCCTCGAATATGGCAAAGTCGTTTAACACCGTCAAAACACATTGCTTCTAAACGACCATTTCCCAACATTTTGGTAACTTGAGCATACTCTGCAAAATTAAGTATATGTAAATATTTTCTAGTATTATAGTTAGAATAAAATAACAAGCTTCAAAATGATTATAAATAAAAGTTCAGGTTATTATTTTACCAACTATACCAAAACTGAAACAAGTTAAATAATTGAATTATGTATTCTGTATCTACTACATACATTGCCATTATGTACTAAAATGAATATTATAGGTGTCACAATTATTTTAAATATATTATTTCTTCTAAAGAACTTATCAAGAAAATAGTTACACAAATCTACTGTGAATATTTATTTAATTTTATGTCCAACAAAATAAAAATTATTAAAAGTTGATATACCAAGAAAGGTACTAATCTATTTTTTTTTTTTTTGTGCATATTTAATTTAATTTTTAATGAATTTATAATTATTAATATGACCTAATCACTTAATTGTTCTTAATATATAAATAATAAAGTCAAAGGTCAATAGTTTTAATAAATTATAGTAGAGATTTGTTAAAAAAAAAATATGCAATATATTTTTAAGATATTCTTTTAATAAATTAAAACATCAATATTATAATAATTGAAGACTACCCAATTTAACTAATAACAAAACCATAAAAAGTAAATAAATCTATGTAATCTTAATATTTTATAAACATGGATTGGATGGTGTATCTTAAAAATTTACCAAAGAACAAAATCTGTACTAAAGTATTATATAGATATAATTACCTTGTCCATCTTCTTTGAATACCAATTCACGTTTTTCGGTTTCGTTTTCATTCTTTCCACGCCTACGATTTTTTCCTCCTTTTCCTAAGGGCGCGAAAAAACAATAGGTAATTATTGAATAAGAAACCAAGGTAACAAATTGTTGTCGTCGAAAATATTTGTTTAGAATTGTTACTTACCCTTGTTCTTCGGCATTTTAATTAAATATGTATATTGAAATAGAAATCAAATCAAATTGTTTTCAGAATAATAAAAATTCTGATTAACAAATAAAGAAACGCGTTTTCTAAAATATTAGAAACTAAAAAGAACGTGTTATCAAAATCATTCGATTCACTTGGTCGGATGGTGGTAGGTTGTGGTTACCAACTAGAACCATTTGAATGATAAATTAAACCAAAGAGTATAGGAGTTACAAACTTTGTTCTGTGGTTTTGGTCATTCGTAATTTTCTATCGTGACAACTAATGGCTTAATTCCGGAAAAGGTAATTATTATGCATTTACGCTTGCGGAGTACCGAGCTACAAATATTTCACGTGATTTTACCTATAACCAGGTACATAACTAAGGAGTGGCCTGTGATGGCCCGGCAACCCAAAATATTTACATTGTTAAAACAGCATCATCGCTTAACCCAGAATCTAAAATTGTATTATAAACGATGTAAACATATTTATAAATTACATTAGTGTATATAGTGGTGACTGAGGGGGAAGTAAATGTTGGTGAAAATTAGGCCATTGTGTAAACCTACAACTAATTATAATATAATAAATAAATTGGCCTTTTTTTTCGTAGCTTTTTATTTTCGTGAATTTTTTTCCAACATTCGCTTGCTTATAAGGCTTGCTTACGCCCTAAGGCCATAAGGACAATCTCCCCCCCTCTGAAATTTTTCCAAAAGTATTATTTATTATTTTCAAGAAAAATACTAATTATGGTTGTAACAAAATTAATATATGATTTAGTTTAAATTTCCTTCTGAAAATTTGGTCCAGCTACAACCATGCCTGTGGATATAATCAATCATGAATCAACCAGTGGCGGCTCGCGCTTAGGTGCGAATATATGCCGGTTGATTACATTAAATTTTACAGTAAATTTTAAAGTAAATTGCAAATTGCAGTTGTAATTATTAAAGTAGGTTATAGGTAATAACTAATAATAAAAAATAAAATAATAAAATAAAAACAAAAATTATTAAAATGGTTAGGTATTACTCGTTAATAAATATAGTAAATAATACCTAATCATTATTATTTGTTATTGTGCGTAGGTTTCTGTTGCTATCTGGTTTTAATTTGTAATACTTTTGCAATTTAACTCTGAACCATCCAAAACCCAATGATTTGAATTAATTTAATTAAGTATCTATCTATCAATAAACAACAGTGTAAATAATAAATATTCTAAGTAATCATTAGACCAAAGTAATTTATTGAATAGGTACAGTGTTCTATTATTTAAACATATTTTTACACATAGGTACACCCGAAAAACGCGTACCTATACATTATTTAGCGTGCAATGGAAATACATATTGACCTTGGTTTTAGAATGACAAAACTAACATTAAATTGTGCTCTTTCGTGAAATTAGTCAAATAAATTGACGCAAATCTGTTTTGAAAAATCCTGGAGAGCACAATATGGGTATCAAGACGTTGCAGACGATTTAAATAGATACGAATATTAACGCGAACCAGGACCATAAAATTATCCAAGTTGGTGTGTAAATATTATAAATTATTATTTTAGTCGATTCATCGGTAGAATACATTTTAATCATTTGGTTTATTAATGGTCAGAGACTAGAGTGGTGTTTAAAAATCAAGGCCACAGATATGTTTTGCGATAACATTTTATTCATCATATTTTTATGAATATGATTTGCGTTTCATATAATTTCGTATGGTCACCACTTGACAAAAAATTATTAAAACCTATGTCGTTGAATTTATTGATTATTGTGTAGTGAACGGTGATAACCGCCCACAGCCGTTTTTATCACATTATCTTATCACACTCTATGAATATTACGAATTGAAATCCTAGTAATTATTGTCAACTATTTTGCAAAATGTGAACAATACGTCGATATTCTATAACAATTATTGAAATTCGCGAACCGGTGGGGTAAACTGACACCGATCGTCTTTCTTTCTATGCGTTGTGTGTCTACTTATGTATAATTTTTTTTTTTTTAAATAATTCTTATAATAATTTGCCATAACGAATAAAACAAATTCAATGTAGTCACCGAGTGGTAAGGAACAATTCCATATTGGTTTAAGGTTCAATAATCGTCATTTGAAATGAAGTCGCCACAGAATATTTTACTGTTTATTCTTCTGATTTTTATGCTTTGTCGAGGGCATTACAGCAGCGTGCGTAATCGCAAGGATTTATGTCCTAAGATCTATCCATGGGTGTTTGTTGGCTATAGACCACTAAGTAAATAATTATTGTTTATTTTAATTTTGTACACCTTTCTATCTGAATTAACTGATGTCTATTGTATTATTTTAGGTAAAGAAGATGCTGGGATATATGAAAAAATTCCAAATGTTACATTTGATGGATGTATTGAAAAATGTTGTGAATCTGATGGTTGTAACATAGTTTTCATGCACAGAAATGATTGTTATACGGTACTTGTATATGATATTTAAACAATTATATAATATATATTTGTATCAGTGAATACTGTGTACATTGTACAGATTGAATATTTAGTTATTTAATAAATTATTTTTACTGACTTACTATATAGGAAGTCATTTGCTCAGCAGTTTTATATAGATATCTATATTATATATAATTATTATTGGATCAACATTTTATTATTTTATTTAAATGGTATTTAAATTTAGAAGTGTGAACCTAATGAATAGTAATTGGGAATCATTTTTTAATACGATCACTGATTATACATTAACAAACTTTAAAATTAAAAATCTTATTCCATTATTTTTTGAGATCTTTTATTATAAAATATAATATAAGTATCTACCTACTTGCTATTTACCTTTGCATTTAGTTTAAAAAGTATAAAAGTATTCATAAATATAAAAAATCTTTGGTTCTGAGTTAATAATAAAGTATTACTGTAGTCTAGATAATATTTTTATCATATTAATTTATTTTATTTTTGTGAATAAGATTTTAAAATCAAAACTGGTGAATTACTGATTAGTAGTATCTAGTTAGGTTACATGTTAGATTAATTGGAGGTATGTTCAAGTGGTATAAGCTTATGAAATATGTATTTACATTGTGTATAGATTATAACTATGTGGTTCTTTTTAATAAAAATATTTGTATTTACCCATTACATATTTAAGGAAATATAAAGTTGTATATTTAATACTACTATTGTCTGTTTATGAGTAGCACATATATATTTATAGAACTATTAAATATTCAAAGCCAAACAATAATAAAATAATTTTAATGAATATTGTATTTTGGGTTTTAGTTTTTTAATAATTTAATAATTTCATAATATATACAGTATTTAATACAGTCTACAATTTACCATTATTTCATATAAATATTGTGATTTCATTTAAATTACCCAAAACTTAAGTACATAAACTGGGTAAATAAACCGACTGTTATGTTGTATTATTCAACTTATAGTGTTCCAAATAAATCATAATTTATTTTATTAATATTAAAAATGAGTAATATATTATGTTTATTCATATTAGCTTGCATGTAAAACAAATGATGATTGTGTACCAGTTTATGCTAAAGAACACATGTCAGTTTTTGACTTTAAAATGATTTTGGTAGCTCCAGTTTTACCTGCTAAATATTGGAATGATGTATTAGATGGAGGAAGTTTAACTGAGCCAGAGTAAATATTATTGATTAGATTTTATTTTTAGATAAATTACATTGTTCTTAATAATGCAAATTTATATTAAATTATATGTTTAGAGATCCTAAAGAAGAAAAAGTATACTCATTAGATAAAATCTGTGAATCAAACAATGATTGTACAGATAATGAATTTTGTGATTCCCAAATTGGTATTTGCGTTTGTATCAATGGTTTTCAGTTAGATGATACTAAAAAATTTTGTTCACCGAATACTGGCAGTATGGGATTATTAGGATTAAACATTTCCAGCTATGATGTAGATGAGTTAAATAATGTTATCCCAGATCAACAACAACAACTTCAACAACAGCAATTACAAATGGACACTTTCAAAAAAGTAACATTTAAATGACTATTTAATATTAGATATTCTAATATTACTATTCTTAAATTATTTTAAATTTTAGGTATTAGTTGAAAGTGAATCTCAAAAGCCACCAGAAATTAAACATTTAGTTGTCTCAGTTTTATCTAAAGTGTTAAGATTGCCAGAAAATGAAGCTACGCTTTCAGCGTATACTGTGCCAGCAGACGACACAGGTATTTAATAACTTATTTTTTATTATTCCTTTTTAAAATTATTATTATTATAGTTTAATTTGATTTAGGTCATAGTTATCAATATGAATGGTCATTGATTTCAAAAACTCAAGGATCTGGACAAACTGTATCAATGAATGATCAAAATGGAAGTTCATTAAAACTTTCTAATTTAGTTGAAGGTCTTTATATGTTCAAAGTGACTGTTACTGGCACTGGTGCTTTTGGAGAAACACAAGCTAATGTTACAGTATTACCACGTAATATTTACAAATATATTTCAATAATTTTATGATTGTATTAATAATTGTTTATTTTAAAGCACAAAGAATTAACACACCGCCAAAAGCTGTAATATTACCATCATCCTTAGTGGTAAAATTGCCTAATACAGTAGCTGTACTGGATGGTTCAAGTAGTCGTGATGATACTGGTATTATACATTGGCGTTGGGAACTACAAAAAGGTCAATTAGGATATAGACCTCATTTACCGCCTGATACTCCAACATTACAATTGAATGATCTTCAAATACCAGGAAACTATACATTCAAGTAACTATTTAATTCAAATCTAAAATGCCTTGAAATAAAATAAATAAATTTTGTTTATTATTTTATTTCAAGGCATTTTAGATTTGAAGTATAGCGATATATTTATTGATTTTACTAAGATGTGTATATTTTTAAATCTTCTATTTTTTCTTTCTGTGGAAAACATTTCTACTAAAAATCTTGCTCCGTTGTATCAAGTGTAGTATCTTTTCTGAAAGAAAATTTTATCTAGTCAACCCATTAGCGAGGTTATTTTTAAAATTTACAATGGGTTTTAATAATAATTTGTAAATGATTTGTAGAGACTTGAAATTTTGATGAAAATTGTAAATATTATAGCCTTTTAAAACATCTATAGTCAAACTTCTCTCCGAATTGTTTTTTGTTAACATTGGTTTATCATTGCTTACATATATAAATTAAATAACTTTATGTATTCTACTTTTCCAACTTCCTACAATGGCACACCCATCCCCAGTATCAGCTCTTTTTAATAATTTGTATTTTAGTTTGAAAAGTTAAAATTTTATAAGAATATTTAGAGAATATTTATTTTAATAATAAATAAATATATTAATTTTTAAGGTTGACTGTTATGGATGCATGGAATGCCACTGACTCAACTACAGCTAATATTACTGTTATGCGTGTTCCGGATTATCCACCAGAGGCAAATGCTGGTCAAGATATGGTAGTTTATTTACCAGTAAAAAATGTTACTTTAAATGGAAGTTTAAGCACAGATGATCATGGTATTGTAGCATGGGAATGGACAAAGAGTTCTTCAGATCAAAACAAAGCTGTTGACATTCAAGTAAATATATTTTAGTTTTTACTTGTGATAAAACAATATTCAATTATATTTATTTGAATTATCCATTAGGATACCCGTACGCCGTATCCTAGGTTATCTAATTTAGAAGAAGGGTTGTATACATTTGTATTGAAAGTTACTGATAATGCAAACCAAACATCAAGTCCATCAGAAGTACATGTCTTTGTCAAACCACCAACTAATAAACCGCCTATAGGTATTTTTATTTATATTTATAATAATTTATACGAAACTAAATTATTTTGTTTGCTTTAGCTGTTGCTGGTAAAAATGTCACATTATCATTGCCTCAGACATGGGCATTGCTAGATGGTTCAAAAAGTAGTGATGATATTGGAATTGAAAAATGGAAGTGGTACCAAATTAGGTAAGGAAACATCTTTTTACATATATCATTTACGGTATATTTAAATTTGTTCATATAGTGGCCCTTCAAATGTACACTTTAATAACAATAATGCGTCTAGAACAAATGTTACTGAGTTAACCAAAGGCATTTATGTAATTGGATTAATTGTCACTGATGGAAATGGAAATAATGCATCTGATATTATTAAAATAACAGTGTATCAAAGTAAGTAAATATTTTATACAAATTTAAAAAAAAAATACCTTTGTTGTAGTTTAAAAATAGTTATTTCAACCTAAATAATTTTTTTTTATAAAATGTTTTAAAAGATCATATTAAAACTGTAATTTTAGCAAGTAATCCTAGCAAATTTGTGATCATGCAAGACAGTTAGTTTTGTGTTGTTAATTTATTATATAAGTGAATTGACTTATTATACAATTTAAAATTAGAACATTATTTGTGTCAAGTTTTTGCTATTTTTTCCAATATTTTAATTTTTAATTAAGATGAGTATGTGAAATATCACAATTTTATTATGTTACTTGAAAATTAAAATATTGAAACATATCCCTTAAAATATTGATGTTCAAATAATATTAAATTTCATAAAAGGTCAATTCACTTTAATGTTAAAACTAGTAGTACAAAGCTGTCCCAAGTGAACACAAATTTGGTATGCTATATATTTTTAAGATTAAGACAGCACATGTATGTATAGCAACTCTAAAGTTGAAAATAATTACCATATTAATATATTGATTATTCCTATAAATAGTTCATATACTTTAAAAATATTCTGGCATTATGATTTTATCTTCTTACTTTTATTACATTTTATTATACATTTCAGATAAAAATACTCCACCAAAAGCTAATGCTGGTGGAGATAAGACTGTTGTATTACCAGTTAGTGCTATTGTTCTAAATGGTTCATTGTCATGGGATGATTTAGCTATTGTCAAATGGGATTGGATTCGTGAACCTAATTCTTTAGCTGCTGGAAATATAATTTTAAATTCAGATCATTCTCCAGTTTTAATTGTATGTATAAGTATTATATATTCAATTTTTAAATCGAAACTTAACAATTTTTTTTTGATTCAGGTAACAAACATAGTAGAAGGGAGGTACGTATTTCGTTTAAAAGTTACCGATGATCAAGGAGCTTCTAGTGAGGACACAGTATCAGTTAATGTTAAACCCGGTAAAATGAATTTATTATTATTATTTATTTATAATTAGATAAAAATAGACTTATAAAATTATAATTCATTTTTAGATCCAATTGCAAAGTCCATTGTGAGTTTGACTCTGTATATTGAAGCGAGCCGTTTAACTCAAAATCAAGCTGATGAAGTAATTTTAAAATTGAGAATGTTATTACCAACTGGTAGTCAATTGAAGGTTAGAAAGTGGACAGAAGAACAAAATTCTAAGCGAGCACAATTGCATTTCTTTGTCGATGACAATAAAAATAAAACACTCCCTGGACCAAATGTGGTTTCGATGTTAAAAGCGAAACTCAAACAGGATTCTTCGCTTTTACAACTATCAGTTGACAATATTCAAACTACAGTTTGTCAAAATAATTGTTCAGGTTTGTATTTAAATCATGTTATTTTTAAAATGTAGTCTACATTATTTATAATTCTAATGAAAATTTAAATATGTTTTAAAACATTTTTTTTTATATAGGACATGGAATCTGTGAAGAAGAAACACGTATATGTGTTTGTGAAGCATTTTGGATGCATAATTTGTATAGAACTTTATTTGGAGATGGGGAATCAAACTGTGGTAAATCAAATTGTATAATTTACATTATTTTTTACTATGTAGATTCTTTTAGACTCTAAGGCTGGGTTGCATAAATTTTTATTAGCGATTTACAGAGCCTCACTACCAGCTTATTAAAAAAAAATTGGGTGTTGCTTGAACGCTCGTTATCATTAACAGGTCTGTAATTTCTTGGCTATTTACAGGTTCAATTTTTTGTCTGTAACTTTTACAGATATCATAGGTAGGTTCGTTAATAGGGTCTCGATGTTTATGCACTTATATAACTGCAATATGTATGCATTTATGCACTAAAAAATTACCAAATATGCATTGAAAATCATAAAATATGCATTTTTAGTTTAAGAAAAAAAAAACACCAACACATGCACAAAAAAAAATGTATTTTACCTTAAGTTTAATTTTGTATACTGGTTTAATTTGTTCAAATTGTATGCTTTTTTTTTTTGCTTTATATTTCATTATTAATTAAAATTATTTTTAAAAAAGTTCAAAAATGTACTGGAATATGCATTTAAAATTCAAAACCATAAAATATGTAAAGTAAAAAAAGTAGTATTTAATTCTGTAAAATATGAATCAAATTTGTATCCAGGTCAGCATTGAATTGGATAAATAGAAAAAAATATGAAATTTCATAAACATCCGAACCCTAATAATAAGAATTATAATTTCTTTCTAAAAGTATTCCATTTCTAGTTTTTGGATTATTACTATTGTACAGCTTGGTTATTTCTTCCAGAGACTGGTTTTTTTTTTTTTTTTTTTTGACATTAACAAAATCAGTCTAAAAGGCATATTAATTTTTACCTTGCTTAGCATATTTTTATTAATAATTAAGTTAACCAGTCAAACAAATACCTTAATATTTTAATATTATGTGGAATTATCAATTCCATTAATGTTATTTTTTTGTCGTTGAGTAAAGTTTTTCTGACTTACCCTTTTGGCACCATCATCAAAGATCAAACAAATATTATAATGTACATTGTGGTTCGATTATTATTTTCAAATATTTATTTATTATTAATTATTGACACTCAATAATGTAATTGTTAATCATTATGGTAAAATAAAATGTAATATAATTTATTTGTTAACCATGGTTATCAATAAAATACAAATCTTTTATGCAACTCATATTTTTTTTTTACATACCACTAAAATGTTACAGGCTTGTTAGTAAAGTTACAGATTGATCTTTATGCAACCCACCCTAAATAAATAATGTAAACGTGTCTAAATTTAATTTGTAATATTTTTATTTAAAACTATATATTTATTTTTTACTGATTAATATTCCATTTATATCAATAATGACTTATTATAATTAACTAATGATATATTTTTAGTTGCTAATTAGTAATATTATAATTTGTTATAAAAAAAAATACCTATGCTAATTTATGTGTTAATTATAAAATTTATATTTTATTATACAGAATGGAGTATTTTATATGTGGTCATCATATTAGTAGCAATGTTTGTAACTACAGTATTTTGTTTTTGGAGTATTGCTTGTTTTTGCAATCGTATATGCACAACTAAACAAAAAATCAAAAAATATAAGTTGGTTGGGGTTGATGACGATAGCCATTCAATGAAAAGTGAGATTCATTATTTATTGTTAATATTTTTATTGATAATTTTATTAAATATTTAGGTTCTATGTCACACTTGGAATTATCTGACACAGATTCTGATTCAGACGTGTTGTTAGATGTCAGAAAAGCTAAAATGAATCAAAACAGCATGTCAAACAAATTTTTGAATGCTTCACGCTACAAGAAAAACAAGAAAATTAATGCTTGATCTATTGGAGAGCATATAAACATTTACAACAAACAACAGTCCATCATAAGCCTCACATTAATTGCACTAAGAGCTTTATTATTAGAGAGAAAAATGAACGATTTTTATAATCTGTTTCTAAGCATAAACGGACAGAATATTCGATACAATATTTAAGTTATGAAAAATGCTTGTTGATGAACTAAATATATTTTACACTTAAATTATATTATTCTAATATTATATTCTGAACAAAAGCTTTATAGAAAATTTTGATGTATTGTTGTCTAGTCATGCTTAATTTGTTTAATTGCAAACTATGTTGTGACAAAGAGTAACACGATTTTCACAATTATTAGCTTTAGTGTTTTTATTTTTATTATAAATATTAAATAATTATTCCTATAGGTACCAAAAGAAGTTAAATAACAAATATTAATTTTCAATTACAATTATGAGCGAAGAGGAAAAAAAAGAACAATTAATATTAATCCAATAGGTATACCTATTAATAATTGTATTCATTAAAAATAAATTGTTAGGTATATAATAAACATCAGTGTCAATTATAAAATCCTTTATTTATTATTTTGAATGACCTAATTTTATACTAACATGAAATATTTTGTAAGATTTACTACTTGTGAAATTGTAATATATTTTTGTAATTTACAATTTAATGAAGAAACCAAGATTGTTAAAACTACACAATAATTTTTCCAACAAAACATGTTTAATACAACTTTTGATCATTTTTAGTACATTTCTTAATTCATATAAATTAATAATTTGCAGGTTAACCTAACTTATGGCAAGTACTTCAACAAATGAAAGAAACTCTTCTCTAATGCAAAATTTAAAAAATAAGTGAAAATAAACTTCCAGGGTAAATAAAAATTGTTTAAATAGTTCTTATTTAAGTTCATTGAAGTGAACAATACTATTAAAATTTGGTATAGTATTATACCTATACTATATTAAAATAGGTTTAATTTAAAATCTTCAGTATAAATATTTTAGATAGTTATACAGGTTATCCCATTGAGATATACACATTGTAATATCTTCAAAGATAATAAAGATAATCAAATTTTGACAGGGTTTAACCCTGTGTATATTTGTAGTCTTTAAGACTACAAATATTTAATTTTGGATTCATTTTTTTTCTTTTTTTGGTAAAATAACTTTATTTTATTATTTTCCAAAAATTTGTACTTTGAGCTATTTTATATTCTTTTGAGTATTAACTTTTTATTTTCATTAAATTTGTGATATTTAATCATTTTTTTTAAATTCAGAGAAAATACCTACTATTATTCAGCAGGTTGTAATTGTATTCGCTAATTGATTACATTTTTCTTATGGCTAATTGACTTCCTTTTTTTTTTATGAACTTTAAATAATGATTAGAAATCACGAATCACATGAAAACAAAAAGTGGATACTTCAAAAATCCCAGAAAAAATAAATTATAAAATGGCTATCTTTAAACTTGTTGCAAATAATAAAATAAAAAGTTTTTTCTTAGTTTTTATACCAATACATAAAAAATTAATTGAAATATAAATATTTGTAGTCCTAATCATTGTGAATAATAAGGCGTATAAAAGAAAACTGAATTTTATTATCTTTATTATCTGTGGAGATATTACAATGGATTTATCTATCTTCACGGGACACTTAAAATATTTTGAGTTCAACAAATGTTATATTACAGTGTTATGTAGGTACCTATATTTTAAAAATCACAATTTAAGAATATGGCTACATATGTAACACCTGAATTCATGAATACATTTTTTTTTTTCTAAACTAAATAAATGCATATTTTGATGACAAAAATCAATAAATATATTAGTAATAAACTGATATTTATATATTATATAAAGACATAGCCCATAGGTAAACATTTTTGGTTTCAAATACATATAATAATCTTATCTTTACCACCTATAGGTACATTTATTAATTGTTTCTATAACTGATAATCTTAATTATCTTAACATTACCACTGAGTGGTAATATTACATAGTGGCTATAAAGTATTTATAGTCATTACTCATTAGTGTATGGTGTGCCACGAGTAGACTGCAGTGTGTATTATTTTATATTTCGTATGTTTTGCATATTTGTATTCTCTGAGTAAAGAAAAATTGTACTCTGTTATCTAGATTAATTTAAAATACCTATATTTTTAATTAATAATGAAAATTTAAAATTAATTTTTTTTAGGGACATATTTGCATGCATTTTTTAGTGTTTAAGGTCGTACAAATCCTAACCCTAGTCATAATAATAATATACACACCTAATACATATAGCCATTGGTTTTTCGGTTTTGGTCAATTATTAAAAATAATACACGAAAAATCGAAAACGCTTTTCTTACTCACTAATCTCTTTAATTAGATTAAAAATGTAACATAAAAGATTATTCGTTTTTTTATTAGTCCAATATTTCTGGTAAAAAACAATGTCGTAAATTCATCAGCTTTCATTTTTTGACTTTTTCCGGATTTAACCAATTATTATGAAAACTACTAGGGGAATCAAAAAAACAACTTCGTGAGCAACTGGATCCAAAATTCAATAAAAAAATTCTCTAGGAATTTTTTGATTAAAGCTTTATTTCTAGTAAGAAACAGTTCACAGAAACTAAAATCGACGATATCGGTAATGCCGTAGCGTGCTGTAAATATTTGCCATTTTACCTATCATATTTTTTTCTAGAAAAGGTACCACACTTGATGTATCGGATCAAGTTTTATTTTCAAAAAGTTATTTATACTCAGAAAAACACACATCATAGAGTAAAAGTAATCGATTTTTGACTCCGCTCCGAAATTGGTTTTTATTTCACAAGTACCTACTAGTAAGGGGAACCGGAACAATGGGGGCAACTGCCTCCACGGGAAAAAACAACATGGACAATTTCCTAGAACTTACACTCCCGTGACTATAATATTTAGATTCCAGTTATCTGCTACAGATATTATGTTGAATATAGAAACAAAACTCAAGTACATTTTATAAACTGTCTGAGCGTCATTTTATTTAAAAGTGTACTATGCATGTACACTGTACTATGTACTATGTATGTAGTATTAATATAATAATATAGTACATCCTTTTGGATAAAATTTTTAAAGAATTTATAAGTCGGGCGGCGGAGAGAAAATGTGTTTTCGGAAAAATTAAAATTTTTATTTAATACTAGCCTTGAATTGTCCCTTATCGAACTTTTGTATTATATTAAGAGATAACGGCGTAATCACAAAACGGATGTGTCGTCTGTCCGGGCATGGGAAAACTTTTACCTTCTTCTCTATATGTATCATTCCTCAGCCACACGGTTCAAAAATTGTTCTGGCGCCACTGTCTGCTAGCCAGGTACTGACCATTTATATATTTGTATGTACCTATAGCCTATAGGTACCCATATTTTACATTACTTTATGTTACGTTATTTATTTGTAGCCTGTAGGCATCTAGTAACCTAATAAATAATTTTTTATTGAATAAGGAAAACAAATAGGTTGATTTATCGAGGTGTTCGACCTAATGCATTCGTCAATACCAGAATAAATATATAAATTTTGATTTATTGTATGTAACAGCAGGCACACAAATAGGTACATAATAGGTATGCGTATGGCGTATCAATATAATGTGACATGTTTAGTTTTCGAGTTATTATTATTAATGTTCTTTATAAACAGTAAGTAAAAATGCACTTTGTAGATTAAATTTATAGGTACTTAGGTAATATAAGTATTTATGGACGTAGGTAAATATCTAGGTGGGTAGGTATCTCATATGAGGTATAACCTCATACCTGGATTATGCAAAAACTATGTAGGTACCACGGGATTTTGCGGGAGTTACCCGTTTTCGCCAGAAAAGAACTAAAAAATGCTAGGTTTAATGTTTACAAAAACCACGTCTGATGGGGAGAAGGTTGACTATGGAAACTCCGTCGTTACATTTGACCGGACAAAACAAAAAAACTCGAATTTAGTGTGTAAGCTCTAGAGAGATACAGTAAAACTTCGATAAGACAGAATCCGCGTATAATTTTTCCGTGTTAACGGAGTTCACAAAAAAAAAAAAATAAACATAATACAATTTATATGTACAATTTTAAATTAAAAGCATACATATTTATTTTTAGGCGGCATACATGATACATAAATTATATTTTTGAAGACGAAAAAATTGTACCGGCGCGAACAAAATATGATTTGATACTGAATCGTGCAACTCGGATATGGGTGTACAGGTAATATAATGTTTGGTATAAGTTTGGGTTTTCATGTTATATTTCTGTCTTGGCGGGAGTTATCAGCCGATTTTTATACGAAGACGTGTTCGTTTCCGGCTTATTGAGGTTTCCGTCTTGACGGGATGAATTCATTATGTATTTGAAACGGGACCCAAGAAATTTGGTTAATAACGGGATTTCCGTCTTATCGAGGTTTTACTGTATATGTATTGTTATTATTATACAACTGCTTTTACAACCGATTGTATTTTTGTTTAGTTTTGTTGCAAGGGCGCCCGCAGAAATATAAACCGAGGAGGGGGGCAAAGTCAAAAGTTTAAGACCTTTTTATTTTACAACTAACAAAGAATCATGGCTTAAATATTTAAGCCATGTGGGGAGGGGTGCATGGCCTCCATGGTGCCATGGTGTTTTTGTTTCATGTTGAACCATCCGAACGAAATCCTATGGCCTATGTAAGTGGCAGTGCACTTTTACAACTACTTACATCACATCTACTTAACTGCACGCACATGATATTATATTTAGGTATCATATTTGTGCAATTAAACAACGTTGAGTAGGTACCTAATTCGAATATCACACACGAAACACAAATCGTTCTATAATAGGTTATTATATCATAATATGATACACACTATATATATATTGTATACTATGATATTATACATTGTAATTATACAGTGTGTTTCATTCAAATGGTAAAAAGAAATATTTTGGCTCGTTAGATTTTGACTGAAATGAGGTTTCTCAGGTAGATCAAGGGTATTCATTAAATAAAGTTTACAAATTTGAGCTACTTTTCAAAATTTGTATCCTGTAGAAATGCGTCAGTACGCATTTCTAAAACCTGAAATTTCTTAAATAGAAATTATTATCGGCTATTTTTGATATTAGATTCAAATACTCCGATTTTTCACAATATTTAAACCAAGACTTGTCTGCGGTCTGGTGAAGAAGACAAATGTGAAGAGCTAGTTACATGCGGTCCTTATTTCAATGTTTTTTTTTTTTAGAAATACACATGAATATATATCAGAGGTTGATACAATGAGTACATATAAATGTATAATATAATTTATAGCTAGCTCAAATGATTTTTGGAAAGATTCTGATCAATATGAGTTCTCGAGTGATTTTTTTTCCCAATATTCGGGGTTTTTAATGTTAAGTCCAACTAACGGGCAATAGCCAGTCTATAGCAAAATCTAAGTTAAGAAGAATGTGTAGAATTCGCTTAGTTTTGGTTTTAGAGTAAAGCACTAAGGATAAAATTAAAAAAGGACAATATTTCAGAGGGCAAGACGATGTCTTTCTTTTTTTCAAATTAATTTTTGTACTAGATGCAGTCATTTAAAAACAATGAATCAGTTAAACGATGTACTGAACGTTACATCTGGAATAATAATCAGAATAATAAGAAAAACGCATCGTTTTTTCATTTGGATTATTATCTTCTTTTAGTTTTATAGTAGGTGATTTTACTTTTAAACCAAAATTAAGCGAGTTTTACAGTCTGCGTAAGGAAGATTTTACTATATTGCTCGTTAAGATTACTATCCTCTAAATCGATTGGTAAAATCAAAACTCACATAATATCGTATTTACTTCTATAGTTAATGCACGCAAATCTTAAACAAAATTTAAAATTGACGTCTAAAATTTTTTTTCTAAAAACTATTTGTGGGTTTTGATGACTCAGTTTTTGGTGAAGTAAAAATTAGTCTATCTTTGTTTTCTCATGCCATAGTCCCATATCAAAAAAACGAAAATTTTAATTTGTAACCTATTATACTTATTTAGCTATTTTTTTTTTTTTTTTTTTGCGGCACCGGCACGACATTAATCATGGCAACTTTGAATGTCTATAACCCCCAAACTAAGTCTGATAGACTAATTCTGACTTCACTAAAAACTCAAAACCATTTTATTAGTTTTGATTTTACCAATCGATTAAGCATTAAAATCACATTTTAAAAGGAAAAATCTGAAACAATTTAATTTGAAGTATTCTTTAAAAAATAAAATGCGCGATGCGGAAAAACTAATCTTGATCCGATACAAAGTTCGTCCGACTTTTTTTTTTACATTCCTACTGTACACGCGGAAACATACATTTTGAAAAAAAAAAAAAAAATCAAAAAAATCGCTTAAGAACTAAATTAGAATTACGAGCAAGTCCAATTTTGATTTTGTAATATTCTTGTTTTTATTATCAGTGTTCAGCATTCACTACCTATACTGGCTGTACTGTTATAGTGAATAGAAGTACACTTCATATTTTTAATACCACGACCCTTGAGAATATATATATTAATAGCAAACACCTGTTTTCAAGACCTACAGAAATCATCAAAAGCAAATGAAAAAATAAAAAAATACCTCCCGAAAAAAAAATAATATAGCGATTTTACAGTTGGTTTGCGTGCTAACGAATACGAATTTGCGGTCGCAAATACAGGCGTTATACACATAATAAACAAGGGTCAAATAACGTTTTTATTTTTCGTCGAAACAATATTATATTAATTAAATAGGTGCATGTATTATTATGTTTCGTGTCGACAGGTTTCGTGATATGAAAATCTACTGGTCAACCAAAAGGTCCGCTACCAACCAAATTGGTACAAAAACTTACTTCAATCGCAGACTCAAAAGCAGCAAGCCGGATAATTTTGATAACCTATACAACTATAAATTATTACATCTCACTTCACTTCACTGGCTAAATAAATAATTTTTTTATACGAGTTATTGAATATCTATATATTTAGAAGAATTGACGTAAAAAATTATTAACAAAATATAATATATGCCTGTCCCATTTTAGCCTACAATCAAGAATTAAGTCAAAAAGAGCACATATTTAAAATATTTCTCGCGTTTTAATTTGAACCAGTGACGAAGTCAGGATTTGAATTAAAGGGAGCTAAATTCATTTTTACTCGAGACATGAGCGAACTGGGCGAAGATAAGAGGGGGAAAGTTTTGATCACCTCAAACCATTTAAAAAAATGATTTCATTGATATACATTTTAATGTGGACAACGCTTTAAACAAAAATATATTCACAGAAACTTAATAGGTATTGAAATAAGAATATAGTATTTGTCTTAGTATAAATTTTTACTAAGTATTTAAATAATGTGAGTAAGTAAAATATTATATACAAATATCAGGTCACCAGGCCATTAATACGATCCAGGTTGTCTGGGAAATTTCCATTTTCTAGACCAATCATAATAAGTTACTATTATTATTACCTAATACCTATACTAATTATTATTATTAATCACCTATTAAATATTATTATAAATCATCTATTACCCAGGGGCAGATAGACGGGGACAATAGGGGTGATCGCTCCCCTCCTCCGTTTACTCTTTAATATACTCTTAGCTACATTATTCTCCTGAATTTATTTATCATTAAGCTCATATTAAATGTATGCCTTATATAAATGTTCAAGATCTCTCTCCTCTTCGTTATATTATTCTGGATTCACCCTGTACCTACCTATGTATCATTAATCATCAGAAAATCATCAGAAATATCATTTATATTTTTAATTGTTAAATAAATATTATTGTTTTACGTGATTATCTATACATGTTTAGTACTATATTAGTATCAAATACATTTTTCAGAGAGCTTGTCAATTTTTATAGAGAGATTGAAAGTCTATAAAATACGAATGCCAATAAAGTAAAAAAAATTTAAATTCATATTTTTTATTATAAAATATATATTACCATAGTTTATATATATATAAATCCATATAGTTTATTGACATATTATTATACATTTTATAGGTTAACAAATACTGCAGAATTTTTGCACTGATTAATAACTGCACTAATTATATTATTCTACAAATAATTAAAGTATATGAGTATTTATTTTAAGTAAATGTTATACTTCCAAAACTCAATAATCAAATAAAAATCCGTTTTATTTAAATATCCGCTTATTGCTTACTATTTAAACAAAAGATAAGTATTATTTTTCTATTTTTTTTTTTATTGCATGTTATAGTTAGTAAATTTTTAGGTATCAATAATTAACAAATTAAAATTGAAATTCAACTGAATGAAATTATAGTACTCAAAATGATGTTATACAACAGGTCAATTTTTTTTTATAACTATTTTAGGAGAAAACAATGGAATTAAATTGTACTCTGAAATATGATTCAGTAAGTAACATGATTTTAAAATACAGCTATTAATTAAAAGAGCTAATACTGCAGGGGATGGATGTGAGTGTGTGACACTGTTGTAGATGGGAAGTTGGGAAGGTTGGATTCATAAACTTATTTAATTTATACCTGTAATCAACGATAAACCATTGCTAATATGTTTAACGAATATGTTTAATTGAATTAAAACAAAAAAAAAAAAAATTTAAAATACTAAAAGAATTATTTTCCTTAAATTTACCGTTTTTTCTAAGTTTTTTTTTTGGTTTTTCTCAACTATTAAAAAAACTATTTGGAAAATAAAAAACCGACTTTTCCACTCACCAACTAGATTAAAAATGCAACAATAATAGGTTTCTTGCGATCGTTTTTTTATTTGAGCAATATTTCTAGTAGTAAACATAATCCATATAAATTTAAAATAAAAAAATCTATTTAAATTTACGTTTTCATTTTTCGTCTTTTTCCAGTTTTTCTCAATTATTATTATGGTTGGACTGATCCTTCAAACCGACCCGGGCTGAACCATAATATAATCCATTTACGAAACCAGCCCCATTACCAATTTATAGACCGGCCCAGATAAACCTTGATTATTATGAAAACTACTCGGGAAATCAAATAAAAGCGCTCTGTCTATTCGTATCGACTAGATGGCATTTCCTTTCAGAAAACGTGCTACACTCAACTATCCATCGAGGCAAATTTTCTTTTGGAAAAGTTGTTCACAGACATAAAACACACACACACGCACACACACCGTAGTAAAACCAATATAGACCTCTCGCTACGCTCCGAATCTAACAGTGAAATCAATATACCATAGGTGTTACATAGGTGGTAAAACCAACGGATTCCTCGTTCCGCTCAGAATATTTCATAATAACCGGCCCTCGCGACCGACGACAACCGCAGATTTCGCGTATCGCGCGCACACGCGCACGACTCCTACCGCCCGGGTCGACCGCCGCACACGATAATATTGTTCTTATATAGGTGCCTTACGTTTTCCCAGGATCGATCACCGCGGGCGGCGGCGCTTCTTCACCGGATACACCTTGCGCGTTACGCCCGACGACCGCGCGTAATTCTCGCCCAGTTTTATTCTCTCTGTGCGTGTGTGTGTGTGTGAGTGTGCGCGCGCGCGCGCGTGTGTTTGTGTGTGTGTGCAAGTGTCTCGCTCGCCGACACTGTTTAACTCTCGTCCGTACGATCGGTATTGTCGGTCGTACGGTCTCGGCCTTCTTCAATACACATTGTGATGTACGATAAATAACAATCACCGTACATTGCAGTTATCGAACAATAATATAGAATATTATTGTACGCCTGGCACCCGTTGACGGGGATTCACAAAACCATATTGCTGTCCGTTCCATCTGTCGAGGTAACCGATTCGCGCGTTCGGCCGAGCCGATATCGCCGCTACGGGGAGACGTTAGGCGGCGGCGTCGGCGACCAAAAGCCAACGCCATGACGTGAATTCGACACCGGCCACCTATTATTGTTATATCTAAATATATCGATATAAAACTCTGGACTGCGCCCGTTCCGTCATGGAACTAGAAAAACCGAAAAAGGTGAGTTCGTAATTGTATTATTTATTATTAATTATTACTATTGTTATTATTATTATTATTAGCATTTAGCATCGGCGTAGCCAGGAGGTGGGGTTTGGATGTTGTAACCTCCCGCGTAAGGCCATAAGGTTGTGGACCCTTAAACCCCCTAGATATCTCTTTTTAACCCCCTCTCCCTTATTGATAAACCCTGGCTACGCCACCGGTACTGAGAATAGATAGGATCTATACACATTGAGTTATTAGGTATAAATAATAAGGCGATGTTCGGTTATAATAATGTCTATATTATTTTGTGTATAGGTTCGATATGGTTAGTTGATATTGATAAAATAAATGTATAATAAATATTGCAATATTTCGTCGTGTTGTCGGACGTATATTCATCGCGATACGGGTCGTGGTCGTGGTCGGCGGGTGAGGGGAGATCATCAGAGGTGTTGGTCAGGCCACGCGTGGGGCGTTTTCCCGAAGACGTTTTATCATATGATTGTCTGCGATGCGCGTGTATTATAATATTACGACCTATGCAGTCTCGCGAGACCAAACGTACTTAATGTATTAAAGTACTTAATATTATACATTTATTTGACTATTACTATTATTTACTATTAAGTTAAGTAGGCCTAATACAGTAAATATATAGACACATAAAAACAACGAAATTAATTTCAACTTCTTTTAGAGTCCTAGTTACCTAAGACATCGACAGAGATTGATCCTATCCACTAAGACATCTATTATCATAGACATTTATTGCGTGTAATACGGTGGATTGGATTATTAGAGCCGCATATTTAGTTGACTAGAAAGGATTAACAAAGGAACGACAATCGCGTCGATTGAGAAGGAACTTTAAAATTCAGCAATGTTAATAAATAGCAGGGCAATCGATGGAACTGTTTACAGTAGGATTTGAAATAGAGATATGAGGTGCACTTGTTTGCGATCACCTATATTAGGAAACATTAGTTTGAGTTGAGAGTGTACCCTCTATACCACATGGTGGCATAGTTATGAGAAATATGCGTAATTTTTAATTAGAACGGCAAAAAATGAAAACATTTACGTTGTACTCTTTTAATTTGATCACTTCCCGGTAATGTTGGGGGACCCCATAAGATGAAACCAATTCCCATAATTGATCTTAGTTCTAACCAATGAGTGGTTAGAGAATGAATAAGTTTGAGCTCATTCACCACACATTTTACAAGTACTTTTTGCAGGAGGTAGGTTCAATATGCTTATAAAAGGATAGATTTATTAGGCCCGTAGGCTGTAAAAAGTTTGGTACCCTGTTTTACTAGCCCTTCGTAAACATACTTTGATAATATTTAAAGATGTATAATGTATATTATATACATTTTAAAATGTTTCAATTAATACTCAACTTGCATAAATAATAAAATAATATTTTGGATTTATTGGTACCATATCCATATGCCTACGCATACAGGGCGTTTTTTTTCATGAACCGACAATTTTAAGAAAATTTGGTTTCTGTTTTTTTTTTTTTAGAATTATTATGAAATCGGTTAGGTTTTATTTTAAAACCATTTTGAATTTTTCACCCCTACTCCATATACCTTAAATAAATATGTACTTTTGTTTTTCAAATAAGTAATCCTCTTTTTGAACACATATTCGAATAGAGAATATTTTCTAGAAATTTTGATACATAACATAATACTAATATCAGATTTATTATTCATGAGTTATAACCGTTTAAAGTTTAGACCGGAGGAGTAGGAAAAAATTATCAATTAAAAATAGATAGATATTTTGTTATCCTTCCCCACTCCTTTGATCTAAACTTTAAACTGCTATAACTCATAAACGGTAAATCTGATATTTGTGTTACGCAAATCAAAATTTCTAAACAAATATTCTTTATTCGAATCTGTATTCAAAAATAGGGGTTACTATTTGAAAAAAAAAAGTATGTACTTATTTAAGGTGTATGGAGTAAGGTATAAAATTAAAAATGGTTTAAAAATAAAATTTATACGATTCCACACAATGATTAAAAAAACAGAAATAAATTCACTTAAAATCTCTGAAATAATTGCTGGTTCATGATAAAAAAAAAATCACTTTGTATTATACATACAATTAAGTAAAAATATAAAAATTAAACAAAATTTATTTTAGACACCTATATTAAAAATATAAAATAACCATATAAAAAAAAGATGGACATACTCCGCACGATGGGAGCGCCACTATTGTTGGTGAGAAGTTGGATAGGTATAGGATATGGAGAAGAGTTTAATTTATATCTGTATGCAACGATAAACGATTCGGAGCAAAGTTTCTTTTATACATGTATATCAGTTTTTCGAACGTTTTTTCCAATCATTATGAAAGCCACTTGGAAAATTAAAAAAAAACAGTTCCTTAAAGTACCACCGAAATAAAACATTTTTTCGAAAAAGGTACTACATTTGAAAAACAGAGCAAGATTTCTCGTTAAAAAGTTGGTCACAGATAAAAAGAAAAGAAGGAGAAAAAATAAAAACCATTGTAAAATCTATACATTTCTTGCTACGCTCCAAATATAAAATTAATATTAAAATAAATCATTATTTATACTTTTCTTTTTCTTGCTTTTTGATGGACAAATGTGTTAATAGTATTATTCAAATATAATTTTTCAACCAATTGTGTTTCCATGCTAAATACTGCTAATGCATTCACCCTTTTCTTCTTCATAGTTGACCTCATATAGGATATTTACTTTTATAAGAACGGAGACAGCCCTCTCGCTTAATTAGTTTGAAACTGCTGTATTAAGATCATAGGCGTGCGCACGGATGTGGCTAATAGGACTATAGCCACACCTGAGATTTTTATTTAGATAAGTACAAAGTACTTAGATAAAAAGAGCCGATAACTAATTTTTTTTGGAAAATCAAAAATTGTAGACTAGTTTCTTCAGAAATATTAACTATGAAAGAAGCATTGACTAAAATAATCCATAACTGGGTACATTGGTTAAGTAATGGTTATCATTGAATTACTTTTAATCAATTTTCAATTACTCTTAAATTATTTTTAACTATGCCTTTTACAAGCTATTCTTATGAACGTTTCTTTTAAAAATTGAATTTAGTAAAGATAAAGTTGCGGTCTATTAGGAATCAGGAACGACTGGACTCTTTAATATAGGTACATGATTATTGAAGAAGATCTTCGAGTTATAATTCAAGCAATTATGATGAAGTAATTGAAGAGTTTAATGTTTTAACAGTAGGAAAACAAGGATTAATACTTTAAATAATTGTAATATTTCACATGATGTTTGTACTGTACTACTATTTATCAGTTTTAATAATACATTTTATTTCTGTTTACTTATGTTTTACTTGGCTATTTTATTTTGAGGGGGGATATGTGAGGGGGTAGGTGGTCAAAATAAAATAAAAGCAACACTTGAAACCTTAGTCTGCACACGCCTATGACTAAGATACATACGCATAATTATTTACAAATTTGGAATCATCATTTGGATTTATTACATTCATAACAGTTTATCTAAATGTATGATAAAAGTTAAAACAGTCCTATACATATAGTGACTACACTGGGTAACTTTTGGATGTTCATTTTAGTTTAGTCTCGAAAAAAAGTCAAATACGTGTGATAACAGTGATATAAATAATACCAGGGCAGTTTGCGGTGCCCCTAAATCCGTGATTGTGTAGGCTGCAGCTTACACTGCTTACTCCTTAATATACGGGCTTGGATAGATCAAACGAGAAAACCACATCAAGATTGGAAAGGACTGGTGTGAGAATAAATCCATTTATTGAATGTATAAAATTCAGTGTACAAACTTACTTCTAAATCGAACAGCTAGGTATCTTATTTCTATTGCGAGCTTTTTTTATGGCGGTAGGCAGAGAATTGAGAAAATAATATAATGTACCTTTTGCGATAGTATTTATTGGCTAAAATGAATAATAGCTCTCGTATACGATAGTATAGTCTTTCTATAAGGTCCGCAATGCAAATATTATTATATTATATGCATACAACTTATGTATACTTGTACCTACTAATTAAATTATGTTCGCTTAATCTGTTGGTGAAAACATTAACCAACAAAATTATACCTATATTATTAATTAATCATTAAATCCAACTGAAGTATTGGAAAAATTAGTTAAAAAGTAAGTATTGTAAATAATGTTCATGGTGTAATTAAATTTCAAATACAAGTATAATTTTTGTTATTGTTTAGAATTAGTTAATATGTAATATCTAATTAATGTATTTTGTAAGTAGTATACAATTTCGTTAAATTCATTAGGTTTTTTTTTCAGTAAGTCAGTAGGTACCTACGCTTATACAAAGTTGTACCGAAATCATACAATTTAATATCATTCACGTATTCATATCGATATTATTATATTTATAGTTGCAAGGACCTATCAAACCCCCGCATTCGTCAGTGTAATATATTTGACACTTTTATTATATATGAGATATTGTGGGTAGATACTACAATAAAACTGTTCATGTTTTAGTATCGATTTAAGTATATAGGAATATTTTTATATACAAATGTTTTATAGTATACCAAAAGTGATAAAACTGAGTGATATAAAAGTTTAATTAAAAGTAAACCTACTTTAAAACGTAGTCACCTTGATAGTATACACTATACACTATATATATACATTATAGGCCTATAGAGTATATAGTATAATATACGATAGAGCATAATGAAATGGATGAGGTTTTAGAAACTAAACATAAAAATGATCAAACACAACAACTTTACACAGGTAGGTAATTGAGCCCTTAAAGTTTTGGAGTACTCATAAACTGAAAAACAGTGTGAAGCTATTTTAATTCGGAACTTTAATCAAAATGATAAAATTTAATGATTTTTCATTACTTTAAATCATCGGAATATTAATAATTTATATTCGTTACAACAATGCAAATTTAAACCAGTGTCCTATTATATATACAAAGTCTGTATTTTATTTTTTCATTGGTAATTTTATATATTTTAAAACATGATCTTTGACATACGACATTACGAAACTTCAAGTCTTAAGTCTCAAGTATTTTGATACTTGTTTTGTAATTATATAGTATACTTGATTATAATACTCGCTTAATAACCCTTAATAAAGGATACATTTATAATACATGGCTGCTTTAATTTGAATTATATGGTCTTTGAATACGAACATTTATCTTTTTTTTTTATTGATTTCTAATTTTTCTAACCTTTTCAAATTATTATTATTAATAAAATAATAAAATAAAAACAAAATTATTAAAATGTTTAATACCCGTAAATAAATATATAAATGAAACATTTTTATGCCTATATTATTTATTTATATTTTTATTTATTTTATTTATTATCTATTGTTATTATTTGTGTTTATTTGGTTGTTATGGCAAACATTGCAAGTGACAGAGCTCCGTTAGTTAATAAAATGAATTAAAGTATTAGTTTTAGCCGTAGGTGTGACACTAACAAATATAATGACCCCTAATCGCTGAATTGACTAATAAATAAAATAAACAATGCAAATTTTTCGCCATTGGTCAACGACAATTAAAATTTAAACATATATTTATTTTGATTTATTTTTATAATATTGGTATACAGATAGTGACGTGTAAGTATTTTCATATGGAGGGAGAAATCTGAATATAACTTGTTATAGGTATAAAATCATTAAACATTTTTAACCCAGTTTTCAATCAGTTTGATCGATGTAAAGTGAAGTGATACGAATTCTGAAAACAGATTTCATCATAAGTAAAATTGACCAGGCCACTTTTGTGAACTTTAATTCTTAATTTTCAAAATTTAGATTTTAAAACATTTCCAGCATCTTTTCCATGTGCTTGTACCAATTTATCTGTGAGTGTTGTGTTTGGTTTTGTCTACAATCCGTTTGGCGCTTCCTACTATCGCAAAACTTATGTTGCTAAATTGGTCATGTTATCTGCTAAATGCTTAGTATTCCTTAAAGTATAATAAATAAATAAAACGTATAGGTTTTAAGTAAGTTTTTTGGAAACAAGATTGTCGAGTGCCTATACATAATGTATATAGTTTAAAAAAGTCATTGACGGTGTGTTTTAGACTGCGGAAAGTTTGAAAAGTTTCAATAAGAACCTAATGGAAACTTGTTGGTGACACCTGATTTATAGTTAATAGAAAAGGTGTGGTAGAGTAGGGTTATTTTTGGTTATTGGACGTGTTAAAAATTAAATTGGTGATTCAAGGTTAAAAAACTTCGCTATTATTTCCTCGTTTGTGACAACTAAATTATATTAAATAATAACTGTTCTTTTTCATCCGTGTCATTAATGTAACCTAGAGATAAACAGCAAAAAGTTCAATTTTCATCCTGAAATTTCCAAACACAATGTGACAGCCATCTTTTAAGGGTTATATTTTGAGATAAAAATCATTCGGCGAACACGTTCTTGTTTCGAATGTCAAGTGTACAACGTTTCAATAAGATCGGAATAAAACTACATTTTTATAGAGTGGACAGACGAACTTTCGATTTTATGTATAAAATATCGTCGCCTCCTTTACAAAACTACATAACTCGAAACTTCGATTTTTAACATATTTTTTTTTGATAATTCTATGTTTTGAATTTTTATGAATATTTTAAACGTCTTTAAAATAAATAATCTATCGTTTTTCTTGTGATTATGGCGTACTCCAAATACTCCTATCCAAAAATTATAAAATAGAAACATCAACCTATCTCGATAATAAATAATACAAAACACCGAACTCGATTATCAGTTTCTCCTTTCTCCTGGACAATTTCGAAAAATCGATTTATGCGGTTTCGCCATGGAGACGACGATATTTAAATAATATTATGTTATGTTGATAATACGGTTCTGCGTGACAATAATTAAATGTCCGATTGTTCGGGATGAAAACAAAATCTGCATTTTCCATACTCGACGTGTGCCGTATAGGTATAACAGTGTATTACAATTTACAGTATACATATGTGATGACCGTCGCGACGGCGGCGGCCGGACGTCTTCTTCGACGTGGTCCCCGAATACCTAAGGCGTAAAGTTTATATTTATCGGTCTATTTTTACGAACCTGCGTGCATAAGCATTGCACGCTCGCACATACGCGTACACACGAATATTACGAGTATATTATACGAATTCGTCGGACAACATTGACTTCCGAGATTAGTCTTTTCCGAATTACGCGTTATTATGCAGTGGGTGCATTAAACACGTTACAGTGCGATTATTGAGTGCGGAAATTAAAAAAAAAAAAATCAATAAATAGCATTTGCAATTCGTTTCATTTAAATATAATATTATAATTTTCATTGTATACTATAATATTATATCGCATATTATACTACTATATATTTGGTACACACGCGCAAGTACGACGTTGACATTGATCGAACGATAAAATAATAAATAATATTAATTTATTATGAACAACAAGAAAATATCATCGGTCCACAACGTCAACGTAAGTAACTTACAGTAGCTATATCATTTTTCGATCATTTAACATTGTTTGAGATGCCGAGCGAAGCGTATGGTTTACTATATTATTATGACTGTGAGCTTTCAGATTCTGAGTGAAGCAACTTTTTTTTTGTGAACAACTTTTCTATCAGAAATCTCGCCCAGATATTCAAGTGGAGTACTTTTAATGAAATTAAATTTTATTTACTTAGTAAATCGAGATCTTTTTTTGAATTTCCAAGTGGTTTTCATAATAATTAGAGAAAACTAGGAAAAAACGTAGGAATAAACGGACAAATATTTAAGTAGTATAACGATTCGATCCATTCTATTGCTTCTATCGAAAAATGCCGAACTTTTTATAATAATTGGGAAAAACCAAAACAGACGAGAAATGAAAACTGATAAATTTCACGATTCTTTTATTTTAAATTTTTTTAGCTTATGTTTTCTGTTCAAAATATTGTTTCAATAGAAAAACAACAAGAGATTTTTCTGGTTGCAGTTTTAATAAGAAAGTGGTTTTTTTGAATTTTCGTGTAGTATTTTTCAATAATATAGAAAAACTGAAAAAACATAGAAATAACGGGAAAATAACGAAGTAGAAATTTTATTTTTTTCAATTTTTTTTTTTGTTGTAATCCAATTAAAAATATTTGTAGACTTGAAATTTGAAACTTGAGTATTTTACGTAATTTTTATTCGGTGCGTACTTAGTGGACAGAATTGTTAGACCAAACAAAAATGCTTGAAAATTTAATAGGAGGTTCATTATACGTTGTACTTTATGGTAAAAAAAATTGAATGTAATGTGTAATGTATAATTTTTTTTTATACGAATTTTAATATCAAATTTTGATGAAAAACGTAAATATTACGGCCATTTAAAACATGTATAACTGAACCCTGCTCAGAATCGTTTTTCATTTGGTATCAGTAATGATTAATCGTTATGTACAGATATAAATTAACTTCCTCCAAATTCCTCTCTGCATCCTAACTTCCCAATTTCTTACCTACAACAGTAGCTCATTCATCGTGCGAAGTATATCTGTTTCTTTTTTGTTTTGTTTTGTTTTATATCAGTTAACAACTTATCTATGAAAATATTGTCACAACCGTCATCAATATCATTAATGATGCTTTCTAGCCTATACATATTTAAATATGTTCCTTGTAAATAAATATTCCTTGTAGTTTTTTTTAATAATTAGAAAAATAGATCAGAAAAACAGGAAAATGTACGTAATACGTTTTCTGTTCATTACAATTTTGATTTTGTTTTGTCTTGTTTTCTTAAAATTTAGTAAATAATGATTGCAGAGACCTTAAACGTTCTCCAAATGTTTATATTAGGACTTTCTAGACGTGATACAATTTTTTAAACATTCTGGCGATTCTTGAATTGTTCATAGGACTTAATTTTTGAGGTTTTTTGTCGGTTTTATGTGGATAACAATTTCCTGATTTATTTTTATCAATTTTAGATTCGAATTGATCGTAAAATTTAGTAAATACTCGTAAATTTTATTTTAAAAATATATATTCAATTTATACAATTTTATTTAAATACAACGCTCAATTTAAATTTATCAAAAAATGTTTTAACTTAACTCAGCTCAGAATCGATGCATTCAGTAAATTACCCAATACTACCCTATATATTATCTTACATTCGCAATTTCTCATCTACAACAGTGGCCTACTCATGAACAGAATATATACTGTAGGAGAAGCGTAGTGACGGTACACAATACATTCGTAGTGGACTGGCTTTTTTAAATTTAATAATTTTGAGCTTTTAGTAAATATAACATTAAGAAAAGTCTCCGGAATTTGGATAATACTAAAGTAATTTATATGCAAGTCCGTGGTAAACTACCATTAAACTGGAAATCGATCACGCATTTTGTTATTCATTTCGTTTATGCTTATTGCTTATGTTAATAATATTGTTATAAAGTTTCAAAATGTTCTATTTTTCATAAACGTATAACGACTGATAAAATCGTTGTTTTTCTTAGATTGTTTTACTCATACTACCGTATATTTTTTCTGAATCTATAGGTATGATATAAATTCATATTCGCATATTTTTGATTTTGCCAGTTTTTTTTGTGTACCTTATTAAACAGTTTATTATTAATGTATACATAAATATCAGATTACTAAAGGTGATTTAGTAGGTGGAAATATTTAGTCCAACACAATTTATACAATTTATAATGGTTTAACAGTATAATTACAACATAAAAATATATTTCATTATTATTATTCTTCTTTCTTGTACCCATATGACTCAAACGAGTAACATTTAAAACTATGTATTGATTCATCGAAACAATAATGACCTTGTGGTGTTTATACATTTCTCGCATGGAATAATATAAAACTTCAAGTAATGGTGGTTAACCCAATGTAAAAATACGATATCGTGACGTACTCGTTTTTATCGAATCAACTCAATCTTGAGCTTCTTTAACGTGTCAAAAGATGTAAAATGTGTGACATAATTCGTTATTATTATTTTTGTTTTAGTAAATCATTTATTTAATAAAGTGCATTGTATCTATACCGACTAAGTATTAAAAAATTAAAAAAATTAGTAATTTATTTATTTTAAGTAGGTATACTAACTAGAACTGCATCTAATAGTTATAACTCTATAAATGATATTGGAATGTAATATTATAATATAGGTGAATAGTTACAAATACTAAAGTTATGCATTTATAATACTGTATTATACGTACCAACATGCGTACATTTTTGTCTTGCCTTGGGTACTTAACTCAATTAATTTTACTATCTTTATTGTATTAAATTAAAACTATACAAATACATACAAATAGTGCGTCAATAGATACAATCATATTTGTTTTTGTGATTTTGTTAATTTAAAATTATTATACAGGATGATTTTTTTTATCATGTACCAGCAATTATCTCAGAGGATTTTAAGTGAATTTGATTTATGGTTTTTCTAATCATTATGGAATCGTTTAAGCTTTATTTTAAAACCATGTTTAATGTTTCACCCCTACTACATATACCTTAAATGAGCGCATACTTCTGATTTTCAAATAGGAACCCCCCCCCTCTTTTGAACACAGTTTTGAATAGAGAATATTTTTCTAGACATTTTGATATGCATAACACTAATATCAAATTTACCGTTTATGAGTTATAACAGTTTAAAATTTAAACCGGAGGAGTAGAGAAGGGTCATAGATAGGTAATTTATTACTCTAGAAAAAACAGAAATCAAATGCTGGTTCATGATGAAAAAATCACCCTGTATAGGTATATGAATTATAATTTCATACACATATTAATTAATATTGAACTGTAATATTATAATATCGTGTGTTATAGCATAATATAAGCAAATAAGAATTAAATTCATAAGGAAATCGTACAAAGTTATATTTTAGCTAATGTAGTACACGTATATTGAATAAACAAATTTTGTTTGCTATAAGTATAGAAAATGAAAACAAGTAATTTTGTAATAATATTATATGATTGTACACTAATTATGTGTACTGCAGGTTTGTAAAGAATTTTTTTTTAATTTGTGATAAATGCTAAAGCATCAAAAACTAATTTTAGATTTGAACTGAAGCAAAAACTATTAGTTTTACTAAGCGTTTTTTTCAGTTAGTAAAAATTTTTCACATTGTACCTAAAAAGATGTGGAATTTTCGTCGAGTGGTTCTTTATTTAAAAATTTGTTTAGATTCCTGACAGGTTTTAACTTAACAATTAGGGCAGCTGTCAACAAATAGGTATATCGGTTTTATTTTGGTAAATTTCTTAGTCATATTAGTTACGAGAGAAATAACATGAATATTGCTTTAGTCTTTATAATAACCTAATATAGTAATCTTACTAGTTTACCGAACTCCACTTAAAATTGATTATACATACATACATCAAATAATCATATATATCTTATTTATATCTGGCTTTTTATTTGTATGAAATTATTAACTCATACCTGAACCATAATTTAAAAAAAAATATATGTGTAATTATATATTTGTATAATTAAATACCTGTGTGGATATATCGGTTGAAATAGAAATATTAGTATAATTTTCAAATCAATATAATTCGTATAATGGCATATTATTCATAAGACCGTTATCGTTACGACGGCTTTTATTAAATTTCCCAAAGGTTTTAAGTACGTTTATATATTATACTGGTTCTATACAATAAAAATTCTCTAGAGAAATTACACGCAAAAAACATTAACGGAGGAAAACATGTCAATTTTAAATTATACTATAGAATTGAATATATTTTTACTTTACAACACGAAGGAGTAAAAACTGTTTTTTCCTAATAGTATACTTAGGTATACCTATTATTTTATAGCTTGTTATATACATAAACTTATTAGCTAAATGTTTGTACATATATATTTTATTATGAATTTCGTATTTTTTAATCAATAGGCACCGAACCGTCTAAACTGAATAATTGAACAATTAAATAAATAAAACTGTGTAAACTTAATGAAACAAATCATTTAATATCAGTCTTACTTTTTCAATTTTTCAATTAGTTTATTTTTTTATTTTTTTATATCTGTAATGTAACTAACATAATACAATCGAAATATTGAGTATAGACTGTTTTTGAATTATCGTAGTATATCTAATTTTGGAATGTTGAAAACAATTGCCATTTTGGCTCTGAAACACATTTTTACTGTCAATAGGTGACGAATGATGATGGTACGACATTTAAATGTATCCATATATATATATATATTTTTAATAGTTCGTTACCCATATCTCATATCTAAAAATATATGAGATTATTCCTATTTTTATATTAAACGATTTAAATGTAAAATAATTTTATTTATTTCATTTAAACCGAATTCGACGGGTTATGTGAATCACGATTACTCATGACACAGTTTATATTTATGCACTTTTAGAAATAGTTCAGTGGATATATTATTGTCCATTAGATTTCTAAGAAGAACCAGTTTTTTTTAGGTATCATTCTATTTGTAGCTTAAAATTAATAGTGAATTTCTATACAATTTCACGGATGTATTTTGTGAAACTAATGCGTATAAAATACTATAATAATGCACCTAGAAACGAAAAGAAATTTGGTAAATTAAAAAAAAAGTTTGGTTTAGATTATGATTATTAGTGTCTAGAAAATGTATTAAATTGCACGTTATACGATTATAAATAACATAAGTAAAACATCATAAATAATAATAAAAATAGACTAATATGTTGACTTGGATAGTTGAAAGTGTAGCTGCTGTGAATTAAACCGTATGTCCTATTTGACCTTTACGCGAAAAGGAAATCAATAGTTTCGTGAGTTTGCCTTATAACGGCAATATGACGTATAAAATCATATTATAATGTCGAACTAAAGTGAATAAATTATTTTTAATAATTTAATTAGTAGGTACCTATTTACTATATGTATTTTTATGGGTTTTATGTTTGGGTTTTAAGTACCTACCTAAATATTTAGGTACCTTAATGTACATTATTTATTCATCGATACATTTTAAAGAAAACCTAATAACCAGTTTAAAGTTCATAAAGTAATTTTATATTCAAGTTGGATAAATAACACAATTTTATTATTTATTATAACCGAAAATGTGAACTACCAAAAAGTATAATATCAAGTTGATAAATTATTATCTGGCTACATATTATTAGTTATTAGTACTTATTACGTTCGAATACAACCAAATGAGACTTGCATGCTCACAATTCAAATTGTTAAATAATTGCATTGTTGTGTAAATTATAGTTGTGAAAATAATGAAATATTTCTTGGTTTATTGGTTTGCGAGGACGTCATATCTACATGCGGTGTTCTCTGTCTTACCTGCTAATACACGATACATGACAAATTTGGCGCATCCGAGTTGGGTCCTGCGTTCAAAAATTTACTTTAGTTAGGTCCCGAGTTAATGTGGGTACTATACTAATTGGGTCCCAGATTTTCACAGGTTGTACAATAGTTGGGTCTCGAGTTAATAGTGGGTAGAATAGAAGTTCTAAAAAGTTCTAAAAAGACACTTACATCAAAATAAGAAGTATGAAAAAAACGACGTGAATGTATTTTACAAAAATAATAATTTAAAAAGGAGAAAAAAATTGCTACTATAAATCGTTTTGACATTGTCAAAACGCTCTCTTATAAATTTATAACTAATTAATTTGTACATTAGTATTAATTATTAAATTAAATTAAATAACACATTTTTAAAATTGTTTTTATATTATATTAAATTAGTATTCTTTAAAAAACCGGAGGCCATCTTCTGAATGTTTTCCAAAATATTAATTAATCTGGCAAAATAAAGATTTTTTTACCTGTGTTTTGTTTTAAATTAAAAATCACTGACAGTCCTAAGTGTGTAAAAATGAGAAGGAAATTTTGTTTTATTAATTATTGCTTATAAATGTTTGGAAGCAACTCGTATACAACCTGCCGAAAGCTGAGACCCAACTAGCATAGTACCTAAAATTTATCGGGACCCAATTAGTGTACTACCTATCCAAACCACTTGGATTCGGGACCTAATTCAGATGCAGCCCACAAATTTACATTTAAAAGGATCAATTTTGTGATGTTAGTTTTAATAATACAGTTAACTGATTTTATCAGACTTAATGTTAAGAAAATTATTTGTATTTATACTCGTATTTGGTATTTTTTTATGGTAGCTAGTAGGTAGCTATGTAAAATATTAAAATTTAAAAATACATACAGTTTATCGTAATATCGAAAAAAAAAAATTTGAACATTTGAATGGTAGCAAATAAGCAGGTAAGAGCAGACTCCTACTTGCATAGCTTAAGTTACCTACCTTTTGTTTGCTCTCGAAATCTCAAATATTTTAATAATAACGTCTTTCAGACAATAATCACATAAATATGGACTGCGTCCCATTTTTAATTTTTCTTGTAAATTACGGCCTATACTTTGTATATATGACTAAATATTATTTATTCATATATAAATTACTTCTTAGATTTTTTTTGCAAAATCAATATTTTCCTTCCCGTTTTTTAGACTTATAGTCAGGCAATATTATAATTGTATACCTAATGGTATGGTTAAAAATATTGGTTTGCTGTTTTTTGTATATAACTAATTAATGTATTATTAAAAAAGGACGGACATACTTCGCACGTGGGTGTAGCCACTGTTGTAGGTGGGAAGTTGGGAAGATAGGCTACAGACGGGAATTCAATGTATATCTGTAAGCAACGATAAACCATTGCTAACGAAAAAATATGGTATTATGTGATATTATGGTAAAATGATTAAAAAAATGTGCGTTTTCATGAACAACACTGATTGTTTAAAAAATATTAAAATAATAAAATCTTAATGATAACAAAAAATAAATAAAAACGGTTGTCAATGACAACCTTATTTTTAGTCCTTCAATCTTTTTTAACCTAAAGACCGAGTTTTCCTCATTATCTCGAATATTAATGAAAATTTCAAAAAATGATCTCTTTAAAGTACCACCCAGAGAACATTTTCTGAAGAAAAATGTGTTATACTTGATAATCGGAGTATGCTTTCTCGTAGAAAAAAGTTTTCACTTAAAAAAAAAAAATAAATATTATTGTAAAACTAATTTATTCCTCGTTCCACTCAGAATCTAAAATTGCAAGTTTATTTTTTTAAGACCAACATTTTTTATTATATTGTCAATAAATTCAGTTAATCTATCTTCAATTTTTTTCCTATGAACACTCACCATGCATCAAGCCTTTCATTACTTATTGTTGACTTTAGCCATGTCTTAACTCTGCGCAAAGTACTGAAAGACCTTTTTACAGTGCAAGTTGTAGGTGGCAATATAATATATATTAGTATTAACTGTTTGACTTCAGGGAATAATAATTCACTTCATAATTTTCTTTTGGATACTTTATCATTTTCTAAAGGGGCATATCCCCTCCAATGGGCACCCATTGTAACAAAAATATACAATATACTTTTCATTAAGTCATAATGGATATATTCATTAGGTAAATTTGGAAAATTGTTATGTCGTGTATTTGTAAGATGGAACAGTACGTCATGCCGGAATGGCATTCTCTAAACGACGGACTACGAGCTCCAGAATAATACATGTATTTATATTATATTATACTTACAAAATTTTTTTTACGAAATTTGTTTATTATCACTGAATTTTAATATTATCATATTATTCAAAATCTATCAACAAAATGAAGGGAGAATATAGTATATGGTTATGTATTAGACTATTATAATTAACTTAATTACATTTCGTAATTATAATAGGTACATTACATTATTTTTAAATAAATAGGTACCTACATATTATTCAATTATTATCATTATTTTTTCATGACGCATTATTTGAATTTTCACTCACTGACATAATTGTATGTATCTCAATAATTGACGATAATATACTCGTATTTGAATATAATCTGCATAAATTAAATAAAAAAACTTTTTATATCATTTACCATTATTCAAGGTATTTTTTTCTAAGTGAAAAATATTTTTGCAAGTAGGTGTATAGGTTTCCCTCCTAAGGAAAAACGCCGTAAGTTCAAACAAATTTAAAAATGAATTATATACATCCGAAAAATCGTAAAATTCAGATATTTTAGGTCAATATGTCATATGTCTAAAATATTATTCTATAAAACGACTATTAGCAATATTGGTTTTGACAAAATGTCGTAAATGGCCGAAAAGTTCATGTTTGCTAGGTAAAAACATCGTATAATAACCATGCTAAACAAAAACGCCGTATATCATAATATATTTATGATACGGCATTTTTGTTAAATAGGTATTTAATAAAAATAATAATTTGCGGCGTTTATACTTAGTATAAATAGTCGTTTTACTTATCGTAATATTATAACCAATAAATCATCAAAATATAATAAAAGTTAATATAATAATATACAAACTTTACAAATGATACAATATCAGTTATTTGTTAATTATTTATACGATTACCCATGGAATGGATTATATTCACGAGTCTATTCAGGTAAGTTCTATACACCAATTATACTAAGGATCAATGTAAAAAGTTAAGTAAGTACTATAGAATTTATTTATTTTTATTCCATTGCATCTATCACATGAAATACCATATGAAAATCCATATCATACTTTAATAGATAAAATGTAAGAGGTATTATGAATTTTAGAAAATCTAAAATATCAAAACCAGTTTTTCTCAATGATTTACGGCGTTTTTACTTATGAGGTATTATAGTTAGGTAGGTACTTGAATTGGCTTATTAATTAAAATCAATGTAATTGAGAGACTCTGTGTATTTGGCTCAAAAACATGCTTTACGTGAAAAACTCTCGAGCCTTATAGAAAGGCCCGATATTGACGATTATTTTTTTCGTCGGACAGAGTCAGACAGAGAAAGATTAGCCTGACAATGAATTGCGTTTTCCAATATTTAAATTTCAAATATTATATTAAGTCTTTAAAAAAAATGTATGTAAGGTTATTTAATCAATTTTTCATACCATTATTTGAAATAAAATAAAAAATCGGAGTTGCATAATATTGTTTTTTATTAAATACAAACAAAATGGTATAGAAATATTAGATTAGTAATGAAATATCCCTATTAATTCCCGTGAACAAATATTTGTTCGTAAAAACAGTCGTACTCCTTTCCCAAGATGTATATGGGATAGTACATTAGTGAAAAAGAGTTTTGTCATTAAAAGTTTAAAAATAAATTTCAAATTGTACCTATAATATTGGAGAATATTTGAAAAATCGCCACTGGAATTCTTATGCTGGTCGTAAACCGTGTAATGTGCCGGTTACGTAGTGAAAACAAGATATGTAGGTATTTCAGGTCTACGCACTTGACCATGGAAATCATATTCCAAAGATCACCAGTTTCTTTTGGCTAATGGTTTTTTGCTCGTCTATTTTTAGCATTGTGGTTAGCATATATAAGTGGTTAACATAATATATCGTATTTGTTTGTAATTATTTCAAGTTGCATTTATTTATTATTTTATGTATGTAAATTGGAACAAAAATATTGTAAACATCGTCTTCTTATACAAGAATATCTAATTATTATTTATTGTTTAGTTTGTTTTAAACAAAGTTTTTATCACAATAACTTTAGATTCTGAGTAGAGCGAAGAAGCTAATAGTTTTACAAAGATGTTTGTTATTATTATTTATTTTTTTTTTTATCTTTGTGCAACTTTTCTGCCAGAACACTTGCTTAGATTTTTAAGTGTAACACCTTTTCTGAATAAAAATCGGTGTGGGGAAGTACTTTTAGGAGGTAATTTTTCGATTTTTTCAGGAGTTTATTCATCAAATTTGGAAAACCGAAAAAATCTGAGGAAAAACGGGAAAATATAAGAAATGTAGATATTAGTTAAAACTTTTGGTAAAACTTTAAATAAATATTATTAAAGAAACTTTATAAAGCCTATTTATTTATTTTACTATAATATGGCATGTATATTGTTGACAAAGCATCACTATTAACTGAACTTCGCTCAGAATCGTTTTTTCGTAAGCAATGGTTTATTTTTTCTTACAGGTATGCATTAAATTACCTGTTACAGTAGCTGCACCCGTTCTAGGACGTCTTTTTAAATTCCCTTTTTAATCATCTATTTTCTTAAATATGAAAAACTGCAAAATTAATACTATACCAATTTTATAAATTTGAAATAAGATCGGTAATATGTATTTTAAAACTAAATGTGTAATGTGAATTATGATTACATAATTATAGTTCACATTGTGAATATGTTATTAATATAGTTGTAGCACAGTGGATTTAAAAAAAAAAAAAAATAGGATTTAATATTTTTTAAATAAACGCCGGGCCTTCCTGTATGATTTCTATCTAGATTTACCAATACGATTGTTTCATGTCCAACATACGATTATGTAGATATCTATAATACACAATATTAGATTACCGTGATTGGAGACACGTTTTGTAAACCGATCTGTAAGGATAGTGGTCGGATGTGGGAAACAAGTATCTATATGTTAATATTATCATATTATTGTAAAGATCGGATACACAGCTATACTCGAATACGTATACGAAAAGACTCACGAATTCTGTATTGTCACATACATTATTATAATAGAGAATCATCAGATGTCTTTCAATAAAGTATAATATTGCAAAACTTAAATATCACAATGTACCTGTATTGTAAATTATGTAATAATTTGGATAGAATAGATACTGCATTTTTTTTTATAAATTATTAATACCGGGGAAAAATTGCTTAAATAAATTACATTAGACAGAATAATAATAAAAAAAAGTTAAAATTGAGTTAAGCTCTTCTTCCTTGGGACCTAATAAATATTAAGAGAAAAATTCTTAAAAATAATAATGCAGATAATGATAAATAATTCGAAATTGTCTATCTAGATATTTGTTTTGCGTTCCCATCAATATAAATATTAAAATCACAAATTTCATCAGAATTCTTCTATTATTAATTAAAGATAATCTGTTTCCCACCGAACTGTATAAGATAAAAGATAAAGCTGTACCTATACCTAAATAAAAATAAATTCTGGATGCATCTATATAAATACTATTGATAATCAAACGGCAAGTAGATAGAATATAATTTTATATTAGGTATAGAATAATATTATATTCCTGTTTTATTGCATCGTTTTTTTTTTTTTACGCATTTATTATACGCTTTTTAATTTTGTCGTATTAATTGATACAATTGATACAAATTGATATACAATTTATAATTATGTATCGATTAAGTTCAAAGATCTTTTATGATAATGATAATACAATTTATTATAAAACATCGTAGATGGATCTAGAGTTTGCCGCATCAGTGCCTCGAGACGGTCGGCTAAAAATAATAATATTACACAACTGCGTACTGTGTTTTTGGCCAAATGTGTGTAGTCGTGATCGTCGAAAATTATTAAAGAATAAATATGATTTACGTTGAACGAGAACGGGGACACACTCAGAAATATAACATTTACATAATAATAATTTTACTATCGTCGTCGCTGGGATACGGTGTGTTGTGATCAGTGATAAAAGTGGTAGGAGGGGGAGTGTTGTTTTTTATTTAATGTAAAATTATCCGTTTCCTTTAGTTCTCCCTTCGAAGTCCCAGGGAAGGCTTTTATTTTTGTTATTGGGGTAATTTCAATGAAATATCAAAGGCTCACACAAATTTAATATAATTTAATTGAAAATTAATTCTTTAATATTGACTTATTATAATTATATAAATTACAATCAAATTATTTAAATTTATTTTTACTGAGCGGGCGAATTATATGGTGTATGATAATTGTTTTGAGGAGGGAATTTAATTTAAAACCAAATTAGGATAACATTTTTTACGAACAAATTTATGCGGAGAAAAACATTTTGGAAGTGTCGACTCTATGGGACCCCATTGGAAGCTTGCTCGCCTCTAGTTATTTAGAGGCTCGGGAACGCCCCGCAGTTTTTAATAAACATAGTGCCCCCTCGAAGCTTTCTATAAGGTTATAACATCGGTGGGTCGTATATTCGATTCGGAAACAAAAATTTGACCACGATTCGCATAATACTGTGCGGAACGGCGTGCGTGCGTAGTCTTTGGCCTTCTGACCATGTAGGGAGAGTACCCTTCGCAGTGAATATACTTATACGGTGACGGGGTCGGGCGTCGGAAAATTCGCGTCTCGTCGACGTTGCCGGATTTATTTTCGCAGTTTTTCGGTCGTTCCGGGCACGGGGTGGTGACGACGGTCCCGTCCGCTCCGCACCGGATCCGATCTGCACACCCCTCGCGGAGCAGCCGCCGCCGCGTATTGATTTTGCACGGTCTGCGGCGCCGCTGCCGTCGTTACGCCGCGACCCATGTATGGCACCCGCACGAACGCCACCGCCACCCGACAACACGCCGCCGATGCGGCTGCCGTTCGATATAAATGTTTATTGTATAAAACACCGTACTCTTTCCCTGTACGGCCGTTCGTTCCGCCGCCAACGCCTTCGGTGTTTTTATTGCGCTCTCACACGCATTGCCAACCTAAAAGCACGCGACCTCCACTCCCTTTCACCCTACCACCGTTCGTCCCGTCTACTCATGTAATAATATACCGAGAGACAGTATAGAATGTCATCTGATGTCACCGCCGAATTGCGCAATTTACCCAACGTTGAGATATAATATGAGGGTAGTAAAAAATAAATATAGAAACAGATAAATATAATACCCATCAAATTTTTTGACGGGCTGAAAAATAATTTTTTTGATAATATCGAGTAGTATGTATTGTATTTTATTTTAACTTTTAAGTATTATTTTATGTTTGGATAGCTGTATGTACATCTTTGTGCAGCAATAATTATTACGGACGGCCGTTTCAGATCGCGTATACGCCGAAATTTCACTGAGTATATCATCAACATAAACTTTAGTCATCGAGTTCGTATACACGCATACAGCAAGTGTGTTTTCAATGATATTTACGCTTTATTTTCGAATCTAATAGTAAACAACCCGATCTGCAGATGACCGGAATAGTTGTAGAGGTACTTTAAGTACAATTATTATTTCGCAAACAGATTTCCCGCATTGACTACGATAGTTTAAGTTTGTTTATAAATTATAATATTAAGACTTGCCCACTGGGAATTAAATCATTTAGTTTATCTAATGCAATATTTTTATATTTGTTGAACAATTATTTTATTAGGTATCTACGCAATTAGGTATCTTTTGTGATTTCTTTGCTTTGCGCATCGTTTTTCGGTGAAAACCTATCTGATTTTCGTACGGCCATATAGGTGCCTAGGTTAGTTTTTTTTAGACATGGGGGTATCTTTATTCCTTGTATAGTTTGTATAGTTTTATTATACGGGTCATAAACATGCGTACACACACACACACACACACAGGTGTATGCGGCATTTGCAGCAAGTGCGCACCAGTTACGCCCGTGGCGGTTGGTAGCAATGGTCGGGGAGGGGCCTTTGCCGTATAATGACATTTGGATGAGGGTGGCGTGCATCGCGGGGGAGGCGTTTGCCGTTTCGTTGTTGGCGTTAAGATCCGAGGGGGCCAGTTTTGTATCGGCGCCGTACGCGGCCACACCGACACACAAATGACGTAATCTTTTAGGAAAATTGTCATCATTATATTCATAGCCGTAGAAAACGAATACAAAAATCGAACATAGTTACCGCATCGCGGGCTAGGTGAAAATGGTCACCGAAACCGGACAAGTAAGCCATTTTAGTTTTAATATTAATATTTGCAACATATTATATTATATTGTTTTGTTTCGTACGAACAAAGTGAACTTGTATACACACACACACACACACACACACACACACACATACATATATACAAATGAAAACGCACACCTATTTCGGTGTAAAATCAATACGCTCTAGTATGGAGCTCACACCTCACATAATATTATGAATCTGAGAATGAAATCGGAACTTTTGTTTACGGTTATATTTAGAACGAATCGTTACAATTTATACTTCGCATATACGTTTAAAATAACCAATAAAGTCATGTCATTTGATATTGCTTACTGATATAAATGAATTTGTTTTTTTAAAGTATTTCAGAATGGCTTAGTCAAATAATATAATGTTAATTTGTTTTTAAACTACATAACTTAGATAGATATAGGTAATGTCTTATATATAAAATTGACATTCTGTCTATATGTCTGTCTGTATGGTATAGAAATATAGGAACAATAATATTCTGATCTTGATGAAACGTCGCACACTTGACATTTAAAACAAGAGAAAGATCTACTTTGCATCTCGGAATTAAACCCCTAAAGGGTTACTGATATAGGGATTTTGGTATTATAGAAACGGAAATTTAAAATTTTGTTGTTGATTTCTGGGTCATCGTGACACGGATAAAAAAATACAGTAATTATTATTTAGTTTAGTTGCCACAGAAAAAGAAATATTCTTTTTAAAAGATTAATTGTCGGGCACCGACGACTAAGTGTGATATAAGAAGTTTAATTAAAGGGATAGAAAAAATCCTGTTTTTGAATAGGTCGAGCCCGAGAATTCCGGGTAATTTAGTTTTAAAAATAAAATATAGTTCGATACAAAAAAAATAAAAATATAATATTAAAAAACCATTTTATCTACAGATTATATAACGTAGGTAACTACTTTGTTGCTGTTTCTAGACTACAGATTTAATGAGTCGAATATTAAATCAATTAGTTTTGAAAACACTGTTGATATACTTCTTTGTTAGTAGGTAACTATATTAACAATGGTACTTATTGCCACTCGTATTAATAATAAAAAAAAAAAAAAGCGTTTAATATACTCCTTGAATATTTCTGGAGATAATAAAGATAGTTAAATTATGTTTTTTTTTTTTTTATATTGCTTACAGGAACGAGGAGTACAGATATGTATACATGAATTAATTTTTTCTTTTTAGTTAAAAAAAACTTTTTATTTTATTATTTTAGGAAAATTTTAAGATAACTATTCAATATAGTTCATTTTTCTGAACATTTTAATGTATCACATATTTATATCCGATGAACAGTTTTTAAGTAACAGCCGTTTTTAATTTTAATATCCCATTTAAAAATTGATGTTATCTAGAGAACAACCAAATTGTATTATGCAAAAATATCGGTTTTCACACGAATTATTTATTTTTAAAAATTTTTTAATTAAAAAGAAAAAATTAATTCATGTATGAATATTTGTACTTCTCATTCCTGTGAGTAATATAAAACAAAAAACATAATTTGATTATCTTTATTATCTCCGGAGATATTCAAGGGGCATATCTTTGTGGGACCGCTTGTATAATAAGTACAAATTAAATTAAATATAATTCGTCTTCTTCTTCTCCTTTGTTACATCCCAGCTATTTGGAATTGGCTACCTTCATTCTAAACTTTCACTTGATTCGATTCCCTACTTCGTATACACTGGATATTTTTTAGTGTCCAAATCCAACCACCTTCTTTCGGACTTTTTCTTTCTCTCTTTCCTATTACGATTATTTTCATTACCATTCTTACTGATATTTATTCCTTCTTCTTTATGAAATTTATAAACCATCTATTTTATTTTATTTCCCTACAATCGAAACCACGCCTTGTCACCTCTTGTGTACTCGTTCTTATAATTCTATCTTCTCTCATCACCCCACTCATCTGCTTAAAAATTTTCATCTCTGATACATTCATTATCTATTTTTTTTTCTGTCTACCATCCAACATTTAAAACCATTCAACATTCTTGGTCTCGCCGCACTCTTTTATAGAACTTACTCCTAAGTCTTATTGAAATTATCTTGTCACATAACACATCTGATGCTTCTCTCCACTTTATTCAATCACACTTTATTCTAGATTATATATCCTCTTCCTTTTAGGTTCTTGCATACATTCGACATAGAGTAATTCGTTTAAGTCTTGTTCAGAAATCTTTAAACTATTTGATACAATTTTTACACCGGCTGATGAACCTGATGCAGCCCCATTTTTCATCTCTTATAACAGAGGTTCCATGGGAGTAATTTGATCCATTCTCAAAGAGATAAATTAAATATAATTTATTGTTATACCTAATTATATTAAAATAAAATGTGTTATTAATGAATTATTCTATTTACAACATGAATAATAGTTTTATAATGAAATGTAAAATTTTTTAGACGGAGGGAAATACCTCCTCATTCTTAAGAGCTGCTCGATCTGGGAATCTTGATAAAGTGATTGAACACTTAAAGAACAAAATCGATATAAATACATCAAACTCTGTAAGTATTTAAATTTATAAACGTAAAATAAGTATTTACTTAGTTAAATTACGAGCATATCTGGATTCTGGGATTATATATGATACATTAAATAAAATAAATGATTTCTAGAATGGCTTAAATGCTTTGCATTTGGCTGCAAAAGATGGGCACTTGGATATCGTGAAGGAGTTATTAAAAAGAGGAGCTAACGTAAACTCGGCGACAAAAAAAGGGAACACTGCTCTTCATATTTCTTCTCTAGGTATACAACAAATATTTTTAATTTTATTTTTAATAATAATGAAAATAAAACGTGTGTTTTAGCGGGGCAACATGATGTGGTGGTTACCCTTGTGGAACATGGTGCGTTAGTCAACGTGCAAAGTCAAAATGGTTTTACTCCTTTGTACATGGCTGCGCAAGAAAATCACGATAGAGTTGTCAAGTATCTACTCGCAAATGGAGCCAATCAAAATTTGGCGACCGAAGTATGATAAATTAATAAAACAACTAATGAAGAATCAAATAAATTTAAAACTAATTTGTTTTCTTAAATTTTAGGATGGGTTTACACCATGCGCTGTCGCAATGCAGCAAGGTCACGAAAAAGTAGTAACTGTGCTATTAGAGAATGATACCAAGGGTAAAGTGCGCCTTCCTGCATTGCATATTGCAGCAAAAAAAGACGACTGCAAAGCTGCAGATTTACTTCTTCAAGTATACATTATTTATACAAACCGATAAATTGATTCAATTAATAAAATAAATTTATATAATTTTTCAGAACGATCACAATCCAGACGTAACATCTAAGAGTGGATTTACTCCATTGCATATTGCTTCTCATTATGGAAACGATGGTATCGCTAAACTTCTCCTTGCTAAAGGCGCTGATGTTAACTATTCCGCTAAAGTATGATTGAAAGTGATATACTATTATACCAAATATAAAAATAAATAACCATTTTATCTTCCAACAGCATAATATAACTCCTTTACACGTGGCAGCGAAGTGGGGAAAAAGTAATATGGTATCATTGTTGCTTGAAAGTGGGGCAAATATTGAAGCCAAAACTAGAGATGGTTTAACGGCTTTACACTGTGCTGCAAGATCTGGACACGATCAAGTTATAGATATGCTTTTACAAAGAAACGCTCCAATAAGTTCAAAGACTAAGGTTCGGATGAATTATAAAATATTACGGTGTTTTTATTTTAAATCACATTATTCGAATTTTAAGAAAAATCCAATTTAATTGAAGCGAAAAAGAAAGTTTATAGGTACTTTGTGATTATTTTTTAGAACGGTTTGGCAGCATTACACATGGCGGCTCAAGGAGATCATGTAGAAGCGGCTAAAGTATTATTGTCTAATAATGCTCCAGTAGATGACGTGACTGTTGATTATTTGACCGGTCTTCACGTGGCTGCTCACTGTGGACATATCCGAGTAGCTAAACTGTTATTGGAAAAACACGCGGATCCCGATGCGCGAGCTTTGAACGGTTTTACACCGTTGCACATCGCTTGCAAGAAGAACCGCATTAAAGTCGTGGAATTGCTTCTCAAGTACAACGCAAGTTTAGAAGCGACTACAGAAGTAAATAATATAATTTTGAACTATGTAGATTCGTTAAAACGACAAATGAATATTATATTTCCTTGTTTACAGTCCGGCCTTACTCCGTTGCACGTTGCTAGTTTCATGGGTTGCATGAACATTGTAATATTCTTGTTACAACACGAAGCCAATCCAGATTTACCGACAGTGCGAGGAGAAACACCGTTGCATCTTGCCGCCAGAGCCAATCAAACGGATATTATAAGAATATTGCTCCGTAACGGAGCTCAAGTGGACGCTAGGGCTAGAGTGCGTATAAATATTTAGTGGATAGAAATGTTTTTTGAGAAAAAAAAAAAATAAAAATTTGTTTGTGTAGGAAAAACAAACACCGCTTCATATAGCTTCCAGATTGGGTAACGTAGACATCGTTATGTTGTTGTTGGCTCACGGCGCAGCAGTCGATTCAACTACAAAAGATTTATACACAGCTTTACATATTGCCTCAAAAGAAGGCCAGGAGGAGGTAAGAGCACTGATTATGAAACGCATTATGGATCACGTGGACACAACATATTTGCTTGATAAGTTTTGGTCTGTTAGAAGAGAATACTTTATATAGAACGATTAAATACTGTGAGTCTCTCCTTTTCCTTACATTATCATATTTTGTACGCGAGTTCAACTTATGTTACTATCCTTGTTCAGACGTTCCTGAATTGAATAATAAAAAAAAAAAAAATGAAAATTATTTGATAAAATCTTTTATCGTCATCAGATAAATATGTCATCTTCTTACATATTTTTGACAAATTAATTAGATATTTAAACATACCTACAGTCATCTTATTAATTGATAATTATATCTATTAAACGATTTCTTTTCGAGTTATTTGAGTCTGATTTTGTTATTCGAGTTGAAAACGTATCTACAACAAATGTATTAATTATTAATAATAAATATACTTATTATTTATAAACTCAAAAATAATTACGTAGGTAATAAATACAAATTAAAATGTTGATGCCAATAATGATTTGTTTCAATTATTAAATTTCAATTTTTTAAATTTCTGTAGTTCAAAAATATTAATTAAATTTTCCAAAAATATAATTAATTTATTGAATTCACTGCCATATTAGTTTTATCATATTGTGTTCATATTCTTCATCAGTTCAATTAATTAATAATCTAAATTATTGTTGAACACATATGATTTAATAACCAATATAATAGAGGGAAATGTAATTATTGTGCCAAATTGGATAATAATTTTCTTTAAATTTAATATATATATATAATTTAATGAAATAGTTACCTATTCCTTTTTTTTCATATATATTTTCCAGCCTAGTCTATTATAATCTTCCTCTATATAAAATATTGTCTTGACATTCAATACATTTATTTTCAAAATACAATTTTTATGTATAGTGAAATATTTGATGAAATATTTTGATTTTGATTACAGTATATACAAGAGTTTAGTTGTTAACATCTACTATAATAATTCATATTTCCGAATTACAACTTATTAACTAAACTAAATAATTGGCCAACTATTTATGGATCCAAAATCAAAATATTTCCTCTTAAATATTGTTTATTAATAATTAAACTATATAATACGATTATATTAATATATAGCAAATTTTAACGTTTGAAATATTATTGTTATACGGTTTAATTATTAATTATTATTAATGTGAATGTTATAAATTAGAAAATATAATAGTTTTTAAAATATTATAACCTTGAAAAGTTGTCATATTAGATGATGATAATTTTATTATTATATATTATAATATAGTGCTGTTAGTTTTTTTTTAAGTTTCATAAAATTTTATTCGACATAAATGTTATATTCGTATTATAGCATTATTTTGATCTCTTAATCGTTGTTACAATTCAAAAGACATCTTTTTATAATAGTTTAATCACCGTTAAAACCAAATCTAGAATATGGATGTGAATATTTTATGCTTAATCATTGTCATTGTTGTTTTCTTAAATTAAAAAAAAAAAAAAATTAAAACATTTATAAAAACGTTTTTTTCGCTTTGCATATCATTTTTTTTTATTTATTTTTTTGTTAAGCCACCGCCAATTAAATCTACTTTTCCATTTTAAATTTCTTTTATCTTCAAAAATCAAGCAAGTTACTCGGTAATTGGTTAAATCGATATTTATTGATTAGGTAAGTCCTAAAATTTAGTTATTCATACAGTTATTATTTTCCATCTTCCCAACCATATCTAAATTTGGCTATATATCATTATAGCCTAACTCTTAACGCAATAATAAGTTATTGTGTAATATCGATTTAATTGCTGTAAATTATTACGGGCACAGGCTTAGCTTCACAACACTGATGCAATGTAAAACATAATATTTTAAAAGCTTAAATTGATTTAATTATTAGAACAAATATTTAACTGCATTAACTACATTTTTACAAGCTTTAACTTTGTAAAGTATTTTGAACACGGGTCACGGATTAATAAGTTAATAATGTGAAACATTCAAACACTGGACTTTTTTTTGTTGGCAGGTTGCATCAGTGTTGTTGGAGAATGAAGCCTCGGTGACAGCAGCTACTAAAAAAGGGTTTACCCCACTACATTTGGCATCAAAGTACGGCAATATTAAAGTCACCAAATTACTGCTGCAAAAACACGCACCGGTCGATGCACAAGGAAAGGTAAGTAATAAATTGATTAACTTTATTTACGAGAACTCAAAAATTTTTAATTTCTCAAAGCATGATAAATTTATTGGATTTTATACTTTGATGGGTGGGTTTTTATAATAATAATAATTTACATGAACCCATTTCATTAAATTATTATTTTACAATAAAAATTGCATTTTTGAATATTTACATAAAATTATCGAATTCCTATATCAGGGGTCACCAATAGCAGCCTGCGGGCCACATACGGCACGTGGACGAATTTTATACTGCTTGTAGACAAGTAGAAAAAAAACGAAAATATAATAAGATATTTTAGTATCGTACATTTTTATTTTTGAGCAAGATTTATCATTTATCCCACTAAACAATTCTATTTGTAATACATTTAGGTATAATTACATTTTTTTCATTTTTACGTAGTTTTGAATATTTATAACATTAACTATGTTCTTAATATTAATAAATAATAGCAAATAATTATTTATTATAATAAATAAATAACAAAATATTTTGTTCTCATTACTTTAAATTGTATCACAATACATGTTAAAAATATGTTTTTTTAATTTTGATGTTCCGCAAAAAATTTCCAGATTCTTAATGTGGCTTTATAAATATTAATTGGTGTCCCCTGACCTATGTATCCATATTTTGTGATTATAATAATTACTTTTTTTTCGTATATTTAATATAGAATATGTATATGTAATATTATGTATCCTATATGAATATTGTGTGTTTACTGTTTCATATGGTAGAATATTACGTGAGTAGTATAATACCAAATTAAAAGAATGAATTGTTTAACAGTAAATTAATCAATTCGTATTTTTATTATTGATAGACAAGTTAAAGTAACTACTTATTGGATAGATTGACATAATATATATGTATATATCAAACTATTCTTCATTGATGTAATATACACAAATTATAATGCAAATAAAAAATACATTCTAGTTACGATAAAGTCAAAACTTTTGGATATCACCTAATTTTTGTTGTTAATTTATATAATATTGCATTTCTATTAAACTATTTATTTATTTATTGGAGTCTCATTAAAATTCACAAATTAATTATTTTTGGTCAGTAACAATAGGTATACTTACAAAATTATTAATAAAGTAATGTTTAATATTTTTGATTTTTGTAAAAGTTCACATTTAAGTATAAAATATGATGTAAAAAATGTTTGTATCGTCTAAGGTACTTTAGGTATCTATTTACATAAAACGTTTAGGAATAAGTTTAAATGAAGTACCTATATTAGTTAAGGCCTGATGAATTAATAAAAACTTATTGATTAGTTTTAATCCTAGTTAGATATTGAGATTTTTTATTTTTTCAATACAATTGTAATTTAATTATTATCAATTTTTATATAGTTGCTTATATGTATTATATATTAACGTAACCAAAAATTACCTATAACTTATAATTACCTATTATTAACTATAACTAAAACCTATAATTACCTATACCTAGTAACTTATAGGCTGTATTTGGAACGTTAACTAAAATAGTGAATGCGTTCAGTATTGCCAGAAAATTCTTAGTTATAAAAAATTATTATTTTAGACTTTATCTTCTAAGACTGTGTTCCGGAGAGTTAAGAAAATAAATGCTTAATAATTTATATTACATAATATTATTTTTATATGTTATTACAATTGTTATTTTAAAATTTTGAAACGGAGTTTTCGTGGGGGGAGGGAATACAAAGATCAAATATAAAGAAATAAATTACATTACGCTCACAACACTTGTTCACACTGCGTACATTTTATTGTTATTTCGTTTACATCCTTTATTATCTTTTATGGTTCAGAAAAACACTGCTAAAATCGTTGAGGCTCTTGTATTATCCCCATTTAGGTGTTCCTCGTCTTGACTACACTGTTAAAAAATGCCTGTATTATCGTTGCCAGTCCATATTATCTTAATTCGTAATTGTAATCTAATATTATTAGATATAATTGATAATATTATTATGTCTTTTTTTTTCATCAAATGAACGTTAAATGAACAAAAAAAAGTCGTTCACGTTCGTGTAATAATTGAATGTGTTCATGGCTCGATCGCGTAAAATTGAATGCGTTCTTTCCGGCTATAAGCAATAGGTTAACCTATAAGGGAAGTTTAAATTAAACAATGCCATGGGTTGATTTCCTCCAGCTTTTTGCCTCACTATCTCGTATGGTTTTAATTTCCATCGTGTACACATATAAAGACGGTTGATTGATTGATTACGATGTACCTAACACAAATGTACAGTTCAACAGTGCTAGTAGTAAAAAATAGCTTCCATTATCTACGACAGTGGTAGCGTACTTTTAATATGAAGCACCTCTAACAAACCTATACTTATTATTGAATATGTCTGCCGCATACGTTGAAAAACGACTAAATTACGGCTCTAAGTTTCAAACGAAAAAAAGGTCTCGTGGTGAATAGTTGGCGGTGAAATGAACGGCGACGACACGTTTATGGCGAAATGAACTAGACCCCAGGAAAACCCACAAACGGATTTCCTTAAAATCTTTGTAGATCAGACGCGTAGTCAAGAATTTCCAAAGAGGGGTGTTATGAAGAGATGCAAAATCTTTTTCATTATCACTATTTATTACTTATAAACACTTAAGAGGACGTACTCCGACATAGCAAATTAACGTTCAGCAAGGACTTCTTTTTGGGAATTCCTGGCTACGCACCTGATCTACGAAGATTTTAAGTAAATCCGATTGTGGATTTTTCAGTCATTAATGAATAATTTTTTTTTTAAATTACATACCTATACAAATACATATTGACTTTTGGTTATTTTAAATAAAAACCAAAGCAAACTATGCTTTAAAACTCAAATTTAGAAATTGAACATTTTTTTAGAAATTTCAATACGTGTATCACCAAGAGATCCGAGGAGTTAGGAAATGTTATCTAAACATGAATCTGAAATTTATTATAAATTATAAACTTAAATTAAGTAACTTATAAAATTATTTGTTATAATTTGAGTACTTAAACTACTAAAATGCAAATTATTTGATAATAAAATATTATTTTTGATCAACTTATACAGATTTAAAAGTTTATCAATAATATTATTATCGGCTGTTGAAAGGGTAAATTAAATATGCATAAGTTGTACACAGATTATACATTATAGTCTTTATATTTACCTACTTAAAAAAATGAAAATGGAAAAAATTGTGTTTAATAGTATGAAACGTTTAAATTATTAATAATCTTTAAATTTATTACAAAAATAGCTTTCTAAAAACTACAATGAATTTGTACCAGATGATTCATTTAAGTGGATACACTCATTATCTTGGAAAGTATTAATTTTTTTTGGAATTTGTTTTATAGAATATTCAAGAAACAAACAGATCTACAATTTTATATTTATGTTATTTTTTGTGATATTCCACTTTTAAGTTTAGATTGAAAAAAAGTAGTGGTACATTATTAACACGACACTCGTCGTACCACCACACAGATACTCCACTACTCTCCTATAACCCAAAATTAAAAATGGAATATCTCATCAACGGATCGATGAAAATAAAAAATGTCAACACTAAAATTTATTTTAACTGATACTCAATCTATTTATGGACTTTTTAACATAGGTATCCATTTGAAAATCAAAAGTAGGTAGTGGTTTTACCCCCAAAACTAAGGGCAAAAAAAAAAATATAAATATAAAATTCTAGAGCTTCTTGTTTTGTAAATGTTCTAGAAAAAAAATTCCGAAAAAAGTTAATACTTTCCGAGATAATGAGTGTACCCATTTAAATGGATCACCTGGTATATCGTTAAAATAAAAAATCAAATTAATGAAATATAATATTACGTAAACAGTAACATTTATTGTACTACTTCTCACTTATAGAACGGTGTAACGCCATTACATGTAGCGAGCCACTATGATAATCAAGCTGTTGCATTAATGTTGCTTGATAAACAAGCTTCGCCTCATGCCACAGCAAAGAATGGCCATACACCTCTTCATATAGCAGCAAAAAAGAATCAGGTAAATTGTCTACATACCTAACATAAATAAAATACATTAGGTATATTCATCGCGCTTAATCAACATTATTTAAAGTAAGCTATTGACTAATGGCGTATTTTGAAATTGTATAACAAAATTGGCGAGTGTAGTAGACAATTTTAACAATTTTAACGTGTTTATAAATTGTTTCAAATAGTGAATATTGGGTTATGTGGCTTGGTGGTCATTCACGAATCATATAAATTATAAAAAAAGAAAAAATAATTTGTGTTTTTAAAGGCAAAAATTTTAATTTTGTTCGAGCTTTTATTTAACTTCACTTGTCACCTGGTGTTTGTGTGTCTGATTGTTTTTTTTATTGTTTACCCACGGATTTTTAAGTGTGTAACCCTTAATTCTTTGGTCGCTTTGTGTTTTTTTTTTTTTTTTTGAAAATCCATTAATTAATATAAATATAAAATAATATAAACCAAGAATCAAAATGACACATATTTTGTATTAATATATAGTTTTTAATCTACAAATTACTAAAACTCAGATAGCCACCTAATTGGTAAAAACAAAATACCATTAGCTATATTTAATGTAGTATTGGGCATTAAAATATGACAAATGTAAAAAAATAGCTTTTATTTTAAATATTAATTAATTATTTTAGATGGATATAGCGGTTACGTTACTAGATTATGGAGCAAACGCAAACGCAGAGTCCAAAGCAGGTTTTACTCCTCTTCATCTTAGTTCTCAAGAAGGTAATGTGGAGATGACAACATTACTCTTGAACCACAACGCTGATCCTAATTATAAATCAAAGGTAGTAACTTATAATATTATACTGTTGTTGAATGAATATTTAAAAAGAAGTCATTATTTACTCTTTGCAAATATATGTTATAGAACGGTTTGACACCAATGCATCTCTGCGCACAAGAAGACAAACATAAAGTAGCTGTGGTTTTGGATAACTATCACGCAGACATTAATCCGGAAACTAAAGTAAATAATAATTAAACAATAAAAAAAAAAAAACATTATGACAACAATATTCAGCTATGTTATTATCTACATAATAATACTATATAAAATCAATATAGTTTTATATTAAGCGAAGGGGAACACTGAACATATTATTTTTTATATTTGTTAGTTTTGCAAATTTATTAATTTTTCGTTATCTATTAAAATTACTATTGATTTGTTAATTGATGAGTACATAACGTCATATACTTTTATTAAAATGTTAGACCGGATTTACGCCTTTGCATGTCGCTTGTCATTTTGGTCAGTTAAATATGGTTCGATTCATAACTGCTCGTCAAGGAGTCAATGTCAACGCGACCACAACTTCTGGATACACTCCACTCCATCAAGCAGCTCAGCAAGGTCATTCAACTATTGTAAGCCATCTGTTAGATAAAAAAGCTGATCCAAATATATTAACTAATGTAAGTAAATAAGTAATTATTATTATTATTTAACTATAATTCATAATAAAAGAATTGTGTATTACAAAATTTGACTTTTTTTTAAAATATAACATCGATGATAAATTGTCAAACATTCGACATTCATGATACAGTCCGTGTTATAATAATGTTATAGTAAATGAATTTATAATTAATAGTAATAGGGGTATTTTTTCATAATATTCTGACTATGAATTTTTTTTTTTTTTAATTACCTATATGTAATATTATAACATTGTGAATCGTATTATTTACAGCAAGGGCAAACGGCTCTGTCGATTTCTCAAAAATTGGGCTACATAAGCGTAGTGGAAGCTTTAAAGAACGTTACAAAAGCTGCACCTTCGTCAACCTCCGATGAAAAGTATAAAGTCATTTCTCCAGAAACAATGCAAGAAACATTCATGTCAGATTCTGAAGACGAAGGAGGTAATGTGAAAATAAATATTTACGTATATATTTGTTTTAAATATTAAGTAAATATTAAATTATGTGATTCAACGAAGATTTTAACAGGTTATGTGCAATATTGTGTTTAATAATAATAATATAATGATAAAACATTTATACTTCACCGTAGAAAAGTACTGCAAGCAATGTTAAAAAAATGCTTTTAATCTAAAAGATAAAAAACTTTAGGTACTTATATTATTTCATGTGTTGTCGTGTATATTATACTAAATAGACTAATATTAACATACACCTAATATTATTAAAGATTAACTGATTAGGTTTAATAAAATTAGTAAATCAAATAATTTAACATATTAATAAAGATATCGATAGTTAACATGATAACGCAAAACAAACGAAAAGCCATTAATAAGTGGTTTTAGGGAAAAGAGTATGAGATTTATGGAGATTAATATTTCGGAGAAAATCTTTTCGGGTTTTGCATTATTATAAATATATAAAATATTAAAAGTACAGAAAACTGTTTATTTAAAATAATACTGATAAATAAATTTGCCTCCAAAATATTGTTGTCTAGAGTCTATACATGGGTATTTTAACTCATAGGTGTGCGCAGAATATTTTCACAAGGTGTGCCATTAAGAAAATGGGTCATTATTCTCTAAGCTACTCCCCCCCCCCTTAAAAAAATAAGATAGCGAATGCAGAATTTAAATTAATTAAAAATTATACTGTTTACTACAAATGTAAAATATAGTTATTTTACGAAAATATTATTATATTATTTTTCAACATATAGAAAATCTAAAAAAAATGACCCGATTGTTTTTTAATTAATTATTTCGTTACTAAAATGTATAAAAGTTAATATTGTATTTATTATGGTAAACCTTAAATCTAAGGCATTGATAAATAATAACATAGTTAATGGTTGCTAGTTGATGGGTGTGTTTACGGTCTTAGAGGATATCTTCTAAGACAGTAAGTCTGTTTATGTGTGGGGCTCGGTAAATTCCAACACGAACTATAACAGGTGAGCAGATGAATATGTAAGTTCCGATACGAAAAAAAAATACCCGCACGTAACTTCCAATACGAAAAAAAAATACCTATACATGAATTACTACACGCATGGAAATAATAATTTTTATACGGACCATTTAAATTTTTTACCGGATAAATCATTCAAAACATATACTCAATTATTAAAAAAAAATGAATACAGTTTGAGTAATCCCAAATAAATTTGTGTTAGACTTTGAGTTATCAATGCACCAAGCAATTTTACAGCTACTTTGCCAACAGCACAAATATGGCGATGCGTTTCCACTTGGGTCAAGCTTGGTACCGTAAAATTCAAAGCTTGGGTTATACCCAAGAATTTAATAATACAAAAGTGGCTGGTATATATTATATTTGGTTTACCATTTCTCAATCCAATAGAAGTTGGAGATTGTTTTGTAGATATTATACTCATGACTAAAAAACCAGAAAATAATAAAAAAAGTAAATTCATTTTGCGATTATTTAGTGACTAATTACATAAAGGATAATAGTACGTCCCCCCCCTTAGTACTTGGGCTAGTGATACTTCTGATATAAGTCTTACAATGAATGCATGTGAAAGTTTTCACTACGAATTCAACTCAAATTGTTATCATCATCATCCTAATATATTTAAAATAATCGAAGTTTTAGTTGTAGATATATTATATTCGTGTCAGAACTTACATACTGGTTTATTATTTGTAAATGTAATAATTTACGTATGCATACCTATGGGTGACTTTTATCTGTGATATCTCGTGTAGGAACTTACATTCGATCTTATACGTAGAGATTAGGCCACCGTCGTTATCATTTTGTTGTTATAAAACACAGTTTGTTATTTGAATAATTATATTATTACTTATCATATAATACTATATAAGTATTTATATTACATTGTATTATATTAAAATCTATGGTACCTTGAGCTTGAAAGAAATCACATCATTGTAAAACTAATACATTTCTCGCTTTACTTGTAGTTAAAAATTGTCTCTTAATTTCCGGGAAGTCATGTTATAGTATACAAATGATTTAAAAATGCACATAAAACATACAAATTTGTAAACAGTAAAAATTATTTAAAATTTTAAAACAATGTATAATTATTGAATAATAAATAATACTCAATAATTAATATAAATAAAATTTAAAAAAATATATTATTCAAGTTATATTTAATAAATAATTAATTATAATTAAACATTTTAATCAATTTCTTATTTTTTATTGGATTTTGGTAAATCTAATAAATTTGTAGATATCCGTTTTGAAGGTAATAAAGACATAAATAAATATCTCTATTTGTCATAAATGGTAGAATTATTTTTTAAATAAACATTATTTCAAATTTTTAGCTGTTTACACAATTTTTTTGGATGCCTATTTGAACTGAACTTGACAAACATATTCAAAATGTTTCAACATTTTATTTATATTAAGTATTATTACATTAGTTATAATCGCACTACACAAATTGTTATAAAATTTGAAATAATTTACTATGTGAATTTAAAATAATTTGTACAACCATAGACTCATATATCTAGATGAAACATTTACCATAAAAAACGTTCTGATGGATGAAGTTTCATTTCGAGGACAAAAACACGTGAGATATAATTGGCCATCCTCGGAGTGTAAATCTAATTTTTCTTACACTAGACTTTGTGAGATAGCCTATTTCTCTTGATCCGTTCAGACCAATCATGCCTCCCAGTCCTCGGGGTGAATGTTCCGTCTAGATATATAAATCTATGACTATAACATGAAAGTAAAATATGAAAATACGAGTATAATTATTCAGATAACAAATGTTGTTTTTGATAACAACAAAATGATAACGTCGGTGGTTTGATCCGAGGCTTATAGATACTATAGAACCTATCTATAAACCTTGGGTTTAATCGACTACTGAAAAAAAGCTGTAAAAACAGATTGTTAGTAGTAGATCAAAACAGCTGATTTCTGGATTAAATTCTGTTGTAACAAAATTAATATATTATTACTTATGGGTGGGCAACCATATTATCTTAAATCGTGGTACATACAGACCCCCAGTTGATTTGATTTATCGGTTACTTAATGACAATTAGACATGCTTGTTGAGGTGAGCAAAATAAAGCCTAGAATGAGTAAATTTCGATTTCAGCCTATGGGCTACAATGTGCACATTTGGCACATCCCGTGTGCACGACTATTCTTGTTCTGTCTGGATGTGTTTTTTACCAGTGAAAATTACCGATATAATGTCTTCTTAAAAAGATTTTCTTTACTTTTCAAAACTAAATTAATTCAGCTACTTATTTGAATTAATAACTGAGCATGACCTGTTTTTTACTCAAAAACATTCTTAACAAGGCTTTTTGAGTCTCTTACCATGTAAAGTGGTTAGATTTCGATCGTTTTTTTTTTTTTGAAAGATAGATTCTTACAGATTTTAATTGTATGTTCAATACATTGGACTTGAATTTAAAAAATTATATTTTCTAGCGGTATAATTAGGATATAAATATCACTAATTTTAACATTTTTTAACTTATTTTTGTGGCTTATGGTCAAATAAAGCAAAATTAAAATCCAATGAGCTTTGAAAGAAGTTATCCCCTTCTTAAAAAAAAAAAATCTATATAGTATGTATAATTATTATTTGTAATAATTTTTGTTTTATTCAATATGTTTTTAAATAACTAGTGTGCGCTACAGTTAATATATTACAATTTTATTTATTTAGGTGGGGAAATTAAAATTAAAAATAAACGGACATACTTCGCACAATGGGTGGACAACTGTTGTAGGTGAAAAGTTGGGAAGGTAGAAGAAAAATATATTGAATATCTGTATGTAACGATTAATCATTGCTAACGAAAAACAATTATGAGTGAAGGTCGGTTGTACATGTATTAAAAGGCCGTAATATTTACGATTTAAAAATCATATATTTCGTAAATTTATACATGTTTCCTACGTTTTTCCCATTTATTATGAAAACCCCTAGAAAAATCAAAAATGTTCTCACTTCTGAAATAGATTTTTAGAAAATTATTGGTGTTTGAAATTTTTGTTTTGGTATGGTTTTTTATTTTCTATAATTTTTTGAAGTTTTTAAAAATGTTTATATTATTGTGGTTGATAATCTATATTGTTATATTTATATTTATTTTTTAGTTAAAGCACATTAACACATCAAATGACAAGTGTTTTCTTGTCCACCAGTTAATATAATACAATAATACTACTGACTATTGTTGAATAATAAAATATTAATAATATTACTAATAAGTATTATTATAATCGATTATAAACAATAATAATATACACATTTGCCAAAATTTCAAAAAAATAAAACACGATACAAAAACAAAAATTTCAACCACCAGCGATTTTCTAAAAATCTATTTTACAAACAAACTATTTTAAATTTTTTTAAAACAAATTATAGTAAAATTTAAAATTTTTTTATATTAAATTCCCTCTTCTAAAAAAAATAGAATTGTGTTACTTTAACTGTAACACAGAGACATACTAATTATTTAGAAAAATATTTAATGCAACAAAAATTATTTCATGTGTTAAATCATCGTAGGACATCCTGAGTATATAAATTGGACGTTTTTACAAAGTAGAAAAGTTAACCCTGTAAACAATGAGCAAATTTTTGAGCAAAAAAAAAAAAAAAAATTAGGTCATATGCAGATTCCTTGATAAACAATTTATAACTGATTGAATTATTTTATTAAGAATATTGTTAAGATTTTTTTAGTTGTAAATTTTAACAAATTCTTATTAGCACTTGTTAACAGTTTGTAAAAAATAATTAGTAGGACCCTAAATAAAAATATCCTATAATAATAAGGATGCTCAATTATGAATAATAAATTTAAAAAAAATTATCAAAAGCCTATCAAAACTAAAATTAACGATTTGAATTTTTAACTAAAAAATAATGATAAATATATTTAGTATATTATACATCGCGGTCTCGTTTTCAGGTAACATTAATTATAGGAATTCTAAAATATACACATACATTTAAATTTTTCAACTCTTTCGTTTGTACCTATAATATAAAATACTATTTTTGGCACTAGATTTAATTAGTCTTTTTTTCCAAGTAACTTTGATGAATATTATACATTACCAGAGATACAATTGTCTAACATTGGTGAAAACATATGTTTTGGATTCTAAGGAATGTGTTGGTTATTATTTTATTATAAATAATATTTATTTATTTTAACTGTAAACCACTTTCCTAACAGAAATCTTGCTCCGATTTTCAAGTATAGCTCATTTTCTGAAAGGAAATTTTATGTATTTGATACTTTACTTTAGGAGTGTCTTATTTTGAATTTCCGAGAGGTTTTCATAATAATTGGAAAAACCGAGGAAAAATGGGTATGTACGAAATTAATTATTTTAAATTTTGTTTTTTGTTGTAATTAAGTTGAAAATATTTATAGAGACTTGAAATTTAGACAGAAAATTTATATTTGCCTTTCGTAGACGTGATTAAATTTTCGAAATATTTCAGCCATTTTTGAGCTATTTATAGACATTTTAATTTTACGAGTTCTTAAGTAATTTTTATTCGGTAGGTACTTCGTGAATTAAATTGTTAGACTCAACAAAACTGCTTTAAAATTTAACAAGAAGTTAAAAAGTTCATTATAAGTCACACTTTGTGGTGAAAAAAGTGTAAAGTAGAATATTTTTTTATAAGAGTTTTAATATCAAATTTAGATAAAAATCAAAACATTTATAATAGAACTCTACTCAGAATATTTTTTTGTTAGCAAAGATTAATCGTTGCAAACAGAAATACATTAAATTCCCCTCTATACCATATCTTTCCAACGTCTCACCTACAACAGTGGTCCACACATCGTGCGAAGTATATCTATCTTCTTTTTATCGTTTTTTAAAATAATTCAAAACATATTATTATTATACATATGGATTATCTACGTATATGTTATTTTATGACTATCTTTACAAACAATATTTTTCTCATAAAAAAGTAGTCTAATTGCCATACTTTTAAATTTATGAATATTAAATTGTTTGGAAAATCGATAAAAAAAAATTATATTTTTTAATGAAGTATAGATGGCTTTTTGAGATAAAAAAAATTGTATTGATCAGCGTATTTGAAAAAAATACGACTAATCAATTAATCTAGTTTCAAAAATAGGTATTTCTATTTAAAAAAGAAATTTGTATTGCATAGGCTCATATAAAAATAAGGGTTAAATATTTCAATATTTTATTACTCCCCATCATGTTCTGAAAACGGAATTTAAATCCAAGGTCATAAAGCCAAAATATTTAGTTTAGCCTGGAAACAAGAACACACTGTATATTATAAATAAAGTAAGGTATCAAAAATAAATTAAATTAAGTCTTTTTACGAACACTGTTAATATTACGATCAAGAATAATAAAAAATATTTTCAAAATAAAAAAAACTAAAATTGTTTATAATTTAGAACTATTTTACTTATATATACGTAAGAAAAAAAATATAATTTGTTTATAGACATAAATAATACGGCTAAATTATTATACACCAATTTGATAAAAGCTATAGGTATATTATAAAAACAAAGACAAGTTTTTTACTTTGATTTGGTATTATATTTTCAATTTATAATACATAATGTAAAAATACAGCACTGATAAAATAATTAGAAAGTTTGCCCGCTTCCATATAGTGTTGCGCGAGCGTGGTTTTCTTAATGAAAATGCTTGTAGTATGTGATTGAGATGATGATTGGCACACAGGTGACGTTTTGCAAAGCGGAAGCGTCGAGTACGGTCTCAACACTAGAGCTCAACTAACACAAAATGTTACCATTTCGTCACGTGAGTTTTGTATAGTAGAAAAGCAAAAAAAATTAACAAAAAAAAAAAAAATTTGGACCTACGGTAAATTATTATCGATAAGTCTTAGTCAACATAATATTATATTATTATGCATGAATAATTAATACCTAGCCAAGTTCAAAATTCACGATTGGCTGTCACCCAATGGCCTAGAGACTGCTATATGGTCACGGTCCATTCCAAATATATTGATCGCGTGATGGGTCATGTAGAAAACGAAAATATCGTTTAACGACCTATAATCCGGGCTAACACCCGATGACGTTGATATATATTATGAATAGGACTTAGATATATACCATTATTTTAGATGATACCGTCAGTGTGCTTCCATCATCATCAAAGCTTAATGTGGAAAAAATAAAAATCAACAACTTATTATGATGAAATCGTATATATTGTAGAATAACAACTAATACAGTAACAAAGACGAATCCAGCATTTATTTATGGTCAGGGCATTTACCATAGGTGCAACTAGGGGGCTAGACTGTAATTTTTCATTCTTATTTTTCGAAATGTATAGTTATTGACACAAAAATTAAGTGTTTTACTTCGATTCTGTTTGCACTAAAGGATTTAACGTAAATTATAAATAGATTTTTGGTCATATTAAATTTATTTTAGTAATTGAACTATGACTCGACATAAAACATAGTTAATATTACATACCAATAAATAATACATATAAAACAAGATTAAAAGATTTATTTTTATTTATGGCTATGGGATCGATATTTGCTCTTAGTGTCTTTTCCCCTGGATTCGCTCTTTACAGTAATATCAAATGCATGTATGCTTATTTGTTCGATTTTACTTTAGATTCTGTGTGTAGTTATAGTTTTTTCTCTTTAGAAACTGCTTTTTAGTTACTTATTTAATAAAAATGCTCCACATTATTCGCGTTGTGATGTGGATATTTTTCATCCGGTGATATCTTATTTGAAAAAAAAGAATCTAGATTACCTAGAATTTGTCTACACAGTTTAAAAAACTTACATTAAATAAAGATGGTTCGGTTTTATTTTAGTTGATTTTTAAGTTACATTAGCTACTACACAAAAAACACGATTAATAGTAGTTACGATTACACTTTCACTCAGAATCATCTTTTATTGTAATTATTTATCATTGGTTTCAGTGAACAAATATTAAATTAACCTATATATCCTAGTCCTTATAAATTTCTCACCCATTAAAGTGGCCTACCTATAGTACGAAGTACGTCCAGCTTTTTTATATTACCTTCTTAATAATAATAAAACACTAAAAAAAATGTTTCTCTTTTACAAAATTAACGGACAAAAGGTCCGTCGTTGTCATTATTATTGTGTATCGAGTATCGAGTGTCGACTGAGATTTTATAATAAACTCATATATACATGTCGATCGTTCCAGTTTTTCCGAATAGCACTTGAACGATGTCCGTTTAAAATTAAATATGACCGGCCATCTGGTCAGTTAAGTTATACACCGCGCTGTTTGGCATTTTGCCGCGATGGTTTCGTCATTGGCTTTCCTCATTTCGGATTTTTCGCGCTTTGGCTTCAACAGCGTCATAATAATAATGGATCAACTTTAGAGCGGAAAAAAATTGATAAAAATAACTTTTAAGTTTTAGTTGTCCGCCGTCCGCCCATTCCGACGGTACCGTTAACTAGGTCGCTACAGTATTCGTCTTTCTTTGTAATTTCCAAAATAATACAATTTAAATAATCATAGCATTATATAAAATAACATAACGAAACGATACGTGACGTAGGTATTATTTGTTGCCATTATGTGTAAACGAAGGTTTTGCTGTTGTTGCTGTTTTAAAAAACAAAAAGAAGAATATCTTCCAGGTCAGAAAAAAAATTTATTTATAATGTTTGCAAAAATACGAACGATAATTATAATTTTTACCCAACTAGGCGACTGTACCTACTCAAAAACAAAATGTACAATAAAACCTTTTCTATTTAACTTTGTAAAAGAAAGTTAAAATATTAGCTGCTTGTCTTTATAGTTTTGCACAGTAAAACGATACTCTACAATGTAAAAATAAATCATATAAATTATTACATTATTTGAATATAATTTAATTTCTAAAAATCTAAGATTTAGTAGAAATAACAAATATATAAATAGATTATTTCATAAATAGATTTTAGAATTGTTCAACTGATTATTTAGAAAAAAGATTTTACTAACTCGAAATAATTTTTAATAAAACAAACCCTATCAAAAAGCTCTAAAATCGAATGCGTACTGTTATTAAAATTAAAATTCGAAATTCAGACTGTAATGTAGCTTCAATGCAATAATTATCATGAAATTTAAAACAAATTTTCCAGTTACATAACCTCAAAGGGCACTGAACATCGACATCACTTATTTTTTTTTTATATGATTTCTGTTCAGATTTATAGTAACAATTATTAAAATTATGATTTACTTATTTCGAATTTCAATATATTATACTTCATGCGTTTATAATAGTTAAAACATAAAACAAAATAGTACAAATTTTAAGAAACCTCATACAATTTTTACGATTTATGTTTTCTACCGGGAATATCACTCCAACAGTAAAACTACAATGAACCTTTTCGTTAAATTTTTAATCTATTTGCTGATCAAAAAATCGTATTCTGATTTTCTTTAAAGTTTTCAAATAAATTAGCAAAACCAAAAAAAAAACGTAGAAAGAGCGGGAAAATTTACGAAAATAATAGTTTTATTGTGTTAAATTTTGTTTATTTTTTTTTGTTGTAATTCAGTTAAAAATATTCGCAGAGATTTGAAATTTTGACAGAAAACTTATATTTGCTTTTTTTGGATGTGATAAAAATGTTAAAAACATTTAAGCTAGTTTTGAGCTATTAATAGATTTTTAAATTTACTAGTTTTAAGTAATTTTTATTTGGTAGGTACTCTGTGGTTACGGATCAAAATTGTTTGACCAAACAGAAATGCTTGATAATTTAACAGGAGGTTTATTATAAGTTGTACTTTTTGGTTTAAAAAAAAAGGTTGAGTGTAATGTAGCATTTTATATTTTTTTTATAAGAGTTTTAATATAAAATTTTAACGAACATCCTAAATATTAGAGCCTTTCAAAACGTATGTACAACCGAACTTCGCTCATCCGAATCGTTTTTCGTTAGCAATGTTTTATCATTGCTTAGAGATATAAATTAAATAACTTTATGCACCCAACCTTCCCAACTTTCCATCTACAACAGTGTAACATCCATCCCATATGTATCAACTCTTTTAATTTTAATTACAACCGTAAGGACATGTTTTAAAGACAATTTAGGTACTTACCAAATCATTTTTTCGAGTACAATTCAATTCCATTGTTTTCTCCTGAAATAGTTTAAAAATACAATTCGAGCTGTTATTAATATCATTTAGAGTACTATAATTTTTTGGAAATTATTCAAATTTTATGTATAATAGTATTATGTTAACCTATATAGTATGTATGCTGTTATTAGACTTATAAGGTGTAACCGAATATATCTATTAAATAATACATTATGTCAAATGAAGAACAATTGGAAATAAAAAACAAGTTATTGCGTATATTATATAATATTTAGTCAAAGCATGACGAATACCTATTTTATTTTTAAAAGCATGTACTTTTTTTGAAACCCATAACACATATTTTTTAGTTTTAAAAGCATATTTTATTATTATAGTTCTGTCGTATTATTTCGTTTAATTTGTACAATATTTAAAATTACTCGTATTGAAATAAAATAATGTTATTATTGAACAGGAGAAGAAACCATGATAAACGAACAATCGTACAGGTATTTGACCGGCGAGGAGATGAAAGGTTTCGGTGACGACTCGGCTCCAATAGACGTTACTAGGGACGAGAGATGTGACGTGAATACCGGTAAACGAGTTTATATTGCACTATAATAGTATTTTGAATACGAAAATTGGTGGCAGTGTATATAGGAAATATAATATTAATTTGAAATACTTTTGTTTACGTCCACCAGTACCCCCTACGATAATCGACGACGCCATCAGCCCGCAAACCGTTTACGATAGTTACAGCGGACCCGTGGATAATATTGACATTATTAAATATCCACCTCATGTCGGGTAAGTACCTCGTAATATTATATTTTAGTAGTCGTCATGACGATTTTCTATATCACAATAGGCGTGTTTTGGCGATGCGGGTTTGAGCAGTCTAGGTACTATACCTAATATAGTTTAGCGAACAAACTATTTTAGTGAATAACAATATTGTTTAGTGCAATAAATTGTTTGATAACCCAATGTATTTTCGAGAACCCGGTTGCCGGAATCCGCCAATAATAAAAACTACGTTTACCATCTTCGGTTATTGCTTATCAATCATTGATAGAATACTATACAGTGATATTAAAACGTATTGACGATATTGCTATCTAGTACCAAACTATGCTGTCAACTATTTTATGAAAACTGCATCGTGAAAACACGCCAAATATTATCGGCTAACGAAAATAACATAACTTTTATATTGTCTAACAAAATATTGTTTATTGTTTCAATGCGTTTCTTCTGGACAGACGTTTGCAATGGAAAACGTAAGGCTTTTTTTTATGAGTACTAACCATGTTTTTTTTTTTTTTTTTTGTATATAGAATTTCCGAATTCCGATATGTTTTATAAGAACCTATATAGATGTAATAATAGTGTAGCGGAACGTGTTATTATAATAAATAGTTGAATAGAATAATGTAATAATGTTATAGATAAATAGATAATGTACCGAACGTTAGATTAAAATATCGACTTTGTTTGGTACTACGTAATCCATAGTTTTTCGAAATATATCAGTACTAACCGAAATCTATAACGCGTCCGATGGAATTACAGATTTTTGGTCAGTTTCTTGGTAGACGCTCGTGGTGGTGCGATGCGCGGATGCCGACACAGTGGCGTCCGCGTGATAGTGCCTCCCCGACGAGCTTCAATGCCCACCCGAGTGACTTGCCGATATTTAAGACGTGAAAAACTCATACATCCACCACCGCTGATGGAAGGCGAATCGCTAGCCAGCAGAATACTCGAACTAGGTCCCGTGGGGGCGAAATTTTTAGGGTAAAACGCGTTATATTTGTAAACGGCCATAATTCGACGTCGCGAGATTTTGACTATATTCTTATTTTTCCTTTATTGTCTGTAGACCGGTCATGATCGAAGTACCGAATTTCGGATCACTCCGCGGGTGCGAAAGAGAAATCGTCGTTCTCAGATCAGATAATGGCGAGACGTGGAGGGAACATACGGTTGAAGTGACCGACGAAGTCGTCAAGGACATACTAGGAGCAAATTTCGATAAAGAAGGTATGTCATATACCGAATGTAAAGAATTTTATGTTACAATATTTTTAACACTTTTAATATAATTTTCTTTTACACTATTTGATAAAAATGTTTTATTATATATAATTCTCTATTTTATATATTTATAAGAGAAAATTGCTGTAATATAAAATTCTGTACACTCTTTATATCATGAAATTATAATTATAGTTAATATATCTAAACGAAATGTCATAAGCTTTTATTATATTCCCGTTAGATTCTAGTATATTGTGCAATATAATGTTATTCAAACGAGACAAAAATACAAGACAAATTCTGATAAATAGATTTGAATAAAAGTTTAATGTAAAACACTTAACCTGTTATGGTTTTTTTTTTTTTTTAAATAAGTGATTTAGGTAATTATTAATGTCCGGCGACATTGTTGACGGACATAATGTTTACGTTAAATTGATTTTGAAAAAAATACTATGGCCGGAATCGTCAAGAGACAATCCAGTCTAGGGTCTGGGTTTTTTTTTGTAGAGAATGGCATAGTTAAAGAAAACAAAACAATAATAATTAATACGTTTTGCAGACCGTGACCCATGGCATTCCGGTAACCGCCTGACCAGGATCGTGACCACGGAGTTCCCCCACTATTTTGCCATCGTGTCGCGAGTCAAACAAGAAGTGCACGCGATTGGGCCTGAGGGAGGCATGGTTTCGTCGACAGTGGTGCCACAGGTGCAGGCGGTATTCCCGCAGGGGGCGCTCACCAAGCGCATTAAAGTCGGCCTACAGGTAAACTTGTTTAAACCGCGAAGAAATGTGGCTAGCACGTGCCTAAAGAAAATCTCCGTTAACCACGTGCCGAAAAAAAAAAGGTTTTCGTTGATGTGGTAAATACCTAGTTCACACACCTGACGTTTGCATAATGGTGGTGGTCGATGTTTGTTGGTGGTGTCTATTACTTTTGAAAGATTAACATTTACCTATCTGAAAAGACAATAAGAAATCGATTGAAAAAAAAAAACGCTAATACCTACTCAATAATTTTTTTTACCCAACGCTTCCAACACACTCACACATTGCGCATAACAAACAAACAATATTGAGTAATATTATATTTATTTTAATCGTTGTCTTTTTTTTTTATACATCTCCTAATGTTTCTAGTCACTAATCTTAATATATACTATCTTAATGTATATTATTATCTAGTCAATTCCCTACCTCCTTGGTAATTTTTTTACCATTAAGTATATATTTTTCTTGTGATTAAACGGTTATAATATATAGCTATTTATTTAAATAGCTCAGACCGTGATATGTATTATATAATCAAATTACCGTAGATTTTTTTTCGAACAAATACCTATTCTTAAAAAATATTTTAAATACATCGGTAGGTACTTAATTTAACTATACCTTACACTATTTAACATTCGATATATTATTTATATATTTTCAAACTTTTGCATACTCTATAATATTATACATCACGAAATATTATTATGTACGATGAAGTTCGGTTTTTGACGGCACGTTTCGGACGGATGCCAAGAGCTTCATTACATACTGCAATGCTGCAGCTGAATAGTGTAGAATATAATAATAATTTAACAGTTATTACTCTAAACATCCAATCCTGTGTACTCATATATAATATTATGAAATATTTTTTTTTTCATCACAATAATAATTATTGTAAATTTATTTTTTTAAATTAAGTTATATACTTATTAGCTATAATATCATTTTACTCACAGATATTGTATACGATATTAGCACGATTTTATTATTATTATTACTACTACTACTACTATTATTATTATTATTATTATTATTATTATTATTTTAATAATGTTTTATTTATTATTTTTTAAACACATTTTTAATTTAATTTTTTTTTTTTTATTTTAAATGCCCAATAAATATAGTATATAAATACTTTTTTTTATCAAACTAACATGTTTTCTTTTTTTGATTTCAATTTCTTTCGAGCTCAGATAGTTTTATTTTTTATGTCTAACATAATATGTAACTTAAATGCAATATATACAAATTATAATATACCTAGATATATTAAATTTGTTTATATCGATTCACAATTTACTGAAAAAAATAAAATATATATATATAATATATAATTCGTGTCAAATAAAACTGTTTGAGTCAAGCCTTAATCTCAGTTCAGTCCTTTGGTTCCAGCTAACCGAATACGATAATTGATGTCGTATTAAAAAATATATAATATATATATTTATAATAACAATAATCGGATCACTAGTAAAGTAACTAATAATAATCACTAAACAATAATAATAATATTATGACATTTATTAAAAGCTACTATTTATTGGGCCATCATTTTGTTTAGTATATTACGATTTATTTTATTTTTTTCTTACCTAGTGCATACCCGATTTTGTTTTGCTTTACCATCATAACAATACACTGCTTTTGGAATACACACAATGCTTATAATTTATGTATGAAAACTACTTGCTAACCAGCGAATATCACCGACAAACACGACGGTGGCACGCCGTATTCTTGGCCAAACGATGTACATTCAAAAACATCATTATTTGTGATCAATTATTATTATTACCTACTTGTATTATAATTTTGATGGCCCTCGTTTAGTAATAATATGTACCTGGTGTATGGGTTCAAGTCACATTTCGACAGGCGGTACCTATCTATACAATCAGATAATATCTTTTTCCGACGATTTAAAACATATAATTCAGTTCATATATAATATAGTAATTGTCCGCAATGAATAGTATTATAATATGAGCTTTTTACGCAATGAATAAAATGAGAATAAAGAAGACGACCTAGAATAATGGGGATGGTGCAGCCAATGTTGTAGGTAATTTAATGTATGCATGTAAACAACAATAAACCATTGCTAACGAAAAAATGATCCTGAGCGGAGTTCAGTTGATAGTGATGCTTTGTTATAAATACATATGTCATATTATAATATATGAAATAATTAAATACCGATTTTTCCGTTTTTCCTAAATTTTTCCCGGTTTTTCAAATTTATTGGGAAAACTCTTGGGGAATCAAAAACACGACCTCCTTAAAGTACCTTCCCAGTCAAATATCCTTTCAGAAACATTGCTTTTATTGTAAATCGAAGCCAAATTGTTTAAGAAAAAAAATCGTTATATTTTAGTAATATATTTCGTAAATTTTCCCGTTTTTTTTCTTCTTATTTTTTCAAATTTGATGAGAAAAATTTCGATTTCATTTCAGAAAAGGTGCTACAATTAAAAATCGAAGCAAGATTTTTGGTAAAAAGTTGCGCACAGATAAAAAAAAATGTAAAATTGTAAAATCATAAGCTTCTTCGCTCCATTCAGAATCTAAATATAAACTAAGTAAAATATATACCTATAAGATGAGTCAACATTTGAGTATTATTTAATAATACTCGTGTGTAGTTGTGTTCAAAATGTCTCTATGACGATTGTTCATCAATGTTCTCTTTAAAAAGTATCATATTATAATCTAAAATATTAACATGAAAAAAATGGCCAAGTATTACATTTTAACTACATTATGGTAACAACCGCCAAGTTGCCAAGTTTGTAATATTGTGTTATAAATAACAATGTTGTCCGTAAAATATAACATCAATATAATACATAAATTCAAAACGACCTATGTATGATAAATCAGTAAATATTGTAGGTTCGGTTTACAATAGTCAATGATAACAAATTGTGGGTATACACATGTAGTACAGATTAATAATATTATTGTATACCCGTTTTGTCAAACAAAAACTTTGAGGGGGTGTTATAACATATTTTCGACGCAAATTCAGCATTGAATTATCATAATTAATCGAATACTTATTTACGTTAAATTTAGTATTTTAACCATTCAATACGGACGGATAGTGACAATTTTTCTCTCTCTCGCAAAGAACATTATTATGTATATGTTTTTGAATTTCTGATAGAAAACGGTTAAAAACAGCAATTTTCACCGGAAAAGGTGAGATGTTTTTTTTGTCCGATACGAAAACAGGCTACCTACGAGCCTGTTTTTGCGGTTCGTTTTTACGTCCGGAAAAAAATGCTGATAACCGCGGTAAAACACCGGAACCGCATTATTGAGACACGTCGGCGTACATGCGACCGACTGCGCGTCATTGAGGCATTGAACGATGATCGGCGACCAACGTGCTAATATTAGTAACTTGTTCACGAAATAACCCTATACAGTCAAACCGTACACCGCCTATAATAAAATTAGTATCACGTTATGAGTGAAACGAAAAACAAAAAGCTGATACTGGGAATGGGTGCCGCCACTGTTGTAGGTGGGATTTGGGAAGGTACAGGATACATAAAGTTATTTAATTTACATTTGTAAACAACGATAAACCATTCTTAATGAAAAACGATTTGGAGTGAAGTTCGGTTATACATGTTTTGAAAGGCCGTAATATTTATGATTTTCGTCAAAATTTGATATTGTAATTCATATTAAAAAAATCAAAATGCTACATTACACTCAACTTTTTTTTACCACGAAATATATCTCTAAGTAATCAATCTCCTGTTAAATTATTAAGCATTTCTGTTTGATCTAACAATTTTATACACAGAGTATCTACCAAATACAAATTTCGTTCAAAATTCGTAAAATTAAAATGTCTATAAATACCTCAAAAATGGCTTAAATGTTTTGAAAGTTGTACCACGTCCAAAAAAGGCAAATATAAGTTTTCTGTAAAAATTTCAAATTTCAACGAATATTTTAAACTAAATTACATAAAAAAAAAAAAAAAACACAAATAAATTATTATAAAAACCATTTATTTCTTTAATTTTCCCGATCTTTTTATGTTTTGTTTCGGTTTTTCCTAACTGTTAATAAAACTACAAAGAAAATTAAAAACTCACAAATTAAATTTAAAAAAAAAAAAAAATGTCTAGGCACTATTTGATAAAAGCAATATTTCTAATTAGAAAACATAGTTCGTAAAAATTAAAAAAAACAAGTTGTTTCCGGTTTTTCCCAATTACTTTGAAAATCCCCAGGAAAATAAAAAAAATTACTATTCTAATACATCAATTAGACACAAATTTCTTTCAGAAAAGGTGCTACACTATATCGGATTATATAAGTACCCACAAAGTTTGTTATAAATCACCCGTTTATGGCTCAATTTAAAAGTAACCCAAATATCCCAAATAAGAGATTACCTATAGCCTACCTAACACATGAATAGCTAAAATATGATTTCATCGCTAAATAGTGATTTCGATACACTAAAAAAGAACTAAGTGTTTAGGCATTTAATTCAAAATTTGTTGATTTAATTAATTAGAAATTTTTATCAAGTAAGTGGCGATAATTAAGTACATACAATAAGAAGTTATAGTTCTTTAAATATTTATACGTTTTAAAAAAAAAATTTAATTTAATTTTAGAGAATTCGAATCACAAAATATCAACTATAATTGCTAAACATGTTCCTAATATTTGTTTAGTAAGTATACTTACAATGAAGTGTTTAATGATTTTGAAAAAAGTCTTTATATTTTAAAAGTAATAATTAAAACTTTTATTAATGCACTTGCATAAGCCTGTATTTTATTTTTGTTTATTAAATGGGCTAGAGTTCTATATTATAGGTGTAACGACTATAAGGTATACTTTTAAAATTGAAAAATAGTTATTTTTTTGTAATTTTAATCTTAAATGTAGAGTAAAATATCCCTTTTCAAATACATATAGAAACTTTAAATTTAAATTAATAATAACTATTATAGAATCTATTTAAACTTTGTTTTTAATCGATTAAAGTTCATTAAATTTACAAGAATTATAAAATAAAAACCATTATGTTTTTGAGTAGTAAAAATGCTATTTATTCACGGTGTACCTTTAATCTTTGGTTTATTTTTCTCAGAAGTCACTTTTTTGCCGTGAAAATTCGAATGTTTTGTCCAGTGGTACTTTAGTTAAACAGTTTTTTAAGATAACCGACAGTTTTTCTTGAAAATTAATAAAACAAAAAACAAATGGTGGTACCTGTATAAGTTTTATTTTTGAGTAACTCTGACTAAAATAGGAAAATGATACGACCTATACTGGGTATAACACAAACCATATTATTTTTTGAGCCCAATAGAATATTGATTTTTGATTTCAATTATTTATTTCGTTGCATTCAGCTTATAAACTAAATTACCAACCGTATATCTTATTATATACCTTTACAACTTCCTACCAAAAACAGTGGGCAGAATGGTGTGAAGAATGCCTGGCTTTTTTTAACTACCTGTCTATGTTTTATCCTCTAATGTTTTCTAAATAATACTGTAATAGGTAATAATGCATTGTTATACACATCAGAAATCTCACCGGTATAGTCATGGCATATCGTATCATAGGATATTAAATTGCACTACGTTGTGGTTGACACGTTGCGTCGCTTGTAATCCGAACGTATACCTATAATATTGTAAAAAATGCTATCAGTCAGAGTAACATCTAAATAATAATTATTGTGAAATACAGGATGTGATGAAGACACAAACAAAAAATAGATTTAACCAGTTTAATATTAATATAATATAATATATTTAAAGTAAATTATTCAACTGGCTTAAATTTTTAATGGTAGACTGAGTGGAAAGAGAATCATGCTGGTTCGATACAATATTGGATATTCACAAACACGTAGCCAGGATTTTTTTTGGGAGGTGGGGATCTAAATATAAAATTTATCTTATTTTTAATTTTTTAAATTTTTAAAATATCAATAATTGTCTGGGGAAAAAAAATTAAAACGTAGTATTGGGTAGAAAATCAAAGTACGATCTGATTTTCGGATGAGAAGCATAAATTTCGGGGATGGGGATTCAGAACTTATAAACCCCCCTGGCTGCGTGCCTAGATATTTGTACTTGTCACATCAAATAAAACTACTCTTTTTTTCTTTTTTTCTAAACGAAATGGACGGTGTACTATATACATGATAATTTATTAAGCGTGCTCATCCTGTATAATGATTTTTTTTTTTAAATCTGAGCCAATTAGTTTTTTAAATAATTTGAAAACATAATAATTTTATAACCACTGAATTTCACGTAAGCATTATCGTTTTCAATATTTATCACTGCGATGATGTTTAGGCGTTTCGTGGTAGAAAAATAGTGTGACATCATAATTAAGAAATTAAGATATATATTTATATATATATAAATATATCGTTATATTTAACCTTAAATTTTACTCTTAAAAATTCGTTTATAATCGTTTTTAAAATCGTAATATTTCTAATTTAAAAAAAATAATAAAACAACGAGTAGGTAGTTTTATTTACAGATGCGCTGAGTACAAATATTATAGATCAGGTATTTGAGACCGCGGTTTTGTTTTTAAAAATACGTATTTTCATATTTATACGTTTGACCGCATTTTTGTATTCCGACAGGCCCAACCGATTCCGCCCGAGTTAACGGCCAAGTTGTTGGGCAATCGAGTGGCTGTTTCGCCAATCGTCACTGTCGAACCGAGGAGACGAAAGTTCCACAAGCCAATCACTTTAACGCTGCCCCTGCCGCAAGCTTCTTCAAAAGGAATGATAAACCATTATTCGGGCGACGCACCTACGCTTAGGCTCCTTTGCAGCATCACAGGTAATCTAAGGCCGTCCGAAATATGTATAAATTCGTTTTGTCTTTTTTCTTTCTATATTGGTATCGATGTTTATCCATATACCTATTACATAATATCTCTGTTTTGTTTTGTTTTTATTTTGGTCTATTACTTCAGTCCTCGTCACTATATTATCATATAAAATCTAATCGGTATTTCTTTTGATTTTTTCGTTCATTATTAATTATCATATAATAATTGGCATATACTTACCAATTTTACTTATACATATCAAACAATAACACTAAAAAAACAAAACAAAACGTTACGATTCAAGAACATTGATTTATTTTATATGTATATTTTTTTAATTTGTTTGTTTATTTTTTTTTTTATAAATCAACTTTATTTGAAAATTTTCGATTAAAATCATTTTTATTTTTGGCTCTCACTGTTGCGTAACACGATACTGCACTGTTTTGACAGGGTTGTTTCGGAAAAGATCTCGCAAAGGTAAAGACTTATATTATAGAAATCAAATAAATAATAAGAAATGATTTCACTTGATATTTTTTTTTTTTTCTTAATGTCACCCTCGTTTATTTTTTGTTTATTTCTTCAAGCTGACGCTATTTTATTATTACTTTCATTACTATTATTATTGTTATTATATTAGGTATATATATATATATATGTTTAATTTTTATAATTGAGATTAAACCACATCTCTAAATATACAACTCAAGTGTTTTTGATCACGATAACTTTTCATATCATTTGGTTACCTTAAAATATACATTTAATCGACATACACATATTATATTATATATATATATAATTTTTTTTATATTAAACTACACTATTTTTTTATATTTTGGTAGCGGTAGTGGGCACGAGCATTTGTTTTTCTTTTCTTTCTTTTTTTTTAATTTTTGTATTTTTATTCGACACAAATATCTATTTTTGAATGTGATTCATTCGATAACACATTACCTTAATAAATTTCCCTTTTTTTTGTACTTTCAAATGGTTAATGCACTCATTGCTCATATACATATATATATAGATATATATAATATATATTTGAAAAATATAATAATATATATATTATATTAAAAAAAATACGTACCAATAAATTTGTCTAATGATATATTTTAACGATTAAGACACGTGATCTTTTCTGAAACAAAATCATTAACTTAAGCTTAAACGAATAAACAAATAAAATAACACAATAGTTTTCGCTTTGCTTAACAACTTGTAGTTTTAAGTTCGCTTTGTACATGATGTGGAATGAGTTATGTGTGGTAGAAAGATTGGCTTTTGTGGACCTCACCCGAGTTAACTAAAATTTTCTGTGACTTAATTATAATAATAACGTCTATATTACCGAATTAAAAATAAAAAAATCATTTTTCACTACACAATGAAATAGTTTAATTGTGTGTGAAGTTCTTTATCGTATATATATATTTCATTATTATAGGAGGAACGTCTAGGGCACAATGGGAAGACGTCACTGGCTCAACGCCTCTCACGTTTATCAACGATTGCGTTTCGTTTACTACGACGGTATCTGCTCGATTTTGGCTGATGGACTGTCGGAATGTGGCGGATGCGTCTAAAATGGCCACTGAACTATATCGGGAAGCAATACACGTACCGTTCATGGCCAAGTATACAGAAAAAAAAATTGATGTCCCAGAAAACAATATTAGAAAGTTGAAAACTGACTATTGTCGTTTTTTTTTTTTTTAGATTCGTAGTGTTTGCCAAACGAACGGATACAAACGAAGTTCGTATTAGATTGTTCTGTATGACTGACGATAGGGAAGACAAAACCTTGGAACATAAAGAACAATTCACCGAAGTTTCTAACAGTAGGGATGTCGAAGTATGTCACAGTGATAGTAATACGTATGTCGTATATATAAATGTCATTTTATTTATTTTTAATCATATAGGTGCTTGAAGGTAAACACGTATACGTAGAGTTTGCAGGAAATTTGGTACCAGTCACCAAATCCGGCGAACAGCTACGACTAGTTGTTCGGGCGTTCAAAGAAAATAGATTACCGTTCACAATGCGTGTTAAAGACCCTAATGCCAATCCCCATTCTTGGACTATTATAATGAAAGAACCAAAAGTATGTGATTGTAATGACAAAAAAATTAAATGACATACAATTAAAATAATTGATATTATTGATATTGTATATCTGTGAATCGTTTGTACAGGTTTCTAAAAATGAACCCGCGCAAAACCCAGTTTGTGTTTTGGAATTTGGATTACCCGAAAATATTGTACCTGAAACAGACGTAAAAGAAGACAAACATTACAATTACACATATACTCACGATTCAAGTAAATACAAATAAAATAAACTGTTTTGTTTATTAATTATTTTTTCTATTTTATAGACATCGAGTCTCATAAACGTCCTGAATTGAGAATAACTGATATTAGTAATTTCGTTTCCGACGACTGGATAAACTTGGCACATGAATTAGGTTTTCAATCTACCGATATTGCTCAAATTCAGAATGAATACCCGGAGAGTAGCGGTCAACAATGTATGAGTATGCTGAACTTATGGATGAACGAAGTATCTGGACAGGATTCAGGTTGGAGTTATTTTAATTTTCATTTATTATGCAAAAAGGCAGTTTAAAATATTTCAAGCAAATACAATTGATAACTTAAATAACATATAAAAAAATGCAAGAGACACACAAATAAAAATATATAATATTGATTAAGATTAATGAATAATGCGAGACGTAAGGTATTAAACGTTATTTGTAACTCTAAACATTTGGTACAATATATAGCTGTGACCATAGTGGTTTTATGTACTGGTATATAAAATTGATATTGAGCTCTGAAGACATGAATTGGGATTCTTAAAGGTATAAGTACAAAGAGATCAGGGACATCGAGTGAACCATCTAAGAGAGCAATAGAGCATATTATAAAGCGGGTGGTTGGCATGTGAATATTTAGGGCCTGTCTTAAGTTGAAATAATCAGAGAGTGTATGTAGAATATTCAATTTTTAGGAGCGTAATTTAAAAATTATTTTTTTAATATGTCATGTTTTATTATCAAACGATTGTGTGCCTTTAATGTTACTCTCGTTTGTACACTAAATACTTGTTAAATAAATATTTAAAAAAAGGTAACGGTTTTAATCTATAGATATTGGATATTTATTTATTTATTTTAAGTCTATATTTAGTAAATAAGTAACTAAATTATTACCTAAATATTATAATATATTTTTTTAATACTTTGTAGTAATTATATACTATAATAGGATTTATTATTTTTTTTTTTAATAATATATTTACATTAAAAATAATTGAGTTTGGTTGAACAGTTACAGCTTTAGAAAGAGCTTTGAACAATATTGGTCGATCCGATGTAGTAGCAAAGTGTAATTTTGCGGAAATTGGTCACTATCCTTCGCAAAATGGCGTTAGAACCAATATAGAAAAACGCGAAAGTAATTCAATAATTGTTATTTCAACACATAGATACGCGAATAAGTATAACATAATACTCTCGTTTAGGTTATCAATTGTCGGATGATAAATACGCGGCTGAAGAGAAGGCGGTCGTCGAAGATGAAATCACCAAAACTGTGACCGAAAGACGAATGGAAATCGAACAAAGGTTAACTGGCGAGCCGGTCGTTATTGAGAAAAAACAAGAACCGCTTGTTAGAGACGACACAGTCCAAGGGGTAGCGTCCAAGCCTGCGGACGTCCCGACTGAACCAATCGAACCTACAGAAGTATCGTTTGAACACAAACGCATGTCATTTGAGAGAGGCGTTTCTATTGAACAGGTGCTCCAAGAAGATATTCCAGTTAAAGAAAAATTGGTCCTGTCTGAAGAAAAAAAGATGACGTCGATCGAAGAATATAAGTCTATAGATGCGGACGTAGACGCGACAAGTTTGACATTTCACGAAAAAAGGTTATCGTTCGAACAAGGTATACCAGTAAAGGAAATTATACAGAAAAAGACTGAGGAAATCGTCCCAGAGTTCACTGAATACATCAGAGAACATGAAAAAGAATCAGAATCAATAAACGAAACAGAATTGCTGATTACAAAAAGAAATACAACTTCGATTGAAGGTAAACAATTAGAGTTTATTATGGTATTAAATTTACTTAGTGATTATTCTTCACAAACATTAATGTAGATACTAGATAGAAAAGAATGAGATTAGTATTATAAGTAGGTATCAATAATCATGTTTACCCCCTCTCCTCCTAAAATCAGTACTTGCGTCTATCTAGAGTAAGAATTACGGCATTTTAAATGTTTTTGTCATGCACATACAGAATACAAATAGTCAAAAGATGTGGATAAGAAGTGAAAAATTAAAATAACAAATTTAATAATAAAAAAAAGTGCTAATACTCAGAACGTGTGTCATACTGTTATAGATGGGAAGAAATTTAAATGTCTATAAATAACTCAAATATTTTGAAAATTTGATCATGTCTAGATAAAGCAAATATGAATTTTCTATCAAAATGTGAAGTTTCCACGAATATTTTAAACTGAATTACATTAATAAAAATAATAATAAAATTCAAAATAATTTCAGAATTATTTTCGTAAACTTTCTTTTCATTTCTACGTGTTTGCTCAATTATCATTAATAACTATTAAAAATTCAACAAAAAAATCTCTATTGTTTTTCTATTTCCGGTATAAAATATAAGTTTTATAAATTTAAAATAATGAAATCGTTGTACCGTAATTTGAAAAAATGTTTATAATAATTTAATGCACATTAGAGAAAATAACATGATAAGAACAAGCTATAATTTTATTATTATATATTAGTACATTCAGTCACTAAAAAGTGCCTATATGTTTGACCGCAACATAAATGTGCACAGCTCGTCTATTGAATAGTTTGTAGGTCTATGATCTATTAATTAGTATAAGGTTACATTAAATTTAGTTTTTTTTGTTGTAACTTTGTTAAAAATATCCGTAGAGACTTGACATTTTCACAGAATACTTATATTGTATGTATACAATTGTTTAACAAAACAGAAATGCTTGAAAGTTTAATATAAGGTTTATTACAAGCTGTATACTGATTTCAAGGGACGCACTTATTAATTCAATTGTTATCTTTAACAGATTTCCAGATTTCCCTAACATCAAAATACTTGATTTTTCTAAAAATCGTGTTTTTGAGTTTAAAATACCAAAAATTTACATTTTTAGAATTTTTTTTTTTTCTTAGAAATAGTACTAACTATATGCTTAAAATGTTTGTGCAATCAGAATTCACCAAAAAGGTTAACCATATTACTACTATTATTTCTAAAAAAAATTCCAAAAATACAAATTTTTCGTATTTTTTTAAAAAATCGAGCATTTTGAAGTTTTTTGACCATAACTTCCAAATGAAGTTTGAGCGACTTTTTAGGAGAATACCATCAGATCAATCATGCAAAAACACACATATTGGAAAAAAAATATACAAAAGATCGCTTGGGAGCTAAACTGCTTTTACGCCACACAAAATAACTAAATATAACTAAAAGTTCGTGGATATATTATATCTATAACCGTGATCGTGGTTAAAGTGTATGATATTTGTATAAAATAAATAATGAGGAAATTGTTATCAATTTATATTGAAATAAAAAATTATAATACATTTGTGTTCAAATTCCAATGTATTTGTTATTTCTACAATTAAACCTAAAAACACATTTTAAAACTTCGGACACATATTTGTAATACAGGGAACACAATTTGATTTTCAGGGGATACAAAGTGTGTCTGGGGACACAGTATTTTAGGCCCTGCTTAGTGGTAAAAAAAAAAGACGTTGATGGAAATCGTACAAATTACAAGAAAAAACAAAAGTAAATTTATTCTGAGTTCCAATAAATTTGACTAAATCAATTACCAAGGAACAAAACAGAAATGCTCGTATTTCCTAAAAATGTATTAAATCAAATCGAATATTACCGAGTTTGCGTCAAAACTGTCTTTGAATTTAAATACTGCCTATAAACATTATAGAAAATGTCCTAACCTCAACCGCATCAATTAAAGTTTAACTGCACTTTTAACTACCTAGGTACTTATAGTAAAAAATTAGATTCTTTATTCTATTCCCCTGTATCCTAGCAGAGGCAATTTGGACAAGTCACCGTCGCCGTTTTGACGCCAAAAAAATTACCTTATTACGATTTTATTCGTAATTACCAATTACCAGTCATTATTTATTTTGTATTTTTTCCCTACATTGTATAATACAAATAATTCAATAAATACAAATTTTACTTCGCGATGACTGCTTGTGCCTCTTGAACAATTTGTTCACGCTCCCTTGTTTGGGAAACACTATTCTAGTTCATGGGTGAGGAGCTAAGCCTTTGAGCCTTTGACCAACAGTAATCCATGACAGCCGATCATTATTACTAAATTTACCCATCATTTCATTAATTAATAAAATTATGGGTAAATTATGAAATACAATCAATGTACCTACATATAGATATTATTTTAGACTTTAAACTGTTTTTCTATAATTATTATGATCAGTAATAATTTTATTAGATACACAAATTTCTGATACGAAAGTAGAACCTAGTCCTAGCATTGAACTGACTAAGGACACAAACGAACAAATAAGACGCGATTCTTTATTGTTTGAAGAAGTTTCTCAAGGTTTGGTGAAACTAGATACGGCTGGCCCAAAAGTCGAAGACAAATGTAAGTTGTAACATTTTATATCAATCTGTAAGTAATATATATAGTATAAAGCTATAATGCTATATATATTATATCTAGGTAAACCTATAAAATATAATATAATATCATTAAACTAACGATTTCTACAAACATAAACTATATTTTTAAACAATTTGTTTTTTGGTCAGCCGGACTACTATCGCCTCAATCATCTAGAACACCTCCACCGAGCCCTGCAGAATTCAAAGACACACAACAAATTGAAACCACAGAATTCCAGCCGGACATTACTGAAAAAGAACAGCTTACAGGTAAGTGAGAACTATTTTGTTTTGAACCGTTTATTGAATTTAAAGTGTACGAACCGCAAGCCGTAAACGTGTTTTGTTTTTTTTTCTTTTTTAAGCTATTATATTGTTGAAACTTAAACACATTAGGTAGGTATATGGAAATATGTAGGTCGTCATGAGTTTAGGCATCGTTTAAGGTTTCTTCTTAAAACAATGGCTTCTTTCGTCGTTAACTAGATAATCACATTACACTGATATAAAAATATCAAGGAATGGAGGGAGTAACACACTATATTACACTTGTCGACCTGTGAAAGGATTGTTTTGAACAGTTGGAAATAACGCGTTTACATATATACCGTAGGTATTCGCAGGATATTAACTGAAATTTATATCGCGCTCACTATATTTACCGTAAGTACCTATATAAACCTTTAGCTATACAAACATAGATATTTTCTTTTTTTGTAAATTTATTTTAATATTATAAAGAAGAGATCAAAGCAATAACACGTCATTATAAAAATAATATAATTTCATGATATTAATTACCTATATTTTATGTATGTATGATTAGTAAGACAGATGAATTGAATAAAACAAGTTATTTTAATCACTTTTAAGACAAAACTTGTGGCTTGCGGTCGTATATACACTTCAATATAAATGAAAGTTTAAATAGTTTCAAGTAAAAAAATAACTAACATAGCCTACATGTGTTTGTGTATGAGTGGCTTGAATATGTGATAACTTATCCTAAATTTGTGTTGCAAATATTAAATTTCTAATAAAATGTTACCAAATTGTTTTTATTTGGAAGTTTCATATTTAATTTACTGATTATTTTTAATAAACAATTTAAAAAGAATACGATAATCATTTTCACTTTATTATATAAATAATAATTCATACTTAAAATTATTTATTTTTATGAGATTCTATATAAAAATTTACAAAATATAAAAATTATTAAGAACTACTATAAAAATTAAGTTGTTTGCAGCACAATATTTCCTTTAATCCCATCCATTCAATCATCATTTAGTAAGGTTTTATTCATAACAAATAAAAATTGAATCAATATAATTCTTATTGATGTTTGAATTTATTACTTGATTTATATTTTTATGGCTTTCGCGGTTAAAAGGGATATTGGCTTTATATTTTCAATACATTAAATAGCTTAGATAACACCAAAATAATTATTTTTGATTTATCTTCAAAGAACATTTTAAATTGTATCAAGTCAAACATACCCTTCTGTAAACCGCTTTTATATTATGTATTTTTGTATTACTTTTCTGTTTTAACAAATTTTAACAATTTCTTTTACGGTGCTTTGATTTTTGTTCTGTAAAATGTAATCATAAATAACAAGCCAATTTCATAAACAAAACTCACACAAATTTTAACTCTGTAACTGGCTATGCATCTATTAAATAAGTTACACAAATAGTATTTAAGTTGTAAAATAATATTGACATTATAATATTATATACATTGTAGTGTACCAATACCTAATACAAATGCTTTTATGAATAGTTTGATTTTAAATCATTCAAATACAGAAATGGTCAATAATGTATCGATTATTTTAAAAAATCAAATAGAAATTAATAATTTATATAATGTTAATTTATAATTCATTCATTAAATTCAATATTTAAGAAATATAAATGCCCATCTTTTTACCATTACTCAAATATTTGTTTAGTAAGTGTATAATATGTAAAATTAATAAAATAAATATCTCTATGAAACAAATGACCAAATTAGAGTGATTATAAGTTAAAAATTGTTTTCTTGAAATGTTTACAAATATATTTAAGTCTAAAATATAAACTATACACTTTGTTTTTCATTGAAAATCAATGGCATATTATGAAACTAATCAATAAATATATTATCTAAAGAATATTTACTAAACTAACTCTAGGATATATTAAATATAAAATTCAAAATTAAACAATTATTACAACTAACATGTTATAATGTAGATGTTTGTAATAGTGTTTAAATATATTGAAATTCAACTAATTTAAATTCAACAAGATAAAAATAATGATACTTTGTAATTGAGTATTTACAGTAGGTATAAATCTTAAAAATTAAATTTTAAAGATATATGTATACAAGTTACGTCTGATAAGTGAACAAAATTTAGTTAAAAAGTTAAAATCAAAAAAGATATGTGTTCTAAAATGAGTAGACACCCACTTATTATGAAACTAAAATATAATAATTTGTACTCAAACTGTGAATAAAAACGCACCCTTTTTATTGTGTATTTTTTTAATTTGTTGTGTATATCTTACTTATAATAGATACATTCAAAATTATTGAAAAATGGTTTGGTTAAATAAATAAACCAAATATTTCTTTGAATATATTTATTGAAACAAAATAATTATCTGAAATAAAATTTTACTCCACAAAAGTATCTTATAATAAAAACAGATACCTATTATTTCCACATAATACTAGTACCTATGTATTATTAGTTATCTGTAAAATTGTGGAGTTTTACAGGTAGTGCTTTTAATTCTAGAATCTAATAACCATTGTTTTTTAATAAACCAACAAATTAAAACGTTTGATAATAATGTTTTTTATAAAATAAGATAGACGTTATACTTAATAATGAATTGTATACTTACCTACTTTCAAACACGGAATTCGATGCTGGTTTAAATAAAAATGCGGATAGGTACATGCACACACTTCTCATTCACGCAGTTAAACACATACTTAGATACACACACAAACACCCACCACACTATACACACACGCACACATACACACACACATATACACACACACACACACTCGTAGGCACACACAAATACACACAAAATATATATATATATATATTTTTTAAAGAAACTGATATTAAAATTTTTGAGGTGCTATTTATTTTAAAAATGGATGTAATATATTCATTTAATACTACTTAGAATGGAAAAATATTTTTAATTAATTTGAAATAATATTTTTATTGACGAATTCTTTAATTAAGAAAATACTCATCGAAATCAAAGCACCATTGGCACACAAGATAATCAACAGAAAAGTGAGCAAACAAACCACAGTATATTAATTGCACATTCAAATCGCTGACGCTACATTGTTAAGTAGAACCTTGCTTGAGAATGAAGAGCTAAATATTATATTGTCTCGCTTTCCGCGGTTATCTATTTACTTAAACTACTTACACACACTTACACACAAACACACACAACATAAAACTTAAATTTATCATTTCACGTCAAATCCTTTGGAACAGTTTGTTATGGACCGACTGGCTGTTTAAATGTTAGATAGTAGAAAAATACAGATAGTGATACCTTGATGATTTTGGTCATAGCATCCTGGTCACAGGACAATGACGACTTGTTGGACACTCACGGGTTTGGTGAACATCTCAACGGCATTGAGACCCCAAATTTAACTAAACCAAAAAATCTTAAGTCATTGGCGGACATTGATGAAGAGTTTGAGGAACGTTCGGTTGTTTTACATCCCTTTTTTGATCAACCAAAAAAAGAAATTTATGAACAAGTACAAATTATTAAACGTTTAGACGATTCTCCTGCATTTGATAGTCCGTTAACTGATAAAAGTGTTTCCCACCATGATACTGGTATAAGTTTAACTAGGGAATATTCTGATACTCTAACTAGTTCTGGTCAAAAAACTAAGCCTAAACATACGGATACAGCATTTGACGAAGAAGCAGAGCTTACAGATGCTGGATTAAGTCCGATTCAACAGGATGAGATCGGACTTGCTGAAAATGAAATAATAGAGTTGAAGAAAAAAATCGGAATGTATGATGCTGGAAACAGCCCGATAAAATTTATGGAATCTATAGCATTATCACCTTTTGAAACAGTGACTAGTGACGTTGCTACTATAACAGATAAAGTGAAAACATCTGATGTAGCTAATAGTCCAATAGAAGCAAATAAAGTTCAAAGAAACATAGATACAACAGTAGACGTCAAGAAAATGATAATGCAATTAGAGAAATGTGGAATAGGGATGGAAATTCAGTTATCCGATCAATCGCCGAAACAGAAAATACAGCCAACAGTAAAAACATTAATTTCAGAAAATGTACATCCTCAGGAGCATTTAAAAATCCATATTGATGTTGAAAACAAAAATAAAACATATAAAACAATAAATGTACAATCAAAATTGGACGAAGTTATTGAATCAGAAAAATGTGTATTAGAGCATTTAGAAAATATAGATACGCCAACACAAAATAATTTGGAACTAGAATGTAAACTATTGCAAATTGTAAACATTGAGACAAGTATGTTACAAAATATTGATCAAATATTAGATAAACACGATAGTAGTAAAGACAATTCAAGTTTAGAGAATATAGAAGAAGAAATCATATCACCTGAAAGGTCTAAAGAAAAATCTAAATTATTAAAAACGTTGCAAACACAACCTAAATATAGTACAGAAGATATAATTGAAAAAAAACATATTGGAAATGGACATAAAATCGACGAAAATTTAAAGAAATCAATAAAACATACAGGTATTTCTAAAGAATTACAGGAATTGATCGATGAAGATGAAAAAGAACAAGAAAGAATATATAGAGCATTATTGAATGAAAATGATATAAATGATGGATTGTACAGTAATAAAACTCCTGTAATAGAAGAAACTATAACGCCTAAACACGTAAAACAAGTTGCGAAAAAAGATGATACTATAACTGACAAATCTACTATCATACAAAAAATTGAATCACATGAAACGTCAAATATAGATTTAGAAAAAGGAGTAATACCACCAATAAAAGATAAAATTGCCATTTTTAATGAAATTATAAATATAGACAATAACAAAAAAAGTAATGAAAATATAAAATTATCAAAATCTACTAATAAAGATGCAAATAAAAATACATTTTATGAAGAAGACGAGGACGAGTCAGATATTTTTGAAAAATTTACTCGAGAACACTTAAAAAAATCCTTAGATATATCACAAATTATTGATGATAATGACAATAATGATAAAAAACAAAAAATAAAAGAAAGCGACATTAATATTGTTGGTGATGAAGGCATTGCAAATAATTTAAACATTAAAAAAGATAAATCATTATTATTTATCCCAAAAACTATAGAAAAAGGTTTAAAGGATATAACGATGACACTAACAAGTATTGTTAAGAAAATGGATGTAAATGATATGTCAGGGGGAAAAAAAGAGACCGAAGAAGGTGAAATTTCTAAAATAACAAAAGAATGTATAAAAGAGTTTGGTAACCTAGAATTAAATGACTATAAGAATGTTAAAAAACAAAAGCAAAACACTAAAAATAATAATGTAAAACCATCAGAATCACCAATTTTAAAAAGTGACACATTAATGATAATTAACCTTGAGGATAATAAGCAAGAAAGTAAGAGTATAGACAAAGAGAAAGATAATAAAACAGAAAATAATTTAGTAGATAATTTAAATAAGGAAGTATCATTTGCGATTGGTAAGGAGAAGAACGAAATTGAAGAACAAACATTGACAACAAACACCAATAAATTAACTGATTTACACGAAACAGAAAAAATTTCGACCATTGACAAGACAAATATAATAAAAGAAACCAAGAATATAGATATTGAAATTAATAAAACTGTATCGTGGTCTTTGATAGAAATTGAAACTCAGTCATCCAATATCGATTTAACTGTAAAAAATATACCTATAAAGTCTGATATAAAATCAATTTTAAAAGAAATATCAAAAGAAGAATTTGATAAAAAAGAACAGTCAGACAAAATAAAGACAGAAGAACATAAACTCAATGACATAACGAGACATAAAAATGAACAAATTGAGTGCATGAAAACTACATCCAGAGAAGAAATAAAAAAAGAGAAAATAATTGATTCAAGTTCATATTATGAATCGTATAAACAAAATAAAACACAAAATACTAAAGATAAAACCTTAACAGAAAAACATAAAAAATTAGAACTGATGGATACAAGTAGAAAAGCTCAAATAATTAGGGAGGAAATGGTATCTATAGAAGGAAATAGTGACAACTATATTAAAAATGCTATACAAAAAAATGAAAAAGCAGAAAGATACGAAAAAGATAAATTAGAAAAATCAAAAGAAAATGTAAAAAACAAAAGCATAGAAATAAGTGAAGAGTGCACTTATAATGAACAGCAATATGTGGACAATGATGAAACAGATAAAAAACATTTTGATGAGTTTTATAAATGGGTTGATCAATTAAAGGAAGAAAAAGAGGAATGTAATTCAACAAATTCACAAAAAAAAATGATATACAAACAGATAAAAAATGCTTCAATTGACAAAGAACTCATTACAGATGAATCAAATACCGTTAAAGAATTTATTACAAATTCCATAAATAAACAACATACTGAGAATCAAACAAAAACAATAACTATAACCAAGCCATTGACACATCAAACTAAAACTGAAACAACAGGTCAGTTAAACATGAACAAAAAGGTAATAATGGAAAAAAAAAGAGAAAAAGAAAAAACATTTTCCGAAAATACCAATAACGATTCAAAAGGTGGAATACCAAAAATAGTAGAAATTGAAATTAAAAAAAAAAACAATTCCACAGATAAAACGATGGAAATAAAAAATGATATAAGAACTCAAGTGGACAATGAAAAGTTAATAAAACAAACGGAAACAATTGAAGAGAAAGATGATAAACAAGAAAACAATAAAAATTTTAAAGAAGAAAAAGAAACAAAGGAAAATATAACCATAAATATTGAAAAAAATGATAGAATTAAAACAGACACTTTATATAAAAATGATAGTAAAGAAAAAACAATACATAAGGCAGTAATCGAATTAGAAAAACAAACTAAGGTTGAGTTTGAAAAAATAAAAGGCAATAAAGAATCCCTCCGAAAGTTAACCAATGTAATTAGGTTCCCAGATGACACACAATTACAAATTGACAAAAAGGAAAAAATAATAGATAACATAACAAAAATAAATGAAAATAAAATAACAAAAATAAGATCAATCGATAAAGATATNTTGGGAGGTACCGAAGCCAAAGATGACACCTTAGATAAAGAGATCACGGACCAAAAAAAAGAGACTATGATTGAGATGGAAAAAATAAAAGGCGATAAGGATATACAAAAGAAATTAACCGATAAAATTAAATCCCCTGATGACAAACAATTACACTTTGACCATGGGGACGAAACAACAACTATTGTAACTGAAGTAACTGAAACTCATGTAACAAAACTTAAAGAAACAGATGGTGATTTAATTGAGGAAACCCCGAAAACTTCAGAAATTCAAAAAACAACAGACGAAACCCCTAGTCCTAAGGATAAAGATCCTTTAAATGTATATAAAATACACGAACTTTCCCAGGGTTATAAGGGAGAGGAGGATGATATAATTAAACACAATATAACAATTGATAAACCTCTCGAAGATGTAACAAAATCACCATCCACAGATACAATAAAATCTGAATTTGTAGATCAAAAAGACGTTAAAACTCCAACGGAAATGGGGAGTACCCAAACGAAAGATGGGACCTTCAATAAAGAGATCACGGAACTAAACAAAGAGACTATGATTGAGTGTGAAATAGGGAAAGGCGATAAGGATATACAAAAGAAATTAACCNATTAAACACAATATAACAATTGATAAACCTCTCGCAGATATAATAAAATCACCAACAACAGATACAATAAAAGCTGAAATCGTAGATAAAAAATATGTTAAAACTCCAATGGAATTGGGGGGTACCGAAACAAAAGATGACACCTTAGATAAAGAGATCACGGAACTAAACAAAGAGACTATGATTGAGTTTGAAAAAATAAAAGGCGATAAGGATATACAAAAGAAATTAACAGATAAAATTAAATCCCCTGATGACAAACAATTACACTTTGACCATGGGGAGGAAACAACAACTATTGTAACTGAAGTAACTGAAACTCATGTAACGAAACTTAAAGAAACAGATGGTGATTTAATTAGGGAAACCCCGACCACTTCAGAAATTCAAAAACCAACAGACGAAACCCCTAGTCCTAAGGATAAAGATCCTTTAAAAGAATCAAAAATAAACGAACTTTCCCAGGGTGATAAAGAAGAGGGGGATGAAATAATCAAACACAAAATACCAATTGATAAATCTCTCGAAGATGTAACGAAATCACCATCCAAAGATACAATAAAATCTGAATTCGTAGATCAAAAAGATGTTAAAATTCCAACGGAAATAGGGGCTACCGAAACAAAAGATGACACCTTAGATAAAGAGATCACGGACCAAAAAAAAGAGACTATGATTGAGATGGAAAAAATAAAAGGCGATAAGGATATACAAAAGAAATTAACAGATAAAATTAAATCCCCTGATGACAAACAATTACACTTTGACCATGGGGAGGAAACAATAACTATTGTAACTGAAGTAACTGAAACTCATGTAACAAAACTTAAAGAAACAGATGGTGATTTAATTGGGGAAACCCCGACAACTTCAGAAATTCAAAAAACAACAGACGAAACCCCTAGTCCTAAGGATAAAGATCCTTTAAAAGAATCAAAAATACACGAACTTTCCCAGGGTTATAAGGGAGAGGGGGATGAAATAATCAAACACAAAATACCAACTGATAAATCTCTCGCAGATATAATAAAATCACCAACAACAGAAACAATAAAAGCTGAAATCGTAGATAAAAAATATGTTAAAACTCCAACGGAATTGGGGGGTACCGAAGCCAAAGATGACACCTTAGATATAGAGATCACGGATCTAAAAAAAGAGACTATGATTGAGATAGAAAAAATAAAAGGCGATAAGGAAATACAAAAGAAATTAACAGATAAAATTAAATCCCCTGATGACAAACAATTACACTTTGACCATGGGGAGGAAACAACAACTATT